ACCCTTCCTTGAGATATACCTTATCCAATAAAAAAATCATCAAAATCGGCTTGACGCGTAACATGATTGATTAATAAATATACAAAATAACGTATTTTACTGTGGTTACAATTTAATAATTTTTATGAAATTAATGTTTTATTTCAGTGGTTTAATTTGTATATACGCAACCAAATCAGAAGATTTTTTAGTTAAACAAGAAGTTGGGAAAAAATTGATAAGCCCCTTTCGTTGCCATAAGGGCAGGAATTTTTCGTTTTTATTTGCGATAACTCAAAATCACATAAACCAAAGTTTTTACAAGGATTTTACAACTAAAACTCCATTCGTTTTCACTGGAATGCAATGTGAAAACACGGACTTTATAAAAAATACAATTCTTTTTGAAAATGCCGAAATAAATTGTAGACTTCAGATGCTTACGAAGTAAATAACTGTTACAAATTTCTCAATCTTTGCACAGAAGGTCAAAAATTCATTGCTTCGTTCTTATCGTTGTAACCATATGCTAACAAAAGGGATACGTTACTTTCCTTCCTAATCAATCTCTATTTTTTGATTAAGAAGCATCTGTGTCCTTGACTGTTATTGCTTTATTATACTTTTATACTCTCGTCACAATATTACGAAATAAAGCTAACAGTTTTTTTCTTGTTTTTAACTATAAGCAACTTTATCTGAAATCGTAAAAAAAATTGTAATGTACAGGACACAAGGTAAAAATGCCCACATTAGAGAAATATACAAAACAAAGTAAAAAAAATCATTTACAATAACATTGGTGCGTGTCGTAAAATCATAATTATTTTCATAGACTGTCCATGTACGAAATAAAATTAAATTGTCTTATTAAAATCCAATAATTTAGTTGCTTACAAGTTTCGACTCGTACTGTAACATCGGTATCATGATAATTTCAATTTAAAATACATATAAATGCCTCTGGCGAGTGTTCGTCCTTGGTATAGGCGACCCGCTTCACTGCAAAGTATTCTGAGCGTCTGGCTGCAGTAGCAGTTTTAATTCCTTTACTTATTAAAGACTCGGTTTTAAAAATCAACGTTTTAAATATTAATAATTAATTTGGAAGTACAAATTAATGTTCTCTATAAATTTTGGTGGCAAAATCAGCGAAACTAAGTGGAGCTATAAACGCCAACCAGGCCTTTTGTTAACCAAAATGACACCAGATTAATAAAGTATAATTCATACTATATTGTATATTAACTAATGTAGTATTACCTGAATAATCTGTAGAATGCGACGTTCCATGGTTTACATGTGTAGAAAGTAAACTGAATTTAGAAAAGATGCTAGCGCAGTCGTCATCACTAGGGTTAAAATTAACTTCCCAATATCTCTTATTTGTTAGGCAATCTATAGGAACGGACAGAAAAAATAATTAAATACTTTTAATCAATAGTATTTTAAAGGTTACTGCTAAAATAAAATATACACAATGAACCATTCATTAATAAGCGAAATAAACATCTGCTAGCAGCGTATTGGAATTGCGGTGTCCGAAGTTTTAGTTACCAAAAGTTATTTAGGCAGATTTTTTTTAATTTGTTGATAAAATAAAAAATATTCTCGTTTGTAAAATATGATTAATAAGTTGCGCAAATTTTTGCGTTTCTTTTACAATTTTACTTTATGCTAATAAATCATCCATTACTGTTTATCATAATCATTTTACATATGTATTAATTTTGTTTGGCGGCTATTGCTTTATTCAATTTTATTATTTTATAAAGTGTAGTAATACTACATATTTTGGTATCAAATAAACAAACAAAAATTTGTTACCTTAACTGTTCGCCAATGGATGGTAAAATGTAGTTTTGTGCTTTTAAAAAAACAATCTATATAGCCTTCTTCCAGCATACAGCATTTACAGACTTTCTTTTCCAACTTGGAAGATTCTACAAACAATAAAAGTAAGATTTCAACATTTAAAAGTTTAAAAATATTTGTTAAAGGATCGAAATTATAGGCGTTAAGTACAGAATTTTAATGTTTTTCGCTAGTTAAAAAATTCTGGCTATTTTATTTTTACACACATAAGACCCACATCCTTATATATTTTCATCACTTTAGAGTTTAGTAGAACACTAACAATAATGATTTAATAATGGATAGGACTTTATAAATTTTATTCGTGTACGAGTTATACTACAAGGATAACGTAGTGTATGTTGAGTTGCATATATGCTTATGTAAATTTATAAGGATGTAGAAAATTAAAGCTTCTTGTAAAACACTTATTAAATAATCGTAAATAAAGAAAAAGATATTTCTTAATTTAATTCTGATAAAAGGTATTAAAATATTCGTGAATAATTTAAAATTGCAATTGTATGACATTGACCTTTGATATGACGTTATTTTGGCGGGAAATAACAAAAAGTTAAAATTGACATATTTCTGTTAATCTAAACCTCTAAATAAATACATTGTTTCGCGTTTTTCAAGTAATTTATTGCATTTGCTTTTATTAAACAATTTGTAATTTTATCTATTCTTTAAATATATGGCACATCACTTATGACTCATTTCAGAACTGGGAACTAACCAAAAAGGATGTCATTCGTGTAACAAATCATACAAATGACAAATCAACCCGACCTAACAATGGCGGCGGATGGAGAAGATGTAATAACGGATCAAGAAAAAGTGCGAATAGTTTCCGATTTTATTCTCCATTCACCTCCTGGTGAATTTAACGAAGTATTCAATGATGTGAGAAAGTTATTAAGTAACGACGATCTTCTCAAAGAAGGCGCGAGTGGAGCGTTCGCTCAATACAATAAAGATCAACTAACTCCTGTTCGACTTGAAAATGATTCTTTAGTTTTGATAACAGAATATAACGATTTGGGCAACAGCCGATTTTACGATCCTCGAACCAAACAGTCGTTCAAATACGACCATTTACGAAAAGATGCATCAGATTATCAACCATATTCGCTAGATACAGTAGCAGAAATTTGGAGGTCAGCTTTAGATACAGAATTCGTACAGTACACAAAAAATCACTTTAAAGATGGTGTAAGTAGTGTGTTTGGTAGAAGCCTGCCAGGAGGAATCATACAGTTAACAGCCTGCATTGAAGATCATCAATTCCAACCTAAGAATTATTGGAATGGTAGATGGAGATCCGTTTGGTTTTTAACATTGAATGGAAGTTCAACAGCCGAGTTAAAAGGCATTTTGAAGGTTCAAGTACATTATTATGAAGAAGGTAATGTTCAGTTAGTTAGCTCCAAAGAAATTAAAGAGACTGTGGTGGTATCAAATGAGATACAAACTGCTAAAGAAGTAGTGCAACTGATTGAAGATGCAGAGAATCTGTACCAAACAGCAATTTCAGAAAACTATCAGACCATGTCAGATACAACATTCAAGGCACTGCGTAGACAACTGCCAGTCATAAGAACTAAAATGGATTGGAACAAAATGGTAACCTACAGCATTGGAAAGGAGCTTAAAACACAATGATGTGAGGATTATTACATAGAAGAGGCTCATTTTCAAAGTAATGTAACAAGACATTTAATAATTGCCTTTCCACTATGCTTAAAAAAATACTTTCAGTGTAAATATCTACAGCATAATTTTTTATTAGTATATTGAATAGTTGTGGAAAGGGTAGCCAATTCGTCTTTACATATATAAAATAAATTATGATGCTAAATAATAAATTATCATTGATGGTAATTATAGCTTGCTTGCTATAAAGTTAATGTTTTAATGAATTGTAATTTTATAGTCTTCTATTAATTTTATCCTCATATTTTTATAGTATTATTCAATGAAGAAGTTGATTATATGTAAATATAGAAAAAATACAGTTGAAATTGTACCAATTCAATAATTAATTTTTGTTATTCATTGAAAAAATCTGTCATTTCTTACATATTGTATTTAAAAGATGTGCAATAAAAATGCACAAAATAATGCTGAATTTGTTACAATTAGCTGTACCAATATTAGAATATCCTATTTCGTAAATATTCTTTTTGTAATTTTATTAACATTATTAAGGACGGTATATTGTTATTTTGTTGTTCTACGTTTGCAATGGTTTCTGACGTTATTTTATTATGTTTACGGTTGTAAAACATTTTTTAAATAAAAATATGAAATGGTAAGGGTAATTATTGGTGTACTTATTTTATTAAGAAATAATTATTTTTCTGCTTTTGGTTTCAAGAAGTTAATTAATTAGAAGATGATTAATTGTTGGTATTACATCTTTGTCTAAAGTATTCTCTAATTTACGTAATTTGTAATCCAAAGAAGAAAAAGGAGAGTGTGGTAAATAATAATTTTAAAATTAAAAAGTAGACCCCCCTAATTACCACAAAAACTTTTTGCGTTGATAATGCCCACGTATGAAGTAGGCGAAAGACGTGTCCGCTCAAAAAGTTTTTGTGATAATTAGGGGGTCAGCCTTCTTTTTAATTAAGTAATTTGTAATATTTACATCATCTGCATGAAAAATCAAAAACAGAATTGGAATAATCATGGAATAAAAATGATTAAAAAGGAAATAGCAGGTGTGCATTGACTTATTAGTAATCTTAGAGCATATACAACTAAGGGTAGCTTACCAAATAAGGAAATTGTACTGAAGTCAGTTATTTCACCTGCAACCTACCGGGGCTTTAAACGCTGGACTGACAATAACAGCAGTACCAATGACCAACTTCAGTAACGTAAAATGGCAAACAAAAGAGTAATAAATCTAGCTAACAGTACTTATAATAAATTGAAAATGAAGACTTAAAATTGTTTGGGTATGAAAAGTGGATATGCAGAAGATGTATTCACTACTGCTGCTATATTATGTGTTTATAAATATTAGTAAGTTTTCTTTGGTAACTTTTATCGAATTTATATTGGTAGGTCTATGATTGGTAGTAATTATAATTCTAACTTCAGTTCGAACAACTGTAATTTAACCTTAATCTGTACAAATTTAAAATCTAAAAGAAAAGTAGATAATTTAATATGAATCTGGTGATTTGTATACTTCAGCGATTCAATTATGACAATTCATCAATTAAATATGAAATTTGATTGCATGTAACGGTGTAATTATGAGTATCCTTTTCTATCATTGTCCACTTTCAAGATCATCAAGGGGTGCTCTACTGGCTGCCCGAGCTATTGGTGTTAATGTAACAATTGAAGAAGTGGATCTACTCGCTAAAGAGCAGTTAAAACCTGAATTTATTAAGGTAAAATGCTGTCATATCACAACTAATATTAAATTATGCAGTGTTGTAGGTCAATCCTCAACATACTGTTCCTACTTTGGTGGACAGAGATTTTGTATTATGCGAAAGCTGGGCTATAGCAACATATCTTGTACAAGCTTATGGCAAGGATGATAATCTGTATCCAAAAGATCCTCAAAAAAGAGCAGTAGTAAATCAAATGCTTTACTTTGATTGTACAACATTAACTCCTCGTATCAATCAAATCACTGTAATATACAAAACCATTTACTTTTATTAAAAACAGTATCAGGACTTCTTGTTACTTTTAGCATCCCATATTGTTTTCAGGGCAAGACGAAGTTTATGATGAACATAAGATACCACTAGAGGAAGCTTTAGGGTTTCTAGATATTTTCTTGGATGAAAAGAATTTTGTTACCGGAAAAACACTTACAATTGCCGATTGCTTTCTAATTGCCTCAATTTCTACCATTGCAGTAAGTATAGTATATGTAACATTCATTTAAAAATGCCTTTTATCAATTTTTTACTCGTCAATTAGGCCATAGGCTGGGATATAACACCATATGGGAACATTAATTCTTGGTTTGCAAGATGCAGTTTGGAAATTCCAGGATATCATGAAGTAAACCAGGAGGGAGCAGAGAAGTATGGGAAGCTGATAAAAAGTAAATTAGCCTCAGGCAAATTATGAAAATTTTATATATATTATTTCCAGCTTCTGATATTTTTCTTTAATTTTTATGAAAATAAACACTTTTTATTTTCGCATGCTCTTTTTAATTTTTCGTTTTTGTATCTTGAAGGAAATACCACACACAACTGTTATCCATATAATATAAAAAAAGCATCCTGAAATGTAGTACAAGCGCAGTCCGAAGTTCTTCATTTCGTAAAAAAAATCTTTGTACTTTCGCCTAATACAAAACAACTATACAGTACAGTCACGCGATGTCTACATATTATTTAATAAAGGAATAAAAAGAACTTCAAAAGACCACGGATTATTCACTAAACTTGATAATAAAACATACTTGAGTTTATTTCAATTAGGAGGAAAGACCACTTAAATGTGGTGATGGGGAGGCGCAGGTGACGACACAGCGGATGCTTGCGGCGATGGTGGTGTCGGTGTGGTACTTGGACCTGTCTCCGTAGGTGGAGGACCATGCGAATTAGCGCTATTTTGCTGTTGCCATTGGCCCTGTTCTGCCTGGAGACGTTGATGAGCTTGTTGCCGTGCTCTAAATTCCGCTGCTTTTAATTGTTCAAGGTGAAACTGTTGTCGCTCAGTAATGAGCTGCTGTCGCTGATATTCGAGACCTTCTCTTTCTCTTTCCATCGTTGTTTCAAGCTCCTCAAAATGACGCAATTTGATTTCAAGTTTTTTCATTTGCGTCTCGACCAGAAGAGCTACCAGAGACTTTATTTTTCTTTCTTCCACAGCAGCAAGATGCTTAGCTTTAACGGCTGCGGCGGCTAAAGCAGCTGCTGCTGCACTTTGCATCTCGGCGTCTTTTATTACACGTTCTGTTTTAGTGTCGCTTGTTTCCGTCTTTTCACCTTTCTCGTTGTTTTCGTCTATTTCCATTTTAATTTCTTTTTCGACTTTTTCGTTATTTGTGTCGAGACCGTTTTTATTTTGTTCCCCGCCAGAACCAACTGTAATATTTGAATTAAATCTTTACTTGCAAAATCTAATGTCTATAGATCTATACCATATACAATTAGTATAACTTATGACATGCTTCATTTAATTTTGATATGTAGAACAATAAGGGGTTTCCCAGTCTCTTTTCTGTTGGGGATACAGGATTCCGTATATGTATTATGATTTATAGTAAATGGACAATGAAGAATTATTTATTTTAATATAATTAACAGATGATTTTGTATTTTTTTAAAACGTTTTTCCGAAACCATAATTGTAATGTTTAAGATCAAATGCAATTTAATTGTGAATTTCATAAAAAAAATCTGCCTAAATGTAAAAAACCGACCAGCTTGTAAGTTTTACACTTACCTTCATTTGATTTCTCTTCTTCCTTAACCTCAGGACCACTGGGAGTTATAGGAGCTTCTTTTTTTATCTTTTCTTCCTCTTCCTTATCAGGCACTGTGCCTGCTATGCCTGTCAATGCTAATCCCGCATTAGGATCAAACTTGCCTTCACCGTTTGCTGCCGCAGCTGCTTCCACATTTTTCAGATGAGCATCCATAAGAGCGCTTGGAACTTCATCTTTGATGCTTGCAAATTCCTGCATAGCAGCCTTCGCAGCGGCCGCTGCCACCCTAGGATCAACTATAGATGCAAGAAAAGCAACAGTGGACATGATAGGATTTCCCGCTTTACTAAACGGAATTGGTTGATAAGCCAATGGTCCAAGAACACCTCCGGCTTCAGGATCTTCCAAATAAGGGTCTTCAATTGGTAAACGGAGAAAATGGAGGATGCATTCATCTTGAGTGCGCGATCCGACATGCTCGCACACCTTGTTCCAGTCGTCTTTATACATTTCAAGGCCCTCGAGAAGGAGCAACGTCTCTTGTTCAGTCCAGTCACGTGTTAAGGAGGCGGCTGTTTTGTTACGTAAAACAGCCGGTTTTTTCGCATATTGATCAAGTTTGAGACCAAAATTATTAGACGAATCAAGCAGCACATCTGGCTAAAACAGAAAATAAATTTTGAAACAATTATTAAAAAGTTGCTTCAGAATAGAGAACAAAAAACGGGTGCTTAAAAGTGTATTATTTCTAATAAATTTTACGCATTGCAGACAAATAGCAAAAAAGTATATACAATTAACATACCTTTTTGTTGTTTTCCTGCGTTGTTTTCTCAAGATCAAGTAAAGTCTTAGCTGCGCTAGGTTGCGTAGTTTTTGGCGGATTAACGGGTTGTAAGCCAGATGGTGTGTCCGACAAAATGTGAAAATGAGATGTGGATGGTGGCCCCATAGCCGTCGGTCGCGAATCAGTGTCCACCTGGTAGTTAATGAGGCCCCACTGTTCAAGAAACGCGTGCACTCTCATAATCGCACACACGTCTCCAGCAAGATTTCTCCTACATGCTGTACTTGTAATATATTCAGTCGGGTTCAATCGATAGGTATCTATCATAAAATTCCGATAGGATAAGTAAACTTCCGGCGTTTTCGACTTGTTTCGGCCATTGAAAAACTCAGGTAAAGCTCTCTTTTCGATTTCATGAACGCTGTTGTAATCAAACCAAGCAGAATAGGAAGGAATAATGATGTGGTGTGTTTGTTCAGTAACATTGTCTTCCTGACCATCATCCTGGATAGTACCTGCCTCACTAGCCTTACCCATTTGCGAGTCTTCCCCACGATCTTCCGTTTCGTCTAGATCTGTTATCGATCCTCCTTTAAGAGGTTGAAGTTCGTGATCTTTTTTACCGGACTGACTGCTCGCTGATGGACTCACTTCCGCTACCGATGGTTCTGCGGGGGGGTCTTCCATTTCTTTTGTCAGATCTTCAGGCTCTAATTCGTCGGGACGCGCCTTTTTTCCAACTGCAGGGCTCCGGCCACTCTTTCGTTTATTACCTTTCATTGGTGGCGAAGGAGAACGTTTTCGTTTTTGCTTTTTCCTAAAACAACGTTCAGAGCTATTGTCGTAACTGAAAATGTAAAGATTTTTCTTCACAATATATTGCATATAAAATACAATCAATTTTAACATATTAAGGGCCCTTGGCAAACTGCCCCTGAAGTTATATCTCATATTTTTTGTTATCATTATGATGGGATTACCATAAAATAAATGGTTACCTATTTCTGTCATCTCCTGAAGGATTCATCAAATCCTCAACCGATAGACGCATTTTATGTACTTTTTTTCTTCCATTTTCATCTACCTCATAGTCCTCTTCAGACATCCATTCATTATACTGGTCTGAGTCTGTTAGCCATGTGCTTGAAACCCTCCATGTACCAGTATGAGGAGCAGGACTATCTGCAGGGAGTCCCTCAAGGATACCTTCCATATTAACCCATGTATCGTAAGATTCAGGGAAGTAGTACCAATGCATCATTACCATTTTATCCCTCCTAATTCCTAGTAATTAAAAAAAAACAATAAAAGTGATAATGCTTAATAATCTTTTTAAGATGTAAATTATACCAGGTCTAGCATATTCTTCTTCTAATGGATCACAGTGGGGATAGAGAATGTGTGTAGCATTATCTTCATTTTCCACAACTTGGCCACTTCTTTTTCTTATAATCTCTTTCAATTTTGATGCAACACTTTTATCAACCTCTGATCTAATATATATTAAAGGATATGAATGAAATTTGTTTTGAATCAAAGCTTTCTCCATTGCTTGGAACATTTCTATCAACTTATCATTTTTAGCAGTCTTTCCTGACTGAAAGTCAAACTTTCTCCATCCTTGTTCATGTTTAAACTTGTAGGCAGCAGCTAATAAATGACAAACAGCACCTCCTGACTTAAAATCCATGAAATATTTAACTGGTATTCTAGTCATTGTGGTCTTCTGAACATTTTTACCCAAATAATCCTCTTGAAATTGCAAAATCTGAATAATAAGTGAAGACAAGCTTTTGTTTGTTGGGGGATCAGACTTAATATATTTATTTGCATTCTTTTGTAACCACTGGCGAACCACTTCTAACGAATTCAATGTTTCCGCGGATTCAAAATATTTCACGTTAGGACTCCCGTCCTTTTTAGGTCCAAATGCCATCATTTTGGGCGATTATGCGATTTTTTGATTCTATTTGCTTTACTTATAATTATTGTAGTATTTAAACAATGTTTGTCCTAAGACATGTTCGCAAAAGGAACAAATTTTAGGGTCTGCTTAAAGTAAATTCGTCTTCTAATAGACACAGCAAGTCCATAAAAACGTATTAAAAGGTTTAATTAGAACAACAGGGTGCTGTTAACCGGGAATTCGTACCGAACGAAACAATACCGACGCCATTTGTAATGTTTTAGTTTAGTTGCGTTCAGCTGCATTGAACCTACTTCACATTATATTTGAATGATCTTCAGCAACTGCAATATTAAAAGAACCATAAAATTTGAACGTAATGTAACATTGTAAGTTAGTAATAAAATAATTAGAGCCGATCAGGGGCAAAAAAAAATTATTATAACAAAACCAACACCGACGTTTCATCTTTAATTTGAAAAATCCTCATAATAAATCTTTTTACCTCTGATCGACTCTGTTTAATTTATAATACTGATAAAGGGAAAGAAATGGAACACATTAAAAAGTTAATGAATTTTAGAAACTAATTGGGTTCAAAAGAACTAATAACAAAAACGACAAATGCGTCAAACAGTAGAAAGTGAAACCTTTTGTATATCTATTATCTATGGTGAAACCAATAGAAACATAGGAAATACGAATCGAACATGAGTCAATTACCCTTTGTAGATCTATTATCTATGGGATTTGTCAAATAAAATATCCCTTATAAAAAGTTTTCAACCGTTATGTGTGAATAATTTGTATTAATCAAATGAAATTTTAATATTTAATATATTAATATGTCTAAAGGGTAAAATTTAATTTTTTTCAACTTTTGCTATGTTTTTTAACCTTAAAGTTGTAACTAAATTGGAAATATTTAGCTTACGATTAGTTTTTCTGTAACATATACGAAGATTGTTTTGTTTCCGATTAAGGACGTTTGTTGAATTTTAGAATTAAAATAGTTTCTGGAGCAATAGTATGTGAAGAGTGTAAGTTACGTGGAGACGTAACTATAGGGGGTGGTACAATAATTCATCCAAGTGCTTCTATTATTGCAGAAGCAGGACCAATAATTATTGGAGAAAATTGCCTCATTGAAGAGCAGACCAAAATAATTAACAAGTAATAATAATGGTAAAAGTAAAAACATTCGAAATAGCCAGTTAACATAAGATAATTTTAGAGCTCCAGTGGGTCAAATTGATAATGAAAACGTTCAAGAATTAATTATAGGATCAAACAATGTTTTTGAAGTGGATTGTGCTATAGAAGCCATAAAAATTGGAGATAACAATGTTTTTGAATCTAAGAGTTTTGTAGGTAATAAAGTGACTATTACAAATGGATGTATTATTGGAGCTGGATGTCGTTTGACTGAAGAGCAAACACTAAAAGAAAATACAATAATTTATGGAGAAAACTGTAACATGAGAGAAGGATTAGACAGGCCTTTGGTAAGTATAAAATAATTTTTAAACTTTTGGTTAAAAAATTCTATATTTTAGCCACAAACACTCCAAATGGATACTTTGATTAGAATGTTACCAAATTATCACCATTTGAAAAAACCTAATTTGGTGAATAACAAGAAAAATTAACTATATTGAACCAAATTAGCTTTAATTTTGGCAATTTTTATAGTACCATAAGAAAACATTTATTATTGAACACTAAGTAATGAATATAGGGCTTTTAAGATGTTAGCATTGTATATTTAATTATCAATATCTATTTATGAATTTGTAATTGATTTTTTTTTATAAAGCATTTTCCAGAATATTTATTAAAGAACTTCAGTCAAAAATTAGATTTCAAAGATAAAATGTAAGCATTACCCTGGAATTAAATACAAGCAAGCTTGTTCAAGGCAATTTTAAACAATGAACGATGAAACAATTAACTAACTAAAACACAAATAATTCATTAAATAGTTATGAAGTATTAAAAAGTCTTCCTTTTTGTGACAAATGAATTTTTTTTCGGTACAAGAATCTCCTGGAAATTTCGGCAAAAAAAAGAACAAAAAAATTCATGTGGCAACGCTGGATGAAGGTATGTATCGTTTGATTTCATGTAACCTCAAAACAATTTTTGTAAACAAAACAATGTCAAAAATCACGGAAAAGCTTAATAGATTCTTATTTGTGAGCAAATATTCAATTGTTTATTGAAAATGACAACATTGAAAAGAAGGGAACATTTTGAATGAGACGATTTACATCGTTTGCACGGAATCTATTTGTTAAAAAATCGGAAGAAGTCGCAGAAATGTCCCCGAAGCGGTATTTTATCAACCCCTTAATAGAAACTGTAACGGTTAATGAAGAAGTGGTCATAACTGAGCACAAGCTCAAGGAAACCGTTCAAAATGTTATCGGTAATATCTCTAATAATTTTAAACCAACTGAAAGAAATGCGGAAGATGGTGTTTATCTAGGAACTGCAGGTGTTTCTTATATGTTTTATCATATAAGTAAAATACCCACTTTTATCGACCAAAAAGACGTACTTTTAAAATCTGGCTTAGAATATCTGAAACCCGCTTTAAAAGTTGCTCTAAAATGTGCACCACGCACTAAAGATGTACCTGCTTTCATATTGGGCAACAGCGGTATATATGCCGTTGCTTCAGTATTATTTAATGCACTTGGCAATGAGAAAGAATGTCTACGTTATAAAGAACTATTTAACAAAGCAGGAAATATTGTGAAAGAAAAAAGGTTTTTAGAATGTGGTTCAGACGAATTATTTGTGGGACGCGCTGGTTACATATGCGGGGCAATCTGGCTCTCAAAAGCATTAAACACTTCAGTACCACAACAAGATTTACATGAAATTTGCAGTGTAATGGTCGCTTCTGGACGCGAATATTCTCAAAGGCACAAATCTCCTTCACCCTTAATGTATGCCTATTACAATGTGGAATATTTAGGTGCTGCTCACGGTCTTTGTAGTATTTTGCAAATGCTTATGTCTGTGCCAGGTTTTCTAGATGCAAACCCTAAAGATGCTCTTGCTATAAAACAATCTATAGACTTTTTACTGAGCCTACAAGATTCCGAAGGCAATTTTCCTGCTGCTATGGATGAAGTGCATCTGTCCAAAAATGAATTGTTACACTGGTGTCACGGGGCGCCAGGAATAATTTATCTTATGGCCAAAGCTTACCTCACATGGAATGATGTCAAATATTTAAACTCTTGTATTAAAATGGCAGATATTGTTTGGAAGAAAGGTTTATTGAAAAAGGGTCCGGGTATTTGCCATGGAGTGGCAGGAAACGGTTACGTATTTTTGTTAATGTACCGTTTGACTAATGAACATAAATATCTTCATAAAGCTCTCAGTTTTGTTAACTTTTTGGAAAATGATAAATTTAAACGGGAAGCAAGAATCCCTGATCACCCATACAGTCTTTATGAAGGCATCGCAGGAACTGCCTGTTTTGTAGCTGACTGCACCAACCCCATAGCTGCTGCGTTTCCCTTTTCCGACATTTTTTAATTTTACAAATATCCTCTATTCTATCTTTCTTAAACTTTTTACAAAATGTTTTAATTCAGCTGTAATTTATTAAATCAATTACAATAAACTGTTTTAAATCAATTTTTTTTTTTGAAAAAAAAAATTTATTAAAAAATAAGGACAAAATTCCAACTTATTTAAAGCAACGTCGAAAGGTAATTAAAACTTGCGTGATAAAACATATCTGTTCAGTTACTACATCTATGCACATGCAAAAAAGAATGAAATATAATGTTCATTTAATAATAAGAACGAGAAGATTATTGAAATTATCCTGTCTTACAAGAAGGAAAAATTGAAATAAATTGATGTTTAAATTAATAATCATTAATCACCGAATGGGTATTGTTACATATGTAGGTCAGCTTGAAAGTAAATTTCAACTGTCTACTTTCATATTAGACAAAGAATACCAAAAAAAGTGAAATATGGTACTTTTAAAAATACGACTTCGAGCGTTTATAATGGTTTTGTTAGTAAAAAGTTTAACTTGCGAATTTGATGAACAAATTATCTTGAACTTCATTGAAAGAAAAGAAATAACGCAAGTGGCATTTTTTACTTGTGATACTGAAAAGGGTGACTTAACTATTCTAAAGAATTTCTTGAACAACGTGATAATCTTTTTCATTTTAGATAACGTTAATTTGATTAGAAAATTTGTTTATGAAAAGTCGGTAACATTGCAAACAGCAATTTTTAATTTGGAAAATCTTAATAATGTAACAGTAAATTCCATTTTATTCTTTAGAGAACGACAAATGGCTATGATATTTGAAAGTGACTGCAAAAATGTTAAAGACATCTTACAGGAAGTAAGGCTTAAACGAAATACGCCAGGAGAATAATGTTTTCGTTTTCAGTTTGGCGATAAAAGATTTTTTTATGAAACATTCCGATGGTTAATTTTTTCTAAACACCTTAATTCTATTATACTGACATTGCAAAATGTAAACATTAATATAAACACAGACATAGAAATTGTAGTAAAAAACGTATCATTAATTACTTGGACAGTTTTTGAATGTTACAATCCAGCGTTTCGTCACAATGGTATTCTACGTCTTCAAAAAATTGGCCACTGGCATAACAAAACTTCTAACAAAATAAAGTATAAGTACGGAAAATTTCATAGAAGACGAAATATGTCGGAAGTAAAATTTAAAACAGCGCTAGTGGTATGTATATTTTTTTAGAGTTCCGTATCAAATAAGGCGAAAAGAAGAACAGTTTTAGAAAAAAAGTTAAAAGTATTTTTTATGTTAACTGAAAATAGGTTCAGAATAGAAAATCAAAATTTAAATGTAATACCAAATTCGAATGGGATTTCATATAAAGAGCTCTAATTCATAATTCTAAAGAATACTAAATACATCGTTGTCTCAAATTTATATTTGATGATTGCGGTTTAAAATAATATTGCACCTTCTATTTACGATTATGATTTTGAAATCACCATCTGCGTACTTTTAACAGCAATTCGAAAATAGTATTGGCGTAGGTCGCAGGTACATGTGCTAATTATCAAATGTAAGATTTTGGCATTCTACGTTTATTAAAAAAGAGTGCGGGACGACTGGTCACGCCTAAAACGTGTTTCCAAATTATATATTACAATTTACAGATCACATTAAATGGTACCGTTGATGTTGATAAATATGCACTTGATGAAACCAGTCGTCAAAACAATACTCACAGTAGATACCACAGTGTCGCAATGAGAATCTGCAGGGATTACTATAATTTTTCGTATGATGTTTGGAATATTACCCTTTTAGCAATAATTCACTCCAATTTATCTACTTTTAGAATCGAATTGATGGGCACAAACTCATGGGGTTACGAAAAGTCTAATGGCACATTTGATGGATTAGTAGAAATATTGCGTACGAATAAAGCGGATTTTGGTTCCGCTCCTTTGTTCATTTTTAGAGCTAGAGTACACATTCTTAGTTTAGGTTACGGAACATGGACATTTGAGTACATAAAAATATATATTATAGCCGTTCATAAAAAAAAATGTTACTTTTTTTCTTTCTATTTTCAGTACCAAATTTATATTTCGCCATCCAAAAAACACAGCCTCATCAAAAGAAATATACCTCAGACCGTTCACAAGTAGCGTCTGGTTTAGTTTAATATTTTTACTTGTCCTTTTCGTTTTTATTTTCCGATGCGCTGTACCGTATGAAACTAACACAGATATGTTTAAAAATCACAATACTTTCAGTTGCATAATTCTGAATATAATTGGAATTTTATGCCAACAAGGTAAATAAATAACTAAAAAAAAATTAAAAATGAGATTATGTACGTTGTTTTCTATTCTTTTTTAGGTTCTTTGTATTCCTCACGCCTCTGTAGTATCAGAATAAGTATATTTGTAGCGTTGCTCTTTTCGTTTCTAGTCTACCAGTTTTATTCAGGCATTATTGTATCTTATTTGTTAATGGACCCTCCGAGAACCATAACAAAAGTGGCAGACTTAGTTAAAAGCACTTTTGCGGCTGGATGCGAAGACACACTTTTTGAAAGGAATCTTTTAAAGGTAACTAGAATTAAACTACTAAGGGAATTCTACTTTTCCATAAATGACTGCAGCTGTCTACGGATCCACTGGTACGCGAATTAAGAGATACGAAAATAAGGGACAATTTTTATACTGCACAAATGGGATTTGAGAAAGTCCGTAAAGAAAAATTTGCTTTCCACACCATGAGCAGCGCTGCTAACAGGATTATTAGGGCTACGTTTAGTCCTAAGGAAATTTGCGACTTGCAGGAAATACGAATGTACACTGTTCAACCGCTATATTCGGCCTATCCGAAGAGATCACCTTTTAGAAAACTACTAAACTACTGGTAAAAACGTAGTAGTAAAGATATAGTCAATGTATTTCATTGCATTCGGTTTTAGTCTAGTGCATCAGGCTGAAGTGGGAATCTTGGACAAACTGAAGAGGTTTTGGAATTCTCCGAAACCTCAATGCGTTAAAACGTTAAGCGATACAGAAATTGAAGTAGGGATTGAAGAATTTTATTGGGCTCTGATGGTTTTGTTAGTAGGAACTATAAGCAGTATTGCTATATTTTGTAGTGAATTTCTTATCATCAGGAAAGGATTTAAAGAAGCGTCTTTAAATAAGAAGGAGAGAAAGCCAAAAATAAACAGAAAAAATAAAAAACATTGCAATGTAAAACGTAAAACTATCAGTTGCAATTTACCATAAATATTCACAAAACATGTCTATCTTGCATTTAATAGAGAAATTAATATAGTAGATGTATAGAAATAATTATGCCCGTTAACTTAATTTACATTAAAGTGTAAATTCAATATACCATGTATAGCACCTAAACTTTTTATTCTGAAAGAATTTAGGTTGCGTTGGCTTACAAGTAAAAAGTATTATTTTATTAAATTAATGGAAGAAAAAATTCGACCTCAAGAAAAATTTAATAAAAGACCATCTAATAATTTTGAAAAGGCCAAGTAATGGTACGATTTTAATTTCAAACTAGTATTTATTAAAAAGAAAAAATTGACTCACTCATTATTGCAAATACTGTTTGCACATGGCTCTCAAGAAGACGCTTTTTCTCAAGTTACTCGCCTCTCTCTTAATCTCTTCATTGTTGTTCGCGTTTAATTCGAGTAACCCCATTACCTGTATGGCTCTCTTTCGACGCTGGAACTCGCCCCTCTTGTGATGAACGTGCACCAGTAATTCTAGCATGCTCATATCCCAGAAACAAAGGTAGTATGCATCCGCAGCATCGTAACATACTTTCTGTTCGGCTAAATTTCGAAAAGCGAACATATAGTCGGGCTCGTCTAGAAACTGACAGAGGACTGATGCCTGCGTGTGACAGTTTAATGTACTGCACGTCTTTATCATCCTTTTGATAACGAGGTCGTCGTTTCGAATTGGAATGTTGAAATGATCACTGGCAATCACCAGTGACTTAAGGTAATAACTCAAAGCGGCTTCATGGTGACTATTTGCTAAAAAAAATGGGTTATAAAGTTTATTTGTAAGAATTTGACGTGATTATAGAAACATTTCTAAAATACTTAATACCCATTCCTTCTTTGGAAAACAATTATATATTTATCTTGTTTAAATGTTTACAGAGAACAAAGTTAACGAAAACGTTTTTTGTCAGTAATTTATCTATTAAAGTTCAGTATATAACGAATGGCGACGTACTGCCTTCATTTTAATGGTTTAAAATCTTCTCTTATTATTTAAAATAGCTACCTTCAGTTGTTCATAAAAATTATTTCAACTTACCATAGTTGATATCACCCATCAATCTCAGCCATGGCACATTCATGGGATAATAGTATAATGCTTGTGTCAAAACTTGAGATAAAACTTCGCAAACATTCTTTGTACTGTATGAATTAGCACTATAAAATGGATACATTTATTAGTTAGTATTGAAGTAATTTAACGTTAGTTGTTTTTTTTACTTGCTCACGACTGCTGGCCACAATGGTAAATAATCAGTGTGTAATTCTAAACTGGTCTCATCCCTCAAAATGTTGTATAATCGTGCCAGCAATGAAATAATTATTGTAAAAATGGTTGAGTCCCTGATATGTGGCAAAAAGGACATTAATGTCGCTTTACTATTACTCTGAGGTGAATCACGATGTATTACAGTGGCATTTCCCGAACTAGAACGTTTAGTTTGCAGTGGAGCAGAACTAAACGCTGGAAGAACTAGAAACAAAATATATTTAAAATTAAATATATGCCGGTTTTGATTATTCAACATACGCTATACTGTACCTAAAAATTTAAATTTAAAATATTCTTATTGTTTTGAAATTATATTGAAACAATAAATACCTACCTATTTCCCACAGGTCCTTGGCCACTTTTTTGAAGCCCTTATACTTTTCTAAGTCTTGGCATGCGGTCATTATGGCAGAAGCAATTTCTGAATAACTCCATCTTTTTTCAAATGAGGATAGAAAGTCCCATTTGGTCAAATTTAATAGGCAAACGGCACAATACTCAATTATTTCTGTCCTTGGAAGAATCGACTCGCTGGTTTGTAAACAAGCCTCACATGCCTGAGCAAGTTCATTTTTATCTAGTGAAAACAATTAAAAATATATAAGTTTTATTACTAGTATTAGGCCTCTTTGCAGCACATAACATTATTATCTTTTTAAAAACCTACATTTTAGGCAAAACTATAAAAATATACTACTTACCCATGTCAGGTGCAGGCCACTGATCCATCAATTGGTTTATTTTAACTAGAAGAATTTCCCATTCGATTAATCGTAATAATTTTGGAACTGCATTGCCAGTTTCTTTTTGAATTTCATTTGCCACTATATTTAAATATTCCACGGAAGTGCTCCAATCTTTGCTTAGCATCATCTCTCTGGCTTTTGCTAGCATGATAAAACTGTAGTCTTGCAAAAACCCTACGAAAATTTTAACTTATTTTAAAATTTTATTAAATATCCAAATTAGACTGTACCCTTTGGCATTGTAACAAGTACGCTCTGAAGAGGTATGGGCAATTCCCAACAAGGATTGATCTTCCATACGGGTTTATTTGAGTTTTTTGTACAATATTTAACTAACAATTCTTTTAAAACTGAAGGATCATAGGTCAACATTAACTGTTTCTCTAACACCTTTATATCCAAAGAAGGATTACCTAAATTTTAAAAAGATTCATAGTGCATATTTGAAATTATTAGAATATACATCTGTAATACTGAATTTCTTACGTTTAGTATATAGTTTTACAATCTCCAAATCCTTTCCATGTAAAGTGTGTGGAACATGTACTGCATCTACTACTTCTTGGTTCAGATTTTGCAATTCAATATTGCTGAAAAGGCTGCGTAAAGTACTATCAGACCTAATTTTATTAAATAGTTTGTTTTCTTTCTGATTCAAAATTAATTTTATCAAATATTGCTTTATTATTAATTTATCTTTGTCAATGCATGCGTTTATCGTTGGAGTTACAGCCTAAAAAAGAAAAAGAAAATTGAAACATTATTAGTCACTCAATAATTTAATTTCTACCTTAATAAACAAATCTATTGTATCAGAATTGAAGTTGTATCTGCAAGTTGTTTTTTTATCAAATAAGCATCTAACACAATTCAAAGCTTGTATTCTAGGTAAAAAATCTCGAGCAGCAGTGAATTTTCCACTTGAAAGTGCTCCTTGAACATCCAATTCTAAACTAATTCGGTGTACTAAAGAAATTTCTCTGGTGAGATTATCCTGCTGTAATATATTAAAAATTCCCTAAAAGACATACTTGATTATTAACATCTCTAGAATCACAATTGTATCGAAACTCACTGTATATTGGTTTGCTATGCAGTTGTAAAACTGCTGCATCAAGCATGGCTTCGTATCTTCAATTTGGGCGTTACAAGCCAACAGGTAGCCTTTTAGATTTTCTCTATCTATATTTGCAAAAACAAAGTCACTGCAATTTTTTAAACAGTGGGCAGTGTTAGTGAAATGCAAGGCAGCTGCTTCGTAATTGCCATTATGAAAATAATACACAGCAAGATTGTAATTAATTTGAGCAGAAATCTCATCCTTTGGAATCATTTTTGCTTTTTCCCAATCGTTTTTTACCTCTAGATCATTCTCAGTTAACATAATAAAACATTCAAAAACAGGCATTTTGGGCGTTTTTGTCCAATTTAATACTTCCTTCAGGAATTTAATGCTTTTCTGAACGTTTTCTGGAGAATATACCACATCTTCTTCAGGTACTGTTATGTCCATACTGAAAATGATTTAACTACTATCAAGTAAAGACAATACCGAATTTGAAGATGTATTCACATATCAATTATGAGAAAGGAAGAAAGAAACAAAAAGGAAAAAAGAGACAAAAGAATAATGCACAAAGTAAAAAATTATTGGAATAAGGCAACTTGGTTATTACAATATTTAACAATATCATTCTAGTACCACATACCAGTAGCCTTTAAAAGCTGTATTATTTGTTGAATTATTTACAGAAATACTTAATACCCAGCTGTGGTAAAGAATTATAGCAAATAAATAACACGGAAATGCAGATTCAACATTGGCATCTGGAACATTAGGAATATCAACAAGTTCTTTTTTGTCACTAGTAAAATATAAAAGATTTTGCATGAGATCCATTTGAACTCTGAATGGCAATGCTATGATTTGATCTGTAACAAAACCAGACATATATTTTATTTTTATTTTATCAAACCCAATTGTATTAGTTTACAACATATTTAAATGCCTGCACAAAAAATATAGGAATGTTTTTCTTATAAGCACATTAATTACTGTCTCTTAGTTATAGTAATAACATTTAAGTTGCTACTTTTAAACATTAACCACTGAAATGGTGTTGAGGAAAATAGTATACTTAACATAATATTAATAAATTTACTTTTTAATATTTATAATGAATTTTTAAATTATGATTTTCAATTTCAATCTTATATCTAAATATGCCAAGTGNTCAATAAATTTATTTTGATAATATAAAATTATTTTGGTGTAGTGAAAATTTTTCTAGAGGATCTTCTAAATACAATTATATAATGAAAATATAGGTATTACTTTTTTAGTTTCTACTAAATTATTTAAAATTTTAGAAACTAGTACTAAATCAACATTTTGTTTATCTTGGAATAATGTGCCTAACTTAGGATTAGTTTTGTTTATGATCTCTGTTTTCAAATTTCTTACCTAAATTCCATCCACCAAAAGCAGCAACTTTTAAACATAAGATTTTAAGAGCAATATTCTTAGAAGACTGTTTTGGATAGCAAAAATCACTATTAATATCTGGAGTTTTAACTTCTCCATTTTCTTCAATCTTCTTAGTATCAAGTTTATTGGCAGAGCCAAATATTACGGAATAAAATTTAATGGTAAGATCAACAGGAGCTGGATCTGCAACAACAAATTGTGTATTATGTCTACATATAATATTCTATTATTATTATACAAACCAGGATTACTCTTCTTTAAGTGGTTTAAAAGCAAATCTTCACTTAGGAGAAACTCAAACCAGAGAATTGTTTCAGGTGAAATAGGTACAGTGCCAGGCCTCAACAATTCTACGTCCATTATATATTCACTATTCTAACTTCAGACTAAAACCATTTTTAATTCGTGTTTTAATAGGATATCTTTTATATTCCTTCAATTCTTAACAATCTAAATAAATAAAACTGTTATGCTAATACATTTACAAACTTGTTAAGCATCGATATTGTTAAGCATGTTAGGTTATGTTCATCTTTAGATTGTTTTTTAGATTTTTGGTACAGAGAGCAAAGGAGAACAATTGTTGTTCAAAAAAGTATCCCAGAAATCCGAAATTTGAAGGCAATTTACTGACGCCAGGGCTATCTTAAATTCTACAAAAAAAAATTATTCAAATTAATGTTAATTAATAATGTACTGGCTTTAAAATAGGAAACTTGCCAAAATCTTTCAAGAACATGTATTTTTAAGTCACAATATTTTATTGTAGTAAAAAAGCCAATTATAGGCCAACGATCATTTTCACCACTGTGGTTTATTAATAAATTAATTTTAATTAACGATATTCTACTAATATAATAGTTACCTACTTACTTCTGATAGGTACAAAATATATTTTTCATTATTATTTAGTAATAGTTAAGTTATTTATTATTGTTGGTATAAATTTAATTTTAATAAGTTTCAGTTAGGTATAATGTATAATTTTATGGTACCTCTTTCAAAAATATACAATAGTACCTATTTCACAAGGGGGGATGTGAAACTACAGGTTGCTACAGGTGTTCAATTTGAGATTTCGACCAATTAGTCAGTTCTACATTTTGGCAGGAGTTTAGTAGTTCGTAAATTGTTGCGGTGCGTGTGTTATCTACCTAAGATCAAATAGTTTCAACACTGTCTCCTCCACTCAATCGTTTTATTTTCATTACTTTTATAATAAATTTTGAATTCGTTTACATATTACAAGGACGCTTGTGAGTATTGTCATTATATTTCGATCGCATTTGAGAGGTATGTAAATAAGATATTTTTTTTTTAAAGTTTTTATAAGCATTATTATTTTAGGGAATGGGTGTTAACAATAGTAAAAAATCAAAATCGGAGCTCTCTTCCTTATCAGCAGACGAAAAAGCTATCGTTTTGAAAACTTTTAAATTAGCTAGTAAAAATTCCGAAAGATTAAAACAGGACGATCTCAAGGTACCTATTGTTTTGTTGAAAAATGTTTGTATTGGTTAAATTCTGTTTGTTTGCTTTAAAAATACACACAGTTCTGACGTGTTTAACATAAAATATATGTGCATGTTCATACCTTAATTTCAGGCATTTTTCGTAAATATTTTATATATGTAAACCACATTAGAAAAGTCACTATCATCATGGTTTACAAAACTGAAGAATATAATCTGTTCAATTTTTAACTTTTGTGTGAAAATATTCGCCTTAAAATTTCATAACCTCGACCAAATATGATCTTGGCATAAAAAAAGATATAAATATTAAAACCCTATTGACACCGCCAAATACTACAACATTTTTATTAGACAAGTATAAGTAAATACCTAAATACCTATCTATTCTATCACTGATAAAAAAGGAAATAAATATAATTGTGTCAAAATACACAGGGTGTTTTAAAATATTAGCCATAGCCAGCTATGTTTATTAATTTACAATGCCGGGAATATTTAAATATTGCGCGCCTTTTAAAAATTATACTTTTTATCGGACCATTAAATTTTACCTTTGATTAATAAAAGTGCCATTTTTAATAAATTTTTAATGGCACTACAGATGTTTTATTCAGTTTTTATCAACAGAACCTTGTCAGAAAAATGTAGGTGCTTGTTGTTATCTTTTTAGCTTTCGGTGTAATTCAACAGATGTACCTTGTGTAATATTATCGTGTAAATATTTATAACATTTTATCTATTAATACTTTAAAGGTAATTGCAAATTGTAGGCAAATAATGTAATGAAGTTTTTCATGACGGGGGAGAAACACGTTTAGATTATCTTGTTTTTCGCCAACTTTAATATCTTTTTCGCATTATAGGGATTTTGGAACTTCATAAATGAAATAATGAAATTTTTCATGACAGAGAAGCCCATATATACTTCAACGATATTTTTATCATTTTATTTAATTACCGGTTCCCTATTTTATTAATGGAATTTAAGATTCAGGAATAAACAATATTATATAGGTATTAAATAATATAGGTATATCAATGTATTATTCAAACCCCTGGGTCTAGAGATTTCAAATTTTGTACACACGCCCCTTATACAACACGTACACGCAAGCTTTAAAAAAGGGCCTTTTTATCTATTCAACTCAAAATTTGATGTATCGATCAAGGCACAGCCCAAACTGAGATACGAAGCTTGAAATTTTGCCACCTTTAAATGTGTCAAAAGGTTTGCGAATTTCACACGAGCGAAGTCCTGGTTAAATAATTTTTTATCCTTTCTTATTACAGGACTTTTGGGGGTCACGAATAGATGAAAGACTGTTTCATTACATATCCAATTATTTATTTAATGGAGGTAATGGATCTCACCATAGCGACGAGGTACAAATTGAAACTTTCAAGAATTTGTTTATTTGTTCAGTGAGAGGTACAGTGGACGAAAAACTAGATTTTATAAAGAAATCGATTGGAAATAAGAAATTTGTAGATGGTGAATTACCATATAACGAACTTAAAGAGGTAAAAAGCAAAGGATTTAGTTGTAATCATTTCTAAAACTGTTCGTATTATTTTTCTTTCTTTTTTTTTTTTAAATCAACAATATAGCTAAGATATACATACGTATACGCGTGTGTTTAACGTTGTTTGGTTTCTCTCGGAAATAAATCACGTTTACGAGGGGCTTTCGTTCTTACGATTAGTTTTTGCGTTTTATGACTGCAGTTTAATTTATTATCGAGATGCAGAAATAGAATGTGGTAAGATATGTCTTCCGAAGTATAAAATAGCCATAAAATCATGCAACGGTCATGACTGGAACGGACACGTTTCATTAAATGCCAGTCCAACATGTTCGTCTTATTACGAATAAACTGTGAACATACTGAACACTTTATAGTTTATTTACAAACAAGTAGCCGAATATTTAAAAAACCTAGTTAATAGAATCGTACATAGAAAAATGCTAAAGTCGCAAAGCTTAATGTACAACATCGAAAAATTAGAACTACATCACGCTTTGTGATTTAAATGTATAATTCTACTGTCCTATAGTTTAGAAAAAAGTATTTTCTGTTTCTTATTTTTTTCTGAAAAGTAATCAATTGAAGTCAGCATATTTTAATATTTAATATATTAATATGTCTAAAGGGTAAAATTTAATTTTTTTCAACTTTTGCTATGTTTTTTAACCTTAAAGTTGTAACTAAATTGGAAATATTTAGCTTACGATTAGTTTTTCTGTAACATATACGAAGATTGTTTTGTTTCCGATTAAGGACGTTTGTTGAATTTTAGAATTAAAATAGTTTCTGGAGCAATAGTATGTGAAGAGTGTAAGTTACGTGGAGACGTAACTATAGGGGGTGGTACAATAATTCATCCAAGTGCTTCTATTATTGCAGAAGCAGGACCAATAATTATTGGAGAAAATTGCCTCATTGAAGAGCAGACCAAAATAATTAACAAGTAATAATAATGGTAAAAGTAAAAACATTCGAAATAGCCAGTTAACATAAGATAATTTTAGAGCTCCAGTGGGTCAAATTGATAATGAAAACGTTCAAGAATTAATTATAGGATCAAACAATGTTTTTGAAGTGGATTGTGCTATAGAAGCCATAAAAATTGGAGATAACAATGTTTTTGAATCTAAGAGTTTTGTAGGTAATAAAGTGACTATTACAAATGGATGTATTATTGGAGCTGGATGTCGTTTGACTGAAGAGCAAACACTAAAAGAAAATACAATAATTTATGGAGAAAACTGTAACATGAGAGAAGGATTAGACAGGCCTTTGGTAAGTATAAAATAATTTTTAAACTTTTGGTTAAAAAATTCTATATTTTAGCCACAAACACTCCAAATGGATACTTTGATTAGAATGTTACCAAATTATCACCATTTGAAAAAACCTAATTTGGTGAATAACAAGAAAAATTAACTATATTGAACCAAATTAGCTTTAATTTTGGCAATTTTTATAGTACCATAAGAAAACATTTATTATTGAACACTAAGTAATGAATATAGGGCTTTTAAGATGTTAGCATTGTATATTTAATTATCAATATCTATTTATGAATTTGTAATTGATTTTTTTTTATAAAGCATTTTCCAGAATATTTATTAAAGAACTTCAGTCAAAAATTAGATTTCAAAGATAAAATGTAAGCATTACCCTGGAATTAAATACAAGCAAGCTTGTTCAAGGCAATTTTAAACAATGAACGATGAAACAATTAACTAACTAAAACACAAATAATTCATTAAATAGTTATGAAGTATTAAAAAGTCTTCCTTTTTGTGACAAATGAATTTTTTTTCGGTACAAGAATCTCCTGGAAATTTCGGCAAAAAAAGAACAAAAAAATTCATGTGGCAACGCTGGATGAAGGTATGTATCGTTTGATTTCATGTNAGTAATCGAAGCTGTAAATGGTTATTTTGAGGAGCTTGACGAATCAGTCTATAGAGATGGCATTAATAGACTGGAACACCGCTATGAGAAATGTATCAGCCTTGGAGGAGATTATGTTGAGAAATAAAAAAAAAAAATTTTTAAAAACCTTGTTTTTCTTGGTCAGGCCGGAAACTTATCAATCCACCCTCGTATTTCTAAAAGAGCAATCTCCATTAGTTTGTGAGGATTGATTATAATCAATATCCCATTGGTATTTTTTTTTTATCAGAAAGTATAACAGCTCAAATGTGCCAAGTTTTTATATATAAAATTTCTTATTCAAAATTTAAATATCTTTTCACTTTCTAAAAGTACATTTAAAATTACATAGTAAATTCTTGGAAAATTTAATCGCCTTACGGAGATACCGAAATAGAAATTTTTCAGATTTGTTTATTTTGTAACGTTTCTGAAGTACAACTAATGTAAACTTGGAGAACGATGTGTTTATATTACATTGCAACATTTTAACAATTCTTACAGTACCTGCTTAATTTTGCTTCTTACGTAAATGTGTGCGTTTCACCAAAATTGATGCTTTTCTAAAAAAAGGGACCTTTCTTTTGATGTTCACGAACATCGAGGTTAAACAGAAATCAATTTGCTAGGACCATACCTACATGCTTTTAATGATTAAAAAAAAAAAAACGGAAAGAACGAAAGTTTCCGCGCCTCTAGTTTAGCTTTCTGTTGAGACTCATATTCAAAAGTCAAGAAAATTGCTGAAAGTTATTTAAGTAATGATGATTTCTTGATATTCTAATTGTATTCGCTCAAATACGATTATGTTCTAGCAGCATGTACACAAATAAAATAATTATTTTCGTTTTTATTCTAGTTTGTAGACAGTATAGTGTCATCGTATGTTCAAGTACAAAATGCATCGAAGAATAGGGATTTGCAATCTTGGCATTTCAACGCAACAAATCCACAAAGTTTGGTGCGTTTTTCTGAGAGCATTCTAGAGCAATTCGACCAAAATTGTATAGGCGATAGAGCATTGGAGGGGTGGATTCAAACGGCTACATTGTTTGCACAACTGCAAAAGCTTCTGTTTTACAATTTATTTGGTGCAGGTGTGAGTAAAAGCCATGACGTTAAAGACCCTCACATGCACGGGGATAGTGACGAAAGTGTTTTGATTGGTTTGCATAAAAATTACGAACTATTGCCTCGTTTTACAGGCCCTGATTTGCCTGCACACTATAAGAGCTTGCTAGATATAAGCCAAATGATTTTTTTGAATGCGCACCTCCCCCAGGAAAACCAAAACGAATGGAGGCTGCTGTTTTCAACCGACATACACGGTGAATCGTTTTCTACACTTATAGGTAATTTAGAGGAGAAATATTTTTAATAGGAATACCTTGAGTTACATTCTTTCAGGAAAAATTATGAATCAGGGCGCCACAGTCATTATAGTTGAAGATAATCATGGCCACATTTTTGGTGGATTTACTCCTGTTAGTTGGGCAATGAAACCGAAATTTTATGGTGACAGTGGCACTTTCCTTTTTACTTTGGTTCCTAAAATGAAAGTTTATCATTCAACTGGCTATAATGATCATTATCAATACCTCTGTCTTAATCAACAAACTTTACCAAATGGATTGGTAAATATGTAGTTTTTTTTAGTTTATAATTTTTTATTTTATTTCTTCGTTTTTAAGGGAATGGGCGGTCAGTTTCATTATTGGGGCCTTTGGTTAGATCACGATTTTGGCCATGGTCAGTCCAGTGAAAGCTGCACGACCTTCAGTGAATACAGTCAATTATCCAACACTAAAAATTTTCGTATTAAGAACATTGATGTATGGGGTGTGGGGATGCCAGAAGAAGTTGAAACTACCGACGAAGCACCCGCTAAAAGTGTTCTCGATACCAATATCGAAACCAAAGCAGTTTTACAATTAGCTGGAAGGAAAATTCATAGTGAAGGAATACGTGAAGAAAGTAACTAGTAGGTCTGTTTGACTATAATGGTACAAAGCAATGGTACCAATGAGTCATGATAATCTATTGTAGTAGTTGACAGCTTTATGATCTCCGAATCTTCAAAAGTATTACAGTTTCTGTTCATGAATACTGATCAAATGTTGTTTGTCAGCTTGATTACAATCATTTTAACCGTCACGTTGCTGTACTTTTTACAAGTTGTTGATTTTACTATTGGGGGCACAACATTCCAAATTTTTTTTATTGCATTTTGGTTATTTCTTTTTCATTTGCCTCACTTAATAGTTTTTTGTGCTGTGCAGGGTAAACAAGATTCTAGTCATGTTATTTGTAAGATCTACAAAAAAGACCATATTGATTATAAAATAATCTCTACAAAATGAGTTTTCCAAGATTACTTATCGACTCTTACAATTAAATGATACTATTTAGTCCTGACAAAAGTATCTATTTAATAGTTAAAATTAATTAGTATAGGTCACGAAAATTGCTGTGCCTTTATGAAAACACATTAATCAATCGTTTTACGCTTTTTAAGAATTAAAATATGAAAACTGAGAATAAGATAAGTACAAAGACAATTAAGTTAAATAAAACTACAGACTATTCTAGTTATTTTCAGTTTTACATATCGTAATAAAGTATATATTTTATTAGTAATCAACAATTATTTATTGTTAATGAAGAAGCTATTTGTGAACGTTTTCGTGTTGTTTTGCCTTTGTGAAGTATAAGTTAATGATCGTTAAAAATAAACGACTATTTTCGACAATTTTATTTCTTTAGCATAAGTGTGTACATCGTATTTCAAATAACTTGATAGAATTCATGATGTGAAAGAATGTACAAGTTAACGAAACGGATTCGCAAAGGACCGTTTCACTGGAAACCCAATTTCAAAATAATAATAATAATATTAATAAGTAATAGATAAGAAAACAAAATAGCATTAACTCATAATTGAAAATAAAAACCAATTTAAACGAAAAAGGTGCAAAGCAAGAAAAACAAGTTCAGGACACACATGAAGATTCCAAATTAAGAAAAATATTTCAGAAACAACACGTCTTTGCCCTTTTTATTCGTATACTTATTTCCTATGTACGAAAGTTTTTATACAATCCTTTTCGCTCTTTATAAATTAATTTAAAAAATGACCGAGGCTTTAAAACATTACTACAACAATTCAAGATAGTAACGAAAATTAAAGAACAAGTTATATCCTTTTACTTGGCCTGTCCATAATAGTGGCAGGTGTTTACTATAATAAATTCTGTAAAATTTACCGGTATATATAAAAAATAAATTCTTCTGCATTTTAGTCATTCAAGATGATTTTATTAATACCATTATAATGGTTATTATTTGTAAAATTTTTTATGTAACTACGTAGACTTGGTAAAGAAGACCGATCCAATTCCCATAAGAATGAATTTCAAACATTGTCTGTTTTTTCTTTTTCTTCATTTAACGTCACAAAACTATTTATTTTTCTTGTAGACCGGTCTATTTAAAGTTATGGTGCAACCCTTTTTTATCAACGAGAAAAGTCATTCTACATTTACTGCGAGAAAGTCAGTTTCTTATCTCTCCTTTTTACAATATTGGAATCACTAACCAGTCCACTTTTATTAAGTCATTTTTCAATATTAAGTTTTTGTTGGTTCTTGTGTACAACGGATCACTTTTCAAGTTCCATTTTCATTCGTTTTCTTAACCGTTTCGCAGGTGGTTCGTCTAAGCTTTCCTCCAAAACAGGTAATTGAATTTTTGTCTCCGACGCTTCCGAAGGCTGCATAAATTGTAAAAAAAACAAGAAAACATCACGTTATACATTTTGTATTAAATTAGTTTATTACTGAAAAGTAGTATTAAAAAATTATGAAAATTTTAAGATAAAAAATCATAAAGCAGATAAGAGGCCAATTATAATTAACATATAAAAAATGATAAAAAGAAAAAAAAACTGCATGAAAATGAATCAAGGCAAAATCAATCATTAATCGACTTTCAATTGAATACTTAAATAATTTTTGCAATACTTAAAAATACACACTAAGTAAGAAAGTTCACTAAAAATTCCATTTTCCTTTATTTATTTATATTTTATACTGTTAAAGTAAAAAATAAATAAAACAGATAGAAAAGAGACAAACTTTGATTACAGAATTTCTTTTAATAATCCAGTATAATTATTTCAACATTTACAATGCCTTTCTCAGGTGGATGAAAATTTTACACCTGAAGATGGCACTGCGTGCTGAAAAAATTATAAGAGATTTGCTGCACCAAAAAACACAAAACTTGTATTTGTTTTCTATTTGTGATGGAATTACAAAAGTTAAAAGCCTTATAGACACAATTATAAAACATCTATGTATATAATTATAGTAGATTCTGTGGTGGAATATTTAAATCAGAAAGTAATGATAATTTTAAGAAATCGGGGATATATAGAATTAGATGTGATAAGTGTAAAACCAATATATTGAAAACAAGAGGCGAAATTTCGACCTTAGATTTCACGAACACGAAAAATTTATTTTAAATAACACAATATCCCAACTTGCATAAAAAATAACCATAAGATCAGTAAAAATACATTTTCTATCCTTAGTATTCTAAATAGTAGAAAACTAAATTTCTTCTAAAATTAAAAACTCAGCGTTTTACTTCAAATGTACTAATTTACATTTTTTTTAATCACATGCAAAAACCTAAGTCAATCTTACCTGAACATCTATACCAGCTAGCTATTTAAATAAAAGCCAGAATCAAACATTGAATATAAATAAATAATAAATTACTTTTTAGCATTAGGTGTACCGTTTTAAAATAATTGAAAAAGTTACAATTACTGTTGGTTGCATTTCCTAAGGCAACAAAGTAATGTGTCTTTTTTTAATTTATTAAACCACACAATCTCAGCATTATTTTGTCAAAAAACGAATAAAATACATCTACTAACCTTGACATCAGTTCCAAGGGGCCCACACCCTTCCACTTTTGGTTTCACTTTGCTCTTCTTCGCCTGCCTTTCAGAATTAATGACGGATAGTGTGATACCACCTTTTTTATTGGGTTGATACTGTAACTCCGGTGGCAAGAATACTTTTGTGTTTACGAAATCATCAGGCTGAGGTGCGAAGTACATAGTTGGAATACGCGTCTCGCTAGGAAAATCTTTCATGTCGTAGTTTGTTGTCTTTGTTAATAGGAGACCAGTCGTGAGATCGCACAAAGCCCAAATTTTCTTCAAACAGAAAAACCTCATTAATAAGTGGTTCTAAATTAATTCCTGTGAAATTGAATTTGGATATAACAGTAACAGAAATACAAGCTCCTGTTTCCCTGAATAACGTTTAATTTTTTTATTATACGTTTAGAAAAGGAGGAAGTCCCCTTAGGCAGTAATAAATTACCTTTACACGAGTCTTATACAAAAAATAAGAGAATTACAAGAAAAATGAGGACTTATACCTAAATAAGTATAATTAATCATTAATTTAAATTTTATTAAAGATTTCTTTAAGAACAAAAAGTAAAAAGTGGAAACGATCAGACGTGGATCGCGACTTCGATCTTATTGGATCTCGTCAGCACACTGTAGATAGCTACAACATAATACGTCTACCTGTTGCCTTTAGACAATGTTTTATGAATTACTATAAACAGCGTAGTGAATCCCATTTAAATGTGGTAAGATTCTACAGACGTGAGTATTGATTCACAAAAGTATTTTAACTTGAACCTTTGTTTTAATAAAGATAGGTACTTAAAATGTTAAGACAAATACTTACGTAGTTAACGGAGTCGTCATCAGGTCTGAGGGCGTCTTTATGATTTTTCATTCTCTCTATTAAACTTTTGTAAAAACCAAAACTGAAATAGTCATTTAAAGTAACAAGTGGTTCGAGGATGAACCAAAGACATTGACGAGCACGTATCAAGTCTTGCACATCATCCCAACGGGAATACGCGGGATCGTGAGCTAAAATCGGTATCGCGAATACAAGCATATAATCAGGCAAGATGTGTGGTAACTGGGACATTGCTTTATCCATCTGACCGCTGGTCATTGTCAACGTTTTCACATAATCACGTCGCCTGTTTATGTCAGCTAACATGTAATTCCTTATGGTTGATTTTAGTCTCGATTCCGTTTCCCGACCGGCCAAAGCGTAATAGCCCATAAAATCTAACGGGAGACACTTATTTGGTAACCCACGACCTAGACCTTTATGCAACTTGGCAGAGAACCGTTCTCTTACTTGTTTAACTTCATCAACCATTAGTTGCGAGAGATTGTAAAATTGTTCGGCTGTGTATTGGTCACCAACACCTTTTTGTTCACAAACTTTCAGCATCGCACAGCCAGCTGCTAATCGGAGCCAGGCCATTTCCGCTTTAGTAAGTCGTCCCGATTGCAAAAGGTCTCCTTTATGTAAAATGAAGGCGTTCAGCATACGGAACGTCTTTTGGGCAGACGCAATGTCCTGTTTAAGACCTAGCAACCACCTGGCCATTGCCTTCAAACCCTCTACTTTACAACGTGTCTCTTCAGGAAGATCTTCTTCGCTGCACCACGAGTCTGGATCAATGCTTCTATCCCTGTCGTTGTCCGAGCTTTCCTTTACTAACAATTCTTTAACCAACTGTTAAAATACAACTATTACAGTAAAAACTTCATCACAATTAATTGTTACATACCTTTCTAGATATTATGTTTTTGATTTGAACTTTGCAGCGTTCAGGTACGTTGTATGCGATGTGTCCTAGGGTGACAATAGCAGTGCGATAATGGGGAGATTCAGGATACATATTCGCCTTGATGGTCTCGAGTATAGATGTGAACACTTGGTCGTGAAGATCAGGCATATTAACATAAATGCAACGGATTGCGGCTTTGGCTTGTTTGGGCGTCCCGTGCTCTGCAAGCTCTTTACAAATGGGTGCCAACTTGTCCATCTTTTCCTTAAACTGTTCATCTAAAAAAATATGTTCATAATTAATCTTGAAAAACAAACACGGTAAATGTTTCAACAATATTTATTTAAAAATATCAGTGCAATAATTTCAGCGAAAGGAGCATTTTCAAAACGTATTTGTTAATGACAGTTATTAACAAGTACTCTACAACTAAGGAGTCATTTTTAAATATAACTAGATTGTTGAAACATTTATTGTGCTTATTTTTTAAGATTAATTACTTGTGTTACGTTAAAAATGCACCGTTAATAGTTTAAATAAGTTGAAAATACCAACGTTTCTCAAAGAAACAAGTTACTAACATAGACACTTGTATTTTCCTAGGAATGTAAATACGGATAGCACAAGAGGAGATACATTTTCGTCTTCCAGTTGGAGTAGATTGAGAAGCTGATCCAAAACGTCATTGTGATGAAAATGAGACGAAAATACAGCACTGAGCATGACTAAAAGCTTCAATCCCCGATCTCCCGCAGTAGCTGGATGTAATCCAACCTCTTCAATGGTATTACCGCCCCTTAAACAGTCCTCCACATACCCTATCAACAATCTAATGGCCTCATGATCGACCATAACTGAACTCACACGTTCCAAAAGCATTTTAACTGTATTATAATAAAGATTAGTCATAACAGGTTGACCCAATTTTTTTAGGACAACTGCAGTAGCATCAGAACATTCCTGACAACTGACCGAAGGTCTAGCCACTGTTTCCATACTCTCTAACAGCAGAGGTTCTCTTCTTAGGTGTAAACTAAATTTCGAAAGGAACTCATTTGCTTTTACAGGTTCTGGCAGGCATCGAGACAATGCTTGTATTTTTACAGGGATTTTCTTTTCAATTTCTGGTGTCACTGGCCGCCTGTGGAGTTCCAACCATTCAAGCACCAATTTACGCACACATAGCTGATTCTTTTGAAGTTCCATAAAAGCTTTAGTGGCATGTTCATCTACAGTTCCTAGAAGATGATACAATTTTTTCATTCTTTCAGCAGCAGGTAATTGATATGGAACCAAGCAAGTATTAAGTAATCTCTCCACTAGCAATTTATCTTCCATGCTAGCCATGTAATATCCATGCAAGATTTTGTCCTTTATCCATGTAACTGCTTTTTTTGTGGCATTTGGGACATCTGGATCATTTAAGTGTTTTCTGTAAATCATCGCTAGGCCTGACATAGCTTCTTTTCTAATTTTAAATTTTTTATCCAATGTTCTTTCTTTAACAAACTCTAAGAGGTCTTCGGAGTCTGATACAACTTGAAAATCTCTCCTTGCTGTTGTTACAATGGCCATGACTACTTCATAACGTACATTCTCTTCAGAGTCGTGCTGACGCATCTTTAACGTTTCAGTTATATCCTTTCGTAAATCTGGATGATTTAAAAGAAAATGCATCGAATACTGTACGCATTTTGTACGTATAGCGACAGAAATATCGTTAAATCGTCCAAGAAATGCTCGCCAAAGGGCCGAATGTCTTTTGGCAAGTTCAGAATCTTTTTCACTGAACATTCTAGCCAAAAGCGCTACTGCTCCTAGTCTTTCTTGTTCTAGAGGACTTTTAAGTTTGCATTCAAGCTGTGGTAATACTTGTACTAAGACTTTAGGGCAAATGTGATTTAGTTCGTAAATGAGATCGTATACTTTGCCACTAATACCTAGATTTTTGTCCTCTTTACCTAAAATCAAAACTTGGTTAAAGAAAGCTTGTATGTAAGGCTCGAGGGTTTCTGAAGTTTTGACAATCAATTCTTTCGCGAGTAGGTATGCATTTTTTCGTTGTGTTTTATTTGGCTCAACGATGTTAATGAGAATAATGTCCAGCAGCTCATTGCTGACCATGTCACTTTCAGTAATGAGAGGACAAAGGACATCTAACATGAAACTCTTGACCCTTCCTGAGTGTTCATCGTTGACAATTTTGAACATAAGATGAAAGAGGGCGCAAAATATTTCTTGGCAGTCTTCTAGTTCAAAGCACATATTAAATGACTTGACATATGCTAGATTTTCAAGAAGGTAGAAGTATCTTTTGAAGGCTGCATCTTTTGGATCTTTAAGGCCTGTCAATTGTGCAATAAGAAACAAGAATATCGTTTTTACTTGTTCTGAATCTTTGTATGGTGCTTCAGGGGCATAAACACGTAATACATCAGCTATACAGCAGGCAATTAGTAACTGAACATCTCGAGATGTGTGTGTAAGAAACTGCTCTTCAGCAAGATGCAATGCTAGTGGTATATATTGTTGGTATGCTCCTTCATCTTGGCCCATTGCTTGAAGCGTGTGTGCAAGGGTTTTAAGACGCCTGATAAGCTCATCAGCGCCCAAATCGTCAGTTATGGGGCGGCAACCTGGAGGATACACTATTTCAGCCATTTTAATACCTAAGAAATAGAAAAAGACCCATTTATAAAACGAAATAAATACCAAAACAAATTAAAGCTACATTTTTTTTAACCACTTCAATTAAGTGATACCGAACTAAATAAATAAATGTACTAATTATGAATAGTTACTATTTCATATAACTTCATGTACAATATCTACAATAAGCCTTGTATAACTTAAAAAAAATCCAACTGATAAAAAGAATTGTACAGATATCTTCATTAACTTATTTGTACTTTAGCTGTCGCTAATTGCTAACCAAAAACAAGTATTTTTACGAAATAATAATTATCGACATAAATCATATTTAGATAGATATAGGCAGGTAATGGACGTTTCTAAACATATCCAAAAACAGAAGATGACAAAATACACCATTTTATTAATAATGTTGTTATGCTTCAACTTAAAAAGATTTTGCAATTAAAACAATTTAATTTTTAATACAATACTTGTATTTGAAACTGGTGAACATGTAATTTACCTCCAAACACACGTAAAGCGGTTACGCTACAACGTATGTAACGCAGGCAGACTTCAGGTATCACAAACGTTCTTCAGTTTTCTTCTTTAGAAGGCATGGTTTGCACAAAAATATTGCAAATCCTTTTCACAATAAAACAAAAATTATTTCAAACATTTTAAACACCTTTACAAACACCAATCATATTCCAAAAACACGTAATGAATCTCATAGTACTCGCCAAAACTAACAAGCTTGCGACACTATCAACGGTGGTTTGCAGCTATGTCAAAAAAGAACGCTTACTGCGATTATTTCGATTACAGTACACTACTTGTGGAATGCTATACACTACAGTGCACTCAATACATAAATAAAACAAAACGATATCGTTTAAAGTCACTACTTGCACTTATATTGCTCAAGTCTTTACAGTTTTATTAAAATACGTTTAAAAATTGCAAATATTAAGAGCGCATTGGTTTATAATTGAAATGTTACGATTTCAAAAACATTTTTACAGCACAAGATATTCAGCTAAGCAGCGGGCAATAATGAAACCATAAAGAAACAACTGATCAGTTTTGACGGAAATCGATAGCATAGAATATTGTATCAAATATAAATTCCTATAAAACTTCTTTACAGTAAACTNAATGTGGGTGTCAACGAATTGTTGATTAGTTTAATAGAAGCTGTTGAAGTATTTTCCGAGCACCAAAAGGTGGAAATTAGAGAGGAGGACGAGAGGGCAGCAAGAGAACTTGTTAAATGGGAACAAGATCAGGCATATAGGGAAAGTCTTGAAGCTGATAGGTAAGAATTTAATTATTGATCCTGTGTTTTACATTTTGCTTATTACTTTTCATATTCAGAGCGAAAGAAGAAGCGAAAAGACTTCAGGAAGAAGCCGAGAAACAGAAAGAAAAACAGGAAGCTCTAGAAAAAGCAGAAGAAGCAGCCAAAAGGGAAGCACATAGAAAAACTGTCGAGGCCAGTTTACCTTTAGAACCTGCTCAAAATGAATCCGACATAACTAAGATACGTTTTAGATTGCCTGGCGGGCAAAATATCGAAAGACGTTTTCTGGGAAATGATCCTCTTCAGGTTCGTTTGCTATCTTTTTTTTATATTTATAAATACAGTTCTTATTTTTTTAATGAATTGGTAGGTTTGATGTGTTTTGTATGCATAATAAAGGTAGTGATTGATTCTTTATAAACGAATTTAATATTGCGAAAATAATTATATGAACAAAAACAATGGCAGCAAATAGAGAAGAAATATTAGCTGATTTTCAGGTAAAAATATATTATTAAATATTATCTTTTGTTGTTAAGGTTAGGATATCTTATAGTTTTTTGTTCACTAGGCATGCACTGGTATTGATGATATTGCAGTCGCAATACACCATTTAGAAGAAACAGAATGGGATTTAGTGGTAAGTCTTAGCAAGGATCTGGTTGCTAATTTCTATATGTGAACTGTATTTTCAGAGAGCTGTCAATCGAGTGATGCCCCAAGCATCTCAGTCTTTTAATGATATGGAGGTAGTGGATGAACCTATAGAAATTCCAGTTGTTCCTGTTGAAACAGCCACTGATATGGTAACAGTAGGTAACAATGTGGGGCATCCATGTGCCAAAAGCATGCCATTTCTTGAAAATGATGTAGAAAGTCATTCTTCAACATCTGCACAGCCCTCAACATCTTTGTCTAAAGTGGCTAGTTCTCGAACATTACAGTTTGATGTGAAATACTGTGATAGAGTTATTTCTTTAAACATGCCAGAAACATCAACAATAGGTATGGAAACCTTTTTATTATTATTTATTAGATCTGTCTTTAAATAGTTTCCTTTATTTATTTTGTATTTAATTTGTGGTATGTATTAGATGAGTAAGCAAAAATTGGTGACATTTTTAATTTATTTTTTGGTACTTAATAATTTGCAAAGTTAGCAATATGAGAAACTAAATATACAGTAATTTCAGTATTAGGGTAATAGATGAACTGTTGTTTTGCTGGTGAAACAAAGTATCATTTCATCATAATTTCTTAAAATAAACGAATTTTCCATATCTTAAAACCACTTAATTGTTATTTTATTACTTACTATTATTTATTTGTAATTTGTATGTTTTGTCATTTTAAATGCAAATTCTTTATTTGATTTAATTTAATGTCATATGTAAAGCAAGAATTCAAGACAGATATCTGGCTCACCACCATGACTTGCTCCTAATGATTCTTAAATCGGATTACCTTGATTATTATTATTCCCTCTATTTAAATGATGAGTTGACCTACTAAATGAGTTGTAATTGTAAACAAATAATTTGGGTGTGTGAACTTGTACTAGTGGCTTAAATAGAAAACATGGATGTATAAACTATGAACATGTAGATGTGGATACCTCATTGCAACTATTTTTCTATGTATTTACATAGGATTAATCCTTTATATAAATTGTGTATCATTAATACAAACAAAAAGTGTTAAAATTTTGTTTCAGCCGATTTAAAAATAAAATTACACAGGGAATTAAAAATTCCACCTTGCCGACAACTGCTTTCTGGATGGGCTAGAATTCCTCAATATGAGAAATCACCCTTTTCAGAACTTATGTTACCGGACAAAAACACTTTATTCCTTTCAATTAAATTAACAGAAGGAGGTCTGGGGGCTGATGAAGAGTAAGAATACAATTTTTTCACATACAAAAGATCCATATCACATGCAATTTAATTACAGACCTGAAGTTACAGAACGATTGAATGGCACTTACAGATTAAAAGTAACAGATGAAACAACAGGGAAAGTGTACTTTTTGAATTATAGCGGGACCAAAACAATACTTGATGTAAAAACAGGTGTTTATACCCTGACTGACATTCAGGTCCGTAATCAGGTTTGGAGTGGATGGCCACCTAATATAGACGATCGTACCACTTTAGCACTTTCAGGAATAAAGTAAATTATTTATTTGTAATTATATTCTGTACACTATTAAATTTTTAAATTGATTTGATAGTTATCCTGAGCACGAATTGAAATTGAGAAGAAGCACGATAATAAACCATGTTCGCGAGAAAAAATCAAATATAATCGAAATAGACAGTGACGATGATGAATTTGAAGACGCATCGGAAACGTTTACAGTCGATGACGACATGTTTGTCGACAATTATCCAAGTAAACGCGTTGAACCATTAAGTAAGCATTTTTGAAATTTTAGGAGAATTTTGGGAAGTACAGTTTTTTTTTTTGATACAGTTCCAGAAGATGTGGAAGATGAAATTATAGGTACCATAACGTTTTCTGATCGTTTTACGGCTCGATACGGACCTGTACATCCCTCTTTTTACCAAGGTACTCTCGAAGATGCCCTCAAAGAAGCCTGTCAAAAATCTGCAAAAGATGTAAGAGAAATTTAGTATTCTCCGTTTGTTGCCCGGCTGCACGTTAATATTTTTTTACTTTCATAGCGCAAGATTCTGGCAGTATATCTTCATCATGACGCTAGCGTGTTAACAAATGTGTTCTGTACACAACTGTTGGGTTGCGAGAGTGTCATTCAGAACCTTGAAACTAATTTTATCTTATGGGCATGGGACCTGACTTTTGAGAGTAATCGTACAAAGCTGCAGGAGTCTGTTAGCCGATGTCTCGGTTCAACGGCTGCCCTAAGTCTAAAGACAATCCCGGTCGATAGACTCCCGGCCATTGTATTGATCATGAAAATTCGATCGTCTACAGACGTTTTCAGTGTCATCCACGGTTAGTTTCAGATCTTTGGAATAATTATAGATTAGTTTTGAAATAATTATTTAATTTTTAAGGTAATGTGGGTGTCAACGAATTGTTGATTAGTTTAATAGAAGCTGTTGAAGTATTTTCCGAGCACCAAAAGGTGGAAATTAGAGAGGAGGACGAGAGGGCAGCAAGAGAACTTGTTAAATGGGAACAAGATCAGGCATATAGGGAAAGTCTTGAAGCTGATAGGTAAGAATTTAATTATTGATCCTGTGTTTTACATTTTGCTTATTACTTTTCATATTCAGAGCGAAAGAAGAAGCGAAAAGACTTCAGGAAGAAGCCGAGAAACAGAAAGAAAAACAGGAAGCTCTAGAAAAAGCAGAAGAAGCAGCCAAAAGGGAAGCACATAGAAAAACTGTCGAGGCCAGTTTACCTTTAGAACCTGCTCAAAATGAATCCGACATAACTAAGATACGTTTTAGATTGCCTGGCGGGCAAAATATCGAAAGACGTTTTCTGGGAAATGATCCTCTTCAGGTTCGTTTGCTATCTTTTTTTTATATTTATAAATACAGTTCTTATTTTTTTAATGAATTGGTAGGTTTTGCTGGACTTTTTGTTAGTGAAAGGATATCCACAGTCTGAGTACAAAGTTATTTCAAGCTGGCCCAGGAGAGATGTAAGATTTAAATTTATACGCGATAATTCTTTTAATGCGTTACTTTTCAGTTAACTGCATTAGAAAGCGGAAAAACGTTAAAACAATTGAAGTTGTATCCCCAAGAAACTGTGATACTGGAAGAGCGATAAACAGTATGGAAAAGTGGAAGTTAGCACATTCCTGAGTGAAGATCCAGTGCACTTTTGTATATCAATAATGCTGTAATGATTGTCTCGTTAATTTAATAATATAATTTTATTTAATCTAATTTAAACTCGATTAATTATTTATGTTTACAGTGTTCTTTGAACATTTTCAATAAATGTTGATCTTGGTCCGTCTCATTTTTTTTTTATCGTTCAGGTATTTTTTTTAAGATATGTGGTGTTCTTATAAACACTTTGTTCCTCTAATGTAAGGCGTAAGTCTCCTTTAATTGTTTTTGATTAAGGATATTAGTTTTTGAAAAATCTATAGCATTTGTACTAAAATAATCGCCACATCTTAATAATGAAATTTAAGCGTGTGTATACTCATATACTAAACATATTTAATATGTACATAATGAATTATCCTATAACAACTTGTTATTACCAAATTATATGACAATAATAAGCCGATAAGTGTGTTGGGTAATGATAAAAGCGATAAAAGTATTGAAATGCAAATATTTCTTCCCCACTTTTGAGTAAAACAGAATTGAAAACGTATTTTGATTCATTGTATGTAGTAATAACAACAAGAGATAAGATGTTTCAGAAACAAGCCTTGCTCTTACGATTAGTGACAAATGTTACAAACAATTTAACAGGTAGGTACCTATACGAAAAATTTTTACGTTATAACTTTATATTGTTTTACACATTGTATACTTTTACTTATTAGTAACATGATTTAAATTCTAAAATAAAATAATAATAATAAAGGCCCGCCTTATTATTCTCAGAANACTATTAAATTTTTAAAGTATTAAATTTAAATTTCGTTGTATTTTTATAATTCATTCAATTTCCTGAACTTTCTGTATTAAATATAATAGGTATTTTTGTGACCATTATGAACTTGTTTGTTTTACGATTTCTTGTATGTACAGTGTGCATTGAAAGTAATGCAACTTTATGAATGAAATCTGAAGTTTATTAATCATTGTCTTTAGGAAGAAAAATCAGTAACAATGTAGGATTCATAGGATTAGGAAATATGGGTGCCAAAATGGCATCCCATTTAATAAAAAAGGGACGTAAAGTCAAAGTATATGACGTATCAAAAAGCGCTGCACAATCTATACAAGGTGCTCAAATCTGTAATTCCCCGAAAGAAGCGGCCGAAGACAATTCGATTGTCATAACTATGTTGCCAGATGGGGAGATCGTTAAAGAGGTGCTTCAAACGGAGAATGGAATATTAAAAGGCATAAAGAAAAATTCTTTGTTCATAGATTGTTCTACAATAGAACCTAAAAGTGCCCAAGAGCTTGCCAAAATATCGAAAAAGAATTCTATTCGTTTTCTTGACGCCCCAGTTTCGGGTGGTGTTACTGGAGCAGCTGCAGCAACATTGACTTTTATGGTTGGTGGTGATGCTAAAGATGTTGAAGAAGCAAAACCTTATTTACTTCAAGCAGGCGCTAAAGTTTTTCATTGTGGAGATTATGGTGCAGGGCAAGTGGCAAAATTATGTAATAATCTGATTCTAGCTGCCACAATGGTCGCTACAGCGGAATCCCTAAATATGGGCACCAAATTGGGTTTAGATCCTAAAGTTTTAACAGATATCGTTAATGTCTCGACGGGAAGATCGTGGACTTCCGAAACGTACAACCCATATCCTGGTATCGTTAAGAATATACCTCCAGCAAATAATTATGAAGGTGGTTTTATGGTAAAATTGGTGGCTAAAGATCTCGGATTGGCAGAAAACGCTGCCTTACAGTGTAATGCTCCAGTTCCTATGACAGCTTTATCTCATCAACTGTATAGAACATTGATATCACAAGGATTTGGCGATAAAGATTTTGCCTACATTTATCAATTTCTTAAGGGGGTGAATTAAACGTTATGACTATTTTTACGGAAATAAAAAATAAAAAAATTTGAAGACCGTTATTTTTTGCATTAAATACAAATTATGTTAAAAATTTCTTTACATTTGTAATATTTACCACGGACTTACACTTTATTCGTAGCATACTGTACATGTTATTATGTTTGTGTGACGTTACTATCAAAAATGATTAAAGTTAGATTTATGTACGAATTTGCAAATCATGAATTCAAATTTTATTTCCCTGACTAAATTAACTCGTCGTAAATCGTTTTTAATTCTGTTATACTTTCATACAAAACCTTTCTTTTAACGTTTGAAAAATGAGAACGACCCGCATTTTATTGTTGTTCTAATTTATATCTAATAATTANACATAATTAAATAAAATTTTCCAACATTTGATTATTTACAATTTCACTTATTTGAAGAAGTGATTCTTTTGGAATGTTGAATGTAATACTTCATAAATTATCAATTTAACATGTAATAACTTTTAAACTAAGAAAAGTATATAATTCTTATAATTCTGCCTCAATTAATTATTTTAAACAATTAAATTGTTAATAGCAAAGTAGGTATTTACCCAATATACACTATACAGACCTTAATCGAGCACGAAAATCCATAATCTCCTGAAAAATGTAAAAAATAAAATGGAAAGTACAAAAAAATGGTATTGTATCAGTTTAGGAAGAGAATGTACAACTTACACACTCTAAATTAGTAATGTACTACAGTCACAAAAGAAAACGTAATTCACCATGTAATTTTTTGCAATTAAGGAATTTTTGAGCTTTATAAAAACAAAATGTTGTTAAAATGCACATTTGTATTTTTATTTGAGCTTTTTGGTAATTATTAAATTGTTTCGTTACTAACATTTTTATTTATTTAAAATTGGAAAATAAATAGAAACGATTTAGGTAACAAAACTGTTTCTCTTTTCATCAAATAGCAAACAAATATGTACTTAATTCCATAGGAGACAGCTCTAAGTCTTCATCTACGTCTCGTTCTTCATACAAGTGTAAGTATGTTAGAGATGATCTGATGAGTGTTCCAGGTCCATTGGGTGAAAAAATGGCCTTTAAATTGACCTAAAATTTAAATTTTCATTAGAAATAAAAAAAAAATATTTTTTAATTAATTTTTATATTAATATGCAATATCAATAAGTACCGTCTGTGACTGCTGTTGAAGTGTTTGATATTCTTTGACAAAACAAAAATCTAAACGTTTATTATGTAAGGTGATCCCCACATAATTTTTATCCTTTACTTTTATTCCACTTCTTAAAATTGGTAATGAATAACCAACTCCAAAATTAACGGTTGGTGGCGCATACGAGGAAGAACGAGTGAGCATAACGTTTTCGTCAGTTTTAATTAATTTTATTAGTGGATTTAGCAGAGTTTGTGATGCGATTTCTGATGCAAGAGTTGGAAAGCCTTGAGGATCAGTATCTGTTGTTTCCTTAAAAAAAAAAGTAATCAATCGCTTATTTGATGATTGTTGAAAAAGCAAATAGAAAAAGAAGCGATTTCGTGGTATAACATGCGCCCATGTTTCCAACCGAGTATAATTGAAGATGGTAGCCGCGGTTCCTGACGAAACGTCTGGACCTAACAGTTTAGTTTATGTTTTTTTTATTCTGTTGTACAACTTTTGATACTTTTTTTGTTATTTACGGTACAATTTCGTTGTTTTTCGATGTGAAACATCTTTTAACATGCCTACGTGGCAAGACGGGACGACGCTCTTGCCAGTCTCGGAACTAGTCGGCATTTTTCGCCCGGCTGCTAAAACTGTGTAGTGAAGGCCGATTCTTGTGTGGCGTGACGGAACGATTCAGCTAATCTTGTAACTCGTCATCTCCTTCCGTCACACTGCCAAGACTCGGCACTTCTCTGTCACAAACTAGGAGACCCGTGACGTTTAATTTTTTTTCTTACAAAGCAGTCAGATGTTTTCCTTTCTTCCAAAATAATTCTAAAGATATGTCGCGTTGGATGGTTGTCTAGAACGCCCTGTTCGAGACCCCTATTGTCATCTTGATTGAGTCTACGGTCTTGCATTATTTCCACTTGTCCCTCTCTGAGCGACGAACATCCCAAAGGGGTACCAGTTACCACCGTTAATCGTAATTTCTGGTCTTCGATATAAATCATTGACGGCATTGGATAATAATTGGCTTGAAGTGGAAGTTTAGAGAAACGTTTTCTTCGTAAAATCTAAAATTAATGGAAATTTAAAACGGACTAATAGCTGAGCACAATTCTTACTGGGCACTGACTTGGTAATTGTTCAAATCAGTAAAAAAATCATCGGAACTTTTGATGTCCGTTGTAAGCCTCATAGCCAGCTCGAAATTATGCGTTTTTTTAATATCAACTAAATTTTCGACTTCTATTCCAAACTTTTCGGCTCCTATAAAAAAAATAAATAAATAAGTAGAAACCAAACTGGCTTGACATAAACCATAAGCATATAGATACTTGCCTAAGTAATTAAATATTTTTACTGTATGATTAACTGTAAATAGATTGACTTGCACTTTTGAAACAATTGGTCCCTCGATTACTTTAATGTTTTTGTTTTTATTTTTCAATGGTACCGCAGGGCCATCCGGTAAAAATAAATAAGCTCCACTTCGTACCGCCTTATTTCGCACCCCATATCTACCGAATAAGAAATAATATGAGGACGTAAAAAATGTAAAAATAATATTTCATTTATTATGTCTGTCGTACTTTGCAAAATCCAGTTGTACTGGCGTCGATTTTTCACCAATTTCAATAGAGTCTAATAGTCCTGTTGACGCAAAGTTTGCTTTGAAATGGTCATTTACTAAAGAAAAACTACTTGCACGAGGAATCACGTCCAAATTTTTAAAAACCCCGGTTGCTACACCACTATCAATAACATCATTTTTGTTATAATTAATTAATTTTATTTTGGAATAATACGTTTCACTAAAAAATAATTTTTTTACTAGTTAAATGAAAAATCTTAATTTGCATTTATACAAAAGTACCTGGGGACATCCTTTTCTTCTACTGTTTGTATTGTGTAACGTGCCAATGCTAAAGGTTTAACTATTGCCACGAACGATAATTCATAAATGTCTAAGATTCTTAATTGTTTATTAATTTGTTCAAAAATTGGAGAAATTTGACATTCAATGGTTTTCCCTTCAATGTCCAAAACCTAGCACATAAATAATTAAAAAAATCAAAATCATCTTCATTTTTTTTTTAATTTAATAACAAAAAAGGTACTGGACCGGCCGGTAACTGAACCTGGAGAGCCCGCGTAACACATGAGCACTAATACACGGTCTTGAATGCTGCCAGACACGCGGGCGACACCGGTTCGATTCTAGGCCGATGCAATAACTTCTTTTTCTTAAGTTTAGAAGGTTGGTAACATGTAAAAGCTGGACTATAGACACGCGTTTTCTAGTTTAAATTATTATTTTTTTCTTTATTAAAATACCTGTACAAATGGAGTGGAAATCATAAAAGTTACTACTTCTTGTCTTTCAAATGGCAAAGAATTGTAGATCGCAACAGTTTTAAAACCTAAAAAATTGCTTGCATCTATTTCGTACTGTTGAGATAAACTGTCTTGTTTAGTCCATACATCGTCAATTTTATAAACGCCATCCCCTATACCACTTTCACTCTCTTCTGCTAATAAAACGTTAACCAAATCACTGATAACTTCTTGTAAATTGTTTATAGAATTGAGCATTCTGAAAAAATAAGAACAATAAAAAATTAAAAGTAGGTACTGAAAAACAAAAAAGTAAAGAGAGAGAGATTTATTTAAATATAAAAGAACGCTATTTATATTTTTTAGGATATTTGAATATTTTATCACAATAAAAAATAAAATTTACCTTTCGCTGTAATCGATAACTACATGATCCTTTGCAGTTCCAGTAATGCCATCGTGATGTTGAAATAACGCTAATGATTGTCTTGCTTTCGACAAAATCGTTTCAAAATATTCCCAATTTAAATGAAATTTACGACTTAGTTGAGTTAATGATAAAATTATCTCTGCTCCCCTTTGAATTAACACATATTAAGTACATATTTTTTATTTTCAATTTCACTAACCTTAAGTAGTGTAGTAGAATTCTATCCATTCTTTTATAAAACGGTCTTGAAGTATAATAGCCACTCCAATAATGATCGTCTACATCACAATAAGTAAAAAAGTCACCGGAAATTGTAGAAAAATCTTCGTCTTTCATTTCTTTATGGACGGCATCAAAATAATCGGTGAGGGTACCGAACTGGATCTGTAAATATTTTAATAAATGCCCTGTATGCATTCAGGGATTTGGACATTACAAAAAACCAGAAGGTACAGTAATGGACATTGCATTAATTTAGGAAGAGAGAGTACCTTTACTCCCTTAATTAAAAATGTATAGCAGTCCTAAAAGAAAATGCTACATATCGATATTCATGCGTTTTCAGGTCTACCAAACTTTTAAACGCTTATAAAAGCAAAAGCATTATTTCAATAAATGCCCTGTATGCATTCAGACATTTTAACATTACAAAAAAATAGAAGTTCAGTAAACGACATTGCATTAATTTAGGAAGAGAGAGTACCTATACTCCCTTAATTACAACAAATGTACAGCAGTTATAATAGAAAATGTTATATATCGATATTCATACTTTTTCAGGTCTACTAAACTTTTAAACTATTATACAAAGCAAAAGTATTATACTTCACATTAATTTCATGATAACAAGGTTGTAAAGCATATCTTCGCGAAAAAATAGTGCTTTCAAAAATCGCTCTAAAACCATTTTGGGCCAATTCGAAGCCGTTTCTCGGAAACAATTTCTTTTACATATTCGTAATTACTAGCAACCAATTTTGTTTAAAACATATACAACTAATTTCTACTATTTCTCTCCTAATAAATATCCCGTTGAGAAAGTGAAGCGAATTTTTTTCCAAAAAATAAACTGGCGCTTCTGGGCTACCTTTTATACAAACCTGTACGTTCATGTTTTCATTATGATTCATGTGGTCCATGAGTCTTTGATAATTATCAAATTGTTCATCACATTCGCTACTAAGACTATATCTAAAATCATCGCCCAAGGGTATCAAAAGGACGTTGCTTCTAAATAACATCGATTTCTTTTTGTATTGGTCCAGTAAAAGTGCAGCTCTGTAAAACATTGACTGATAAAAACACTACATGTAGCAAGAATGCAACTTTCAGTAGACCCTAGACAGTGTGAACCTAAATAAGCAACGGTTGTCGATTTGTTATTATATTTACTAGTATAATTAACAAAATAACATAAATACAATTAAAAATTTTTGTTTTTTTAGTTTTTTCTGTATAATGGCTTCTCTTATTAGACTTTATTTTAATAGCTACCAAATCAATAATGTCAACTAAAAGTGCACCGGATAGTGGTTCTGCCGGGTACCGGATGATCGGGTACCCGACATTAGTTCTGCCCTTCCTTTATCATAAATAACAATCTGCTCTTACCTCAGAATTTAAGTGGGTGTCAAATTGTTATAAAGGTGTTTTTTTTTTTAAACTTATTATTTATTACTGCAGCTTTTTCTGCTCTGGTTGAAATACCCTGCACTACCGGATACTCGGTGCCATTATTCGATACTCAATCTGATTATTATCATTACTATTTTACACACTAATAAAATAGCTCTTCAGTTAACAGATTAGAGAAGTACCAAACATATCGAAGATTTATATATATTGTATTTTTAAGGCCAATTAAATTTCGTTTTTTTGAGCGAAAGTTTAGTTAGTTTGCAGTATCCGTTTCCGTTATGCTAATGGTTCACAGTATCGAGTCTCTGCCGCACTTTAATTATTATTATTATTATTACTATTCATTACCTTTCAGCAACGTTTTGATCTGTTATAAGTTTCGGAGGAACCTTCCATGGACAAAACAATCCGAATTTTGAAAATCGCTTAAAATCGAACTGGCAACAAACTTTTGGATCTGGACCACAAGTATGTGGAATGTCGTAAAAATAAAATGGCATCATATGAGTGAACAATTGAGTTTCTCCGACGTCATCTATTTTAAATTATGTAATATTGTGTTAAACAATTGCTTTTATATATGTGTATATGTTAAGGCAAGATATAGTGTGATTCATAAAGACATCTTTTGCTGACATTGCATTTACAGGATATAGTTTATAAAAGCCGTTCATAAAATAGAGTAGTTATTCTAGCTTAAGACTAGACCTAGTATNGTGTGATTCATAAAGACATCTTTTGCTGACATTGCATTTACAGGATATAGTTTATAAAAGCCGTTCATAAAATAGAGTAGTTATTCTAGCTTAAGACTAGACCTAGTATAGTTTGTACTTTGTATTAATAAACTTTTTTTAAAAAGTCTTTGTTCCAATTTTGGAATATAACATATATATATCACACCTACCCCAAATTTGCTTCCAATTAAACTCCAGGTCAGTTTGCAAAGCTAATTGCTTTTTTACAGCATAATGAACTCTTTGAATAAGCAAATTTTGAAATCCGGAATTTTTTAATAAAAATGCTTGTGTAGGACTCAGGCCGAAGGGATCTATTGTCCATCCGCTACGAGGTGTATAATTTAAGTTTTTTTGCAGCCACTGATGTCCTTCAGAAAGTTGATGGACAATGGACAACCAATTAGAATTGGCCTCATCATTCATCACCCAGCCACCTGTTACAATTTCCAGTTGATTTTGTTTTAATAATCTACAATAACATTGTTACGATTATGAGCTGCGTGTCTCAAAGTAGGGTAATTGTGCAGAAAATAGGACTCTCGCTCGCTAGAGGGAATGATGTGGATCGGGTATGGAAAACGTTGTAGAACACTACACAAATGCTTGTTGGTAGAAGCGGAAATGTGGGGACACAGGAAGTGAAAATTGGAATTTGGATTTACACGAAAAAAGACAAGAATCACTCCAAACTTTTTTTCTATATTTGATTAAGTTAATTATTACACTTTCATCTCTTGCGCGTCTACGTCACTACCCCCACCTACAAACACAAGGCCACTTTCCCCTTTTCTACCCATTTCAAGCGAAGGTCCCATCTTCCGCACAATTAGGTACCCAAAATAGCATTTTGGCACATACACAAAAAAAGAAAAACAAATTATAAACTATTTTTTCTCCAATACGCCCTTTTTTAAATGTTATACATACTGTTTTACGGATTCTCTTTTTTGGTTGCTGATATCATTCCACCACATTGAAAAATATGATATTTCAGCCCAGATAAATTTTCTTCGCGAATCTTCTTTTAATTTAGCGACGATATTATTCAAAATACTGTTAGTGTAATCTTCGTAATATTCATCGATGGTTAATTTCCAACCAGGATCATTATGAGAATGCGGTACTACAAAAACATTTAATTTTCTTTGCTGGTTCCATCTACTATTATTTAATTTTATATTCCAGCCTTGTTTCCATACTCCTCCATCTTTATTATCAAATTTAATTTGCTTATACAGCTCCAACATCTAAAAAAATATTACTGACAAAAATGTGCAACAATGCATCTTATTCAAAATCAAAGAGAGTATAATTGGGACGTACTGTATGTAAACGTATATTTTATTATAATCAATAGTGATATGAACAAACCTGTATATCGCTGGCGGGTTTTATCTCTAAATTATTATATAATGAATCTTCATTATATTCAGTATTTTCATTATTTTGCGGTTGCGAGTCAATAATATCAACATCTCCTCGTTTAGAGTGTAATATTTCCTGTAAACAATAGATTTACTTAAACTTGAACTACTTGCATAAATAAACTTACCTCGTCGAATTTATTAGAACGATTGTTTAGTACAAAGTTTTCCGTAAGAATAAGTATACCAATAAAACTTGTTACAGTTGCTAGAGTTATAAAAAGAGAGACGGTTTTTCTGAGACGCATTGTGCAAAGTAAATATTTTGACAAAAATTACATCGTGTTTTTTAAATTCTTTTTTATTTCGCTTAAATGGCAGACACGTATGCGAATATATATTATATTTCAGGTGACTAAAAATGTGTTTAATGATTAAATTTTCTGTATAGTGATGATAGCAAATATTGTAATGAATTAACTTCATGACACTTTTTTTATAGATAAGATACGAATACTTACATGCGCATAAGTTGTACTATCTAACTATCTAACAAATAAAAAAACTCCTTTTTCGAATTATTTATTGAATATAGTTTATAAAACACTGATTTTGTATTGTTTCCTTTTTAAAAAATTTTATGACTATTACGATTCCAGCGAAATTCTCCAAAAATCCAAGTTTGCCGCGCAATATGTCGAGTCGTCCAGTACTTCTTGTTAACAGATTATCATAACGAATCAGATAGTTTGTCAAAAAACAAAAAAATAAAGATGCCATGAATAAAAACTGACCTGACATTAGATATTTAATATTTTAGACAAAAATTATTACTTTTTTTTAGATTTTTTGGTTTTACAATAAAACATTAAAAAAATGTCCAAATCGTCGTGCAAACCTACTTTTGAGCAAACAATTAATTTAGCGAAAAAATGTGTAAATACTCCTTCAGCTACACAGCAGTTAGTTCTTGATAGACCAGTGCCCCCAATATGTAGACCCCCTTACGCAAATCAAGCTGCTCCAGTACAATGCCCCAACGTGAAACATATAAAGGTCTGTACTGGAGCTGAAATGAAGAAGAAATGCTTCCAGGCTAGACCTTGCGCTGCTCCCATAACACCCCCAAAATCAGCAGGTCAAAAATTAGCATCTCTAATTCTTTTTGGTGTAAAGGCAGCCTTTGCAGGAAGTTTAGTTTATATGACATACGAAATGGGTTTGTGGGGTAATTCGCAAAGTACCGAACAGATTTGGAAGGAAATGTGTGAAATTTTTGGGTTGAGTAAAAAGAGAGAAATTCCAGAACCAAGTCTTAGGTGTAAAGCTGAACGGGAATTAGGAGCAATGGCTCAGCCAGGATTTCCGGATGCCTGTTCAAGAATGATGGTAGACACAGAAAGAACTGTATACAATCTTCAAAACACTTGGAATAAGATTGTTACAAGCATTTTTTGGTTTTTCCTTAAAGGCCCGGAAGAACTTATAAATTATGTTAACCAGCAAAGTAAAAAACCTGTTCAAAGAAAAGCTAGTGGATGTGAGAGAGGAAATAAATAAATTGCTAATAAGAAGTATCCATTATCGCAATCCAACATGAACGTTAACTCAACAGTTTTATTAATTGTATTTTTGACTTTATATGGACCACGTGTATACGTTCTACATTGATTTGACTAGGTTCTACGCCTGTAGTTTATTTTTCCTCTTTTTTAAAAAACACCCTTCTCAGTTTCTCGATTATTTTCTAACCAATTAATAAAAAATGAAATTCACGCTATTTTTTTTTTTTGAATACCCTGTATAGCAGTATACGGATAAGGCAAAAAGTTTAAAAATACAAATTTCTTTGTCGGAATTTATGGTGAAAGTGTGGAATATGTTTTTTCAACCACGTCTATTTGAAACCATCACCTTCTTCTCTAAAACTATCCTAAACTAATCGAACTCTCAATTTTTTTTTTTTTTAACAAAGCGTTTGAAGGTATTTGTATGAATTTCCCTGCCACATCGTACTTTTCAGAAGAAGATGGTGCCACCCTTTGACGATTGTATGTAATAGAATATCCCTATGTTCGGTTTTTAACTCGCTGCTAGTGTAGAGTACACTGTCTTGTCACTGTATGTAACCCTTGTTAACTTCAATATCTGTTGTATTAAAAATAATTAAATCTATGAATTAAATTGTATTGTTGTATCCTGACATGACGATCCTGACATCGTAAATTTTAGTGGGTCGTTGTAGTATTTATCCAATGTTTATCTGTGTCATGTCTTGATTATTAGCATAATATTGTAAACAAAATATAAGCAACAAAAGTGGTGTAAATAATATAGTGAAATAACGTGAATAATCATTAGATTATTTTCATTTTCATAAATTTATGTAAACCTTTTCTCGTACAATATTTTCAGCATGATTAAAATTGGATTTCTAATGCCAAAGTGAGAGGAATATATAAAAAATGGATTTTTCTAAAACAACTGTTCTTTCAAATTTTACCGAAGCCCAATGCACTAATGAAGAGCTTCTATCTGATTCTCAAAATACTCAGCTTTCTTTAAATGTATCTACAGAAAATAAAATGGCAAGTGGAGAAGGAATTATGAAATCAGTGTCTGTTTCCAAAAGCGCAAATGATTTTCATCCTTTAATGTCTCCTACCTCACCCATTTCACCTGACTTTCCTGACTTGATACCTGAAAAGTCAAGAAATAGAAATGTAAAACAATTTTTTAATCCTGAGGTTAGTAGTTCTCCTAAAGAAGGAGCTGAACATTTGGAAAATTTGTATGAAAATCACTTAAACATGGACTTGCCAACATTAGAAGAATATTTTGAAAAAATCCCAGGTACCTGAAAGCAATACTGAATGAAGAGAATTGTATTTTATAACAGATATTATTTTAGATTTTCCTGATAGTCCTTCTGTACTTAAAAAGTCCCTTTTATTTGATATGCCATGTGAAATATCAAACTGTGATGGCAGTGACACAGAAAATGATAAGTCTGTGTACGAAGCACATTTAAGTGAAAATTTTCAGAATGTTGCTCTTAAACTTAATGAAAAAGAGGGCAATTTAAATTTCTTAGCTCACACTACTCGCAGCCACAAGTTGCGCAAAATTCGCGTCACTCAGTCAGCAGCTATAGAAAGTGAAGTGTCCAGTATTGATAGCGATCCTGATAGTTTAAAATCAGATGATATTTTTATGGAGCCAGAGGAAAATAATACCACCAGTAGAGGTATTTTAAGTCTTTAAAATTTATTATTTATTGATTCTACAGACAGATCTAATATATTTGCTGTAGATGTTTACAAAGAAATAAATAATTTTAATTAAATTATTATTTCAGACAGTGATACACCTTTCGAGCCTGTTGAGCCACTGAGTGCAGATGAAGAAAGGTGCCATGCAAGACATTGGCAGAGAATGATTTTACCTGGAGGTGAACAACGTACTATTGACATGAGAGTAATAGAGCCCTACAAAAGAGTGTTATCACATGGAGGGTATGTTAGGGGTAGTGGAAATACTGCTATTGTTGTATTTTCAGCTTGTTTTCTTCCTGATAAATCCCGTATTGATTATGATTATGTGATGGACAATTTATTTTTGTAAGTGAAAAAGTTTGAAATTTTAATTACATTGGCTGTAGTTTCCTATAGAAAAAAAGATTAATTAGATTTTAATTCATTTTTGGAATACTATGGAGAACCTTTTTACTTTAGGTATGTTTTATGGACTTTAGAGCGTCTAGTCACTGATGATTATGTTATGGTATACTTACATGGGGGTGCAACTCGTCTTCCTGCATTCAGCTGGTTAAAAAGATGTTACCAGTTGGTAGGGAGACGTTTAAGAAAAAATTTAAATCATATGTACATTACCCATCCCACAATTTGGATAAAAACAATGCTCTTTATGGCAAAACCGTTTATCAGGTACTCTAACTGTTATTTGACTATCTTCTATTTGATGTCGCATATCTTATCATTTTTTATTTACTTTTACAATTTTCAAAAAGTATGTACATAAGCTATCGTCCTATCTATTCAGTTTTACAGGATTATTTTTGCAAAATGTTTATGAGGTTTGGCAAAAATTTTTGAATTAGGGGTCTGTAATTTAGGATTATTCATTTAATTTTGCACATTCTCTGTTTAACTTCTTTTATAAAATGAAATTCATGAGTTGGAAAATATGTATTGTGAACTTGTTTCGCAAATAACGATTTAATAACTTGTAAGACGTTTATAATGCATTACTTTCAGTTCAAAATTTTATCGGAAAATAACTTTTGTTGGAAATTTAAAAGAATTGTACAATAGACTGCCAATAGAGACCAATGCTGTACCCGATAAAGTGAAGGCATTTGATAGTCTTCACTGTAGAACATAAATAAAATAAGAAAAATCAAAATATGTGTGAACTGCTTCATTAGGATCTCCTAACTTTGGACCAGACCACTAGACATCGAATCTGCGTACCTAAATAATTGTAATTAATATAAAAAGTGATGTGTTTTTTTATGTAACACTTTCAGTATTCGTCTTGTACATTCCACGGGAAAATATCTTTGCTGTTNTTTAAGGCTGGCATTATTTCTTCCGTAGAAAAGAAACTTTTTTATCTGATAAATTTTAAATTAAACGGATCAGTAAATTTATTGTAGGAATAAGAACATATCAGAATACGCAAAACTTGATTTATGTTGGCATTTGTTACGTCTTTAATTATCTTAATTCAATTCATTTACACATACGGGAACCAGTTAACACATAATATATTACTTATTTCGTAAATCAACATCAGTGTCGTAAATACAAAAAATATTAAAACTTAAAACCAGGATTTTAGATTCGTTTGAATGTCCGCCGTTAAGAAAATTTTTACAGATTTTTAATTAAATGCTAAATATAAAACGTGTTTCCTTCTTTATTTTTAAATTAGCATTACGTAGAGATAAAAGAAAAAAATAAAAGGTAATAATTATGACGTAAATGTAAAATGCAACAGTTGGTAGCCATATGTTACCATATGTTTAGAATATTCTGTTGCTACTGCGCGAATGTTGAATGTGCCTAATTATTGCTGAATGGGTGTGCTTTCTCGTCTTATTAGTGATTGTAATTGCTCCGTAGTACACGTTTGAACGAATTAAGCGGTTTTAAGGTCATTTCAACTAAAAACTTGCAATTATTTTAATGTATTACAAACAGTTAATTATCGTGTTTGTTTAAAATGAATAATAAAAAGTGTGCAAGGTGTGAAAAGACTGTATATCCAACAGAGGAACTGAAGTGCCTTGACAAGGTATTCATTGCTAGTATAATTTCGTGCTTTTTTTTATTAATTTCTGCCTATTTTTTATACAAATTCGCTGTACAATTGATAAGTATTGTAATGATATCAGTCATCACTACCGACCATCCTAAAAACGTTTATCATGAGAAAGTATGGTATTGTGCTAGGATGTGATCTAATTCAATAATGAAATGACTCATGAATATTTCGAATAATTGCTCCACGTGATATTGTTTAATTTAATAGGGGTGGTTGTCAGTTTCGGAGTTATGTACCTATTCATTTCTAAGCAGCTCTAAAACAGATTGTTTACTGTAATGATAATGCAAACGATTTCACCAAATTGCTTTCTGCATTCATATAGCATAACGTAATATATTAATCTAAAAGGAACATTGAATTTTGTAACGCCTTTTAACGTGCGTTGCAATTATAAAATAGAGTTATTTATAAGCATGAATAATCAGGCTTCGTATATTAACACATTTTGAATTTAATGGTTGTACTGTTTTTTTGATTTTGCTGACCTAGGTCAAATGTGACTCAGTGCGATTGTTTATTATTCGTGCAGTATTCAATATCTTGTACATTAGAATTAAATTTATTCACTACTAAGGAGTTTTAGTATTTTGGGATTGAAAATATGCTTTAAATCCTTTCAAGTTTTAGAGTCATCGCAATTCAAGCCCCTTCATGAAGCAAGTACCTAATTGACTTGGTAAACGAATTACTTTCTAACTTACAAATTGTAATTCAGGGTGCTTGAAGTACCTTCAAATTACTTGGGCATTTCAGTCTAATTGTTTTTGAAGTGTTTAATTTGAGGTCTTTGGATTTTAAAATAATGTAGTTGAGGCTTCATGAGCTAAAAAACATTAAGTAAGGGCTTTAGGCTTAAGGCTAGAGCAGTTTTGGCGAGAGCTTTGATATGGGTACCACTTGTTAACAGCTGCTAAACCTATTTACATACATATAAAACAATTTTTAAATTTGGTGATATAATATGTATTTCTGTTTTTCTATTTACAATGCTATGTTTATCATTAACGTTTCTTTTACAAATAATGAAATAAATTATAGATTGTTATTTTATGTTATTATCGTGTTATCTTCTATCCTTTTACTTGCCTCGCAAGGGACGTATTGAAGTTAATTTTTGTCAGAAAGTTGTGGACGTGAATGTGTTTTGATATTCCTTAAAAAATAATGTAGTAGTAAAACTTGCATGATACTTCATCCTTTAATTTTATTTTATTTGAAGGTATGGCACAAGTTCTGCTTCAAGTGCAAAGAATGTGGAATGACCCTGAATATGAGAAACTACAAAGGTTTTAACAAGGAACCCTACTGTGAAGCGTAAGAATATAATTAAATAAATATCTATTTAAATAACATTAAATACAAGATTGTTTTCATTTAAAATTTAATTTGTATATTCGAGAAAATGTTGGACATTTAATTATATCAATGTTATTTATGTTATAATGACAACTGGTAACTTTTTAAATGATAATCATTCTTTTTGTAGACATATTCCTCGAGCAAAAGCGACAACGATGGCGGAAACCCCGGAGCTTCGTCGTATCGCAGAAAATACGAAAATTCAATCTAATGTAAAGTACCATGCGGATTTCGAGAAGAGTAAAGGTAAATTTACTCAAGTGGCAGATGACCCCGAGACTTTAAGAGTGAAACAAAATAGCAAAATAATATCGAACGTAGCGTATCATGGAGAACTTCAGAGGAAGGCCGAAATGGAACAGAAACGTACGATTAATGAAAATGGCTTGAAACAACAGACGCCTGCTTCAAGCATCGACCAAGCAAATGCAAACAAATCCCCCGTGGAGCTTACCAGTAGCCCTTCTACCGTTACCCCTATCGGCAACCCCACAAATATAGGAAAAATTGCTGATTATGATCCCCAGGCTGTTGCAAGTCCTTATTCTGGAAGAAATACGCAGACAGTAATATATACGTCTGACCAGGGACCGGTGAACAACCCCCCGCAACGGCATATTGGATCCGTGCACGATATCGACCCCGTCAATCACAACTACGGTTCCTTAGGCAGAGTCTACAGAGCAATGTACGATTACGAAGCACAAGACGATGACGAAGTCAGTTTTATTGATGGAGATTTGATTATTAACGTAAGCAGTATAGATGGGGGTTGGATGACTGGGGAAGTACAGCGGACCGGACAGGTGGGAATGTTACCCGCTAATTATGTACAACTTGCCAACATTTAAAGAAAAGCAATAAAATTAAAAAGAACTGAACGGGATACGGTGATAAAAATAGATCAACGACAAAAATTGGAAAGCTGGTTGCGTGTAAGTTTATTACAAATTTACTTGTCACATTCTTTTCTCTTTGTAATTTTTAAAAGTACACGTTATCAATTTCTGTAATTCATTATAAAAAAGCATACAAAATAAGAACTTGGCACTTGAATGGAATACCGTGTAAAAGTCTGCAAATGCAACATTTAAGGCTGGCATTATTTCTTCCGTAGAAAAGAAACTTTTTTATCTGATAAATTTTAAATTAAACGGATCAGTAAATTTATTGTAGGAATAAGAACATATCAGAATACGCAAAACTTGATTTATGTTGGCATTTGTTACGTCTTTAATTATCTTAATTCAATTCATTTACACATACGGGAACCAGTTAACACATAATATATTAGGGATACCTAACTAATAAAAAATAATTGATCATTCCGTATATTTTCTATTAGACTTTGCTTTTGCTTTAGGAATGTGTGTATAAAAAAATTGTTATGTTGTATTAGCTTTGATAAATAATATTCAAATAATTTTTAATAACAATTTTCATTTATTTTTTAATACTTTTGTTTTTTTTGTAACAGAATGCGTTTTATTTTTTTGATTTAACAACCCCACTTAGACATCAAAAAAGAAACTAATATTTACTAAAAAAAAAAAAACAATTGTATTAGTATAAATACAGCATATTAATAATTTATTTTTAAAACATTAAAAAACTCAATTGTCTGAGTTTTTAGAATGTATTTGTGTTATTAGTTGAAAGAGAACTAAGTTTACAATTATGCTAAAGTAAAATATCCTATCCAAAGAAGGCTGATAACATTAAGTGGCTTTTAAATGTAAATTTTTACAATTTTTCGAGTATTTTTTAAAACCGTTCTATGTTCAAGTAGTCCAAAACATTCCAACTTCCTTGCATTTAACAAAGTGCCTAACTGTATTTGATCAAAATTTGTAGAACATTTACAATTTTGTAAAACGTACGCATTTACAAACATTTTATTCCATATACAAATATATGGTATACATAAGCATATATGTAAATCCTGTTAGCAATAGTTATTGTTAATTATCATGGTGCTATTTATCAAAAAAAGTTAAAAATAAACCCATTTTTTATTTACTTATTATACAATTTTAGTCCATAACATAATAGTTAGGTACTAAAACATCTGTTAATAATTATAACAATATGCCACACGTTATGTTATTGCATTTATTGAAAATAAAATATTTTTTACATAAAATGATAAATAGCTTGTTTACTACTATAAGTTGTAAATTATGATGTTAAATAAAATATTAAAGATAACGTTTAAAATTTCAGGCCTTTTTGTAGGATTACACATGAAAACTGTGTTTGATAATTTCTTTATCAAAGTAAAAATGTATGAGTCTCCTGGGATATGAGACCTTGATATCTGTGCATATGTTCATTTTTTTATTGTATTTTTTAAATTTAAATGACAAGCGTGGATGAAATAATTTTGTAATAACTGTCAAAAATGACTTCAAACGATGAAATTGAAAATTTATCCAACAGTAAAGCAGATAATTTAGGTTTGGGAGATATAAATGTTCCTGAAATACCAAGTCATATTATATTCCCTAACGAATTAAACCTTTATTTAAGAGATCAAGTCCAAGTAAGTAATGATGGTAATCAATAATTTAAAAACTCAATTTCATCAATATGTTCTATAGTGTTTGATGTTTGAGAAAGGGAAGTTACAAAAAAAAATAGTTGAATGTGAAGAAGATCTTACCAGATGCAAGTGTGAAATAACTTTACTAAAATCTAAGTTGGAACAGTATGAACAATTATGTGCCCCCAATAGTAATTACGCAAATTTGGCAAATACGTATAATTGCAAAATCGTCGAATTAAGTAAAACATTACGTGAAAAGTCGTGTGAATTAGAAAAATACAAGACAAAATGCTCAAAACTAGAGCAAACAATAGTTGAATTTCAAAAGAATGACAAGGAGGCTGAAGTAACTGGTAAATAATAGTTTGCTTATGTGTAAATAACTTATAACAAACAATAGACTCTATTAATTTGTTTTATAAAGAAACTCATAAGGATGCAGAAAATGAAGATGATTCAGAAAATAAGATAAAATATTTACAAGATAATCTCAACTTCACCAAGGCTAAGCTTTGTGAAGCCAGAAATATAAACTTAAAATTGAAAAATGATCTGAAATTCGCCAATAAACTGCTGCTTCAGGAAATTGGAGATAATTTCGATACCATTCAGAAGAACATTTGTACTGCTGGTTCAAATTGGAGGGGCAGAGCTCAAATTATTTGTGACTTACAACAAAAAAATAATGAACTTAAAGAAAAACTAAAATTGTATCAAGACAAAGATCAGGGTATGTATCTAACTTATATACTTCTTTTCCTTTTATACAGGATAATGATCAATTGATTATTAGGTAAAGTAGATTTAAGAAAAGATGATAATAAGAAAATTGACGCGTTGCAACAAGAAAATCAAAACTTAAGAAAAGTATTGGAAGATACTAAAAAAAAATTAGATGTTTTACGTGCGAGATGTAAAGTTTACGAATCCGAATCAATTATGCTGAAGACCAAATTGAGCGTTACAGCTGAGCAAAATGAAAAGAACAATAAAATTATTACCCATTTAACGGTAATACATAACAAAAATTAAATTAAAATCGAAGTACCAAATCGCTTTCTGAATTTTAGAGTCAGATTTCTGATTTTCACGAAAAACAAAATAGCACCGATAACGAGAAACAAAAATTAACTAATAATTTGGAAAAGGAAAATAAAAACCTCAAATTGCAACTTTCAAAAGAAAAATGCTTGTTAGAGAAGCTCCAGAAAGAACTTGATATGAAAATAAGTTGTATAGAAATGTTAAAAAGAGATTCTGAAAACAAGAAAAATGCGTCTTACTTTGATTCAACAGTAAGTGACTTATTATTGTCTTGAAAAATTAATTCTGTAACTCATTAACTTATTAATTTTTGGTGGGGACAAATTATGATAACCAGGACCATTCTTTGTACACCTGTCCAGATTATAAACCATAAAAAATTTTTAGAATGCTGATATTCGAAAATTAGAAGGAGAACGTATTCGGTTGGTTGAATTAACCGAAATGTTAAATAAGCGATTAGAAAACGAAAAAGAGGCGCATTTTAAAACGCAATCGAATTATTTATTCGAAAGGCACAGAGCAGCCAAGTTGGAGGCAAAATTGGCTCGAGTTAAGACGGAGGGATGTTCAACAAATCGCTCAAGTAATTACAGTACCACCAGTTCTAGACAATTTAATACTAATGAAGAACTGGAAAATAGATTAGAATTGGCGAATGAAACAATTAAATCTTTAGAAACAAAACTGAATTTAGAAAAACAGGAAAGGGTAATGGATTTTGAGAAATTTACGGAAATATTAAAATATCAAACCATTAATAGCGCAAGTGAGTGGGATTAATTTGATTTATAAAAAAGCAACAATAAAAAGCTACAGTATTATGATCCATTATTTTTTATTTCTTTAATTTTTAGTTACTTGTTCGATGTTTAAAACGGTTTATTAGTAATTATTAGTCTCAATATTTTGCACATTGAAAATATACTAAATAATTCTGGGTAATAAATCATGATTTACAATAGGTATATTTATTAGCATTTGTTTAATATCTACAACTAAAAAATAATTGTAAAATAGATTCATGTAGCAATAAAAATAATAAGATAGTCACCGTGTATATAATCATTTGCAACACCCTATATATTGGGATTGTTGAAATCTGTCAATATTTATATTTACACATTTAATTACTGTATGTATTTTTTACGATAATGACACTCAAAAATACTTATTCAATATTAAAACTGAGTTTTTACATTCAAAATTTAAAAAGCTAGGAATACCTACAAGACTTGAAATACAAATTAGAACTTTTAAGAATTTGACATATCGACATCTGTTGTATTTAGGGACTGTAAAGAAAAACAAAAAGAGAGCTAAAAGAAGTAATCGAAGTGAACCTCAAATATACATAACTAACATTTAGTAAATATTCATTTCCAGGAAATAAATGTAATAATTATTAATGCTGTATAATGGATAATGAGTGCTGAAAGTACGTTTCAATCATTTAAATTAAAAATACTTGCTGTCATTTAAATTTTACGGTTTAATTCCAAATAGAGGCTGAAACTTGTTTATATTGTTGATATTTGTAAAAATTACTTACGGATATCCTTTTACAAACTAAATTACAATCAGTGTTTATTAAAATGCCGATATAAATAATATTCTTGTGTGTTACAACTTTATTCAAATAAAGTCTCACACAATAACTAACATCAAACAAATTTATATAATTATTTGCAGGACTACCTAGTGTTTCAAGTGTTAATAGGATTTTATTGTTTTTTCTGTAGAAGTTAATAGTGTTTTCTATTTTAGGACTTGAGAGAGATACAAAAAGTGCATGAGATGCGTACAAGAAGACTAATACTGATATTTATTTTGTGTATAATTTCTGTGACTTTCACCGTCATTTATTTTTTGACTGGGAGTTTAACAAATGATACTGTTTTTGTACCCAAGCCTGAGAAGGTAAACAGAACTTTAACATTGTTGTAGATAAAAGTGTATACACACGTAAGCTAAAAAATTTTTAACAACTACAGAGATAAAATAATGACACTACATAAAATATATATTCTGTTACATGGAGCAAATTGTTGTAAAAAATTGTGCATGTAACTTACATTACTATTCAACATTTCTCATTATTTTAATGATTAAAAATTTGAGCAGTGTTAGCTGAAATTATTCTTTAAAAAGGAAGTGACAGGATATGTGGTTACTTTATAAAATAATGATAATACAAAAATCAACAAAATGTAAATTACTATTATATTACTAACTACTTAGAGTAAAGGATAATAGAAGTTTACATAAGGTATTTATTATTAATAATTGGGATATCTTTTAAATGAAATTCCACAAATTAGTTTTTTGGTATCAGTTATTTTGGAGTTATTTTTAAATACCTAGGTTGGATACAATGTAATTTAATAAGTATTAGTAATATTTGGTAAACATGTTTAATTCAAAAATTAAATAAAATCAAACTATTAATATTTTCCAAATTAATGCACTTCATTCAAAATTTACTTATATTTTACTTACTTGATAATTAATACATGTTGATGGATGCGTATAATTTTATTAACANGATTATGCATGTAACTATTACAGAAAAATTTTTGTTAGGGACGAATACCACGATAAATGCAAACGATTATTAAAATTAAAATATTTTTTATGTTTACTGCTTATTACTTTCACTTAAGATGGGCAGATATATATAAAAATTTGTAATTACCTGTTTAAAAGTTGAAAATAGACTTTAGATGATCTATCAACTTATAGAGATGAATTTTATGAATTAGAACTTTTTGTTTTATTAAAAAATTTTAGTATGCAGATAAGAAGTGGGTAGAGTTTGAAGGACGATTGAAACAACTTGAGAGTGATTTAGTAAACCATCATGAAACAATAAAAGACATAAGCCAATCTCTTCAAAAAATCGTTACAGTGAAAAGTAAAAATGCACCAAAAATTCCCGAAGAATTACTCCAAAATGTTGCAGGTCAGACTTTAATTTCAACCCAAATAATAAACAACAATGGTTGCTCTATACAAACAGGTCATACTCCAAAAACTGATATTCAGGTAATACATTGTAAAGTTAATATCCTTTCTAAGATATATCGGAAAGGATTACTTAATTTTCAAGATGTTGGAACTTTATAAACGAATTAAGTTTGACAATGTCGATGGGGGTGTTTGGAAACAAGGGTGGAAAATTGAAATAAATGAGAAAAATTGGAATAAAGAACATAAACTGAAAGTATTTGTTGTTCCTCATTCTCATAATGACCCTGGTTGGCTTAAAACAGTTGATGAGTATTATTTGAGTGCCACAAAACACATCCTGAATTCTATGCTAATTAAATTAGAAGATGATCCCAGGCGCAAATTCATTTGGGCTGAAATTTCATATTTTTCAATGTGGTGGGAAGAACTGGACGATTCTGAAAAGAAGAGAGTCAAAGAGCAAGTATTTCTGTTCCTATTTTTTTTCATTGGGGTGTCTGCTTTTTTATACTTTTCTTTAATGAGTAATTTTTAGATTGTTAAGAAAAAATCAACTTGAAATTGTAACAGGTGGTTGGGTAATGAATGATGAAGCAAATTCGCATTGGTTATCAGTTTATTATCAGCTTTCTGAAGGTCATCAGTGGTTGAAGAAAAACTTGAATTACATTCCCCGTAGCCATTGGTCTATTGACCCCTTCGGCCTTAGCCCAACGCAGGCGTTTCTATTAAAGAATTCTGGACTACAAAATATGCTACTGCAAAGGGTTCATTACTCCGTCAAAAAGGAACTTGCACGCAGGAAAGAATTAGAATTTAAATGGAAGCAATTATGGGGTAGGTATATTATTAAAAATCTTCCAAAGACGTACTTATAATACTTACGTGATTATTTTTAATTTAATAGATGATGGTAGCTCCTCTGAAATTTTCACACAAGTTATGCCGTTTTATTCGTACGATATTCCTCATACTTGCGGCCCTGATCCAAAAATCTGTTGTCAGTTCGATTTTAAAAGACTTTCAATTTATGGATCAGTATGTCCATGGAAAATAAATCCAAAACCCATCACTGAACAAAACGTTGCAGAGAGGTATAACAAATCATTTAAAAATAATTCAATTGTTTCTCATAATACACGTATGTTAGAGCAAGCCTTCTTTTGGATCAATATCGTAAAAAGTCGATGCTTTTCAAGACTAATGTACTGCTAGTTCCTCTTGGAGACGATTTTAGGTATACTTTTCCAACAGAATGGGACAATCAGTATATGAACTACCAGAAATTAATGGACTACATAAATACTAATGTGAATTTACACGCTCAGGTCTATTACATGCACTTAATTACAATTTTTAATTATTTCATTTTCTTCTAATATTTTTAGGTACAATTTGGAACTTTAAGTGATTATTTTGATGCCGTAAGAGCAGATAAATCTATGAAAGAATTTCCAACATTAACCGGAGATTTTTTCACTTATTCTGACAGAGACGACCATTACTGGAGTGGATACTACACTTCCAGACCATTTTATAAAAGAATGGACAGACTTTTACTCTCATATGTACGGTAAGAGTACTTAATTAAAGCAAAAATATAATTTATTACATTCAAAAAATAATTTACTTTCAGGGGAGCTGAAATTATTTTAGCATTGTCTCAGTTGTGTCAGAATTCGGATTCGGTTTCTTCCAAAACTGGTGTTAATTCTTTAGAGGAGATTGTCTCCGAATCGCGACGTTCTTTGGCTCTATTTCAGCATCACGACGGAATCACTGGAACAGCTAAAGACCATGTGGTGATAGACTATGGAAAGAAGTACGTTTTAAGTTTTTGGCGTTACTTTAAGTACATTAAAATATGAATAAGTTTTTTAAAACTATACATTCGTTCACAAAATTATACGTTATTTCGGTAGTGAGCTGTGAATGTACAAAATGGTTCAATAATAATAGATAAACAAATAATTGCAATCTATATTCTTTAGGATGTTGGCATCGATAAAAGGTTTGCAACATGTAATCCAGGCGTCAGTAAACTCATTGCTGCTTAATAATTATCCAATGACGACAGATGAGGTCGTTTATAAAGTAGACGATATTTGGAGAAGTCATGATAAGGCGCCTGAAAGATACACTATTACTATAGGACCAGAATTGAGTACAAAGTACATTGTCTTGTACAATTCTCTTCCCCAAGCTAGACATGAAGTCATTTCATTTGTGGTTTCTACACCATTCTTACAGGTTCAATGATAACGGTATTATATAGGATTCTATTTAACTTGTAACAAATTCTTTTGAGTAGGTTTTAAATTGGAAAGGTGCAAGGGTCAAATGTCAGGTGTCCCCTATATTTGAAAATAGCTACGAACCTCTCATTTCTCATTCAAAATACGAAGTGTCGTTTATAGCATCTTTACCAGCTTTGGGATTAGTCCGATATGTTATACAGGCCCTTTATGAGAAGGAAGTACCCCGGTAAGTGCACTCCTTTCTAAACAATAAAAAAAAAGTTAACATATGTTTTTTTAAAACAATCTTTTTACATAGTGTATTTTTCTTAAAAGTTTACATTCTTGTTCTATCTTGTACAAGGATTTGCTTAAAGAAGACTTTTCTTTTATTTGTTTTTAGGGAGACAACTTACGCAAAAGTAAAGATTCTTAACCNATATATATAAAAATTTGTAATTACCTGTTTAAAAGTTGAAAATAGACTTTAGATGATCTATCAACTTATAGAGATGAATTTTATGAATTAGAACTTTTTGTTTTATTAAAAAATTTTAGTATGCAGATAAGAAGTGGGTAGAGTTTGAAGGACGATTGAAACAACTTGAGAGTGATTTAGTAAACCATCATGAAACAATAAAAGACATAAGCCAATCTCTTCAAAAAATCGTTACAGTGAAAAGTAAAAATGCACCAAAAATTCCCGAAGAATTACTCCAAAATGTTGCAGGTCAGACTTTAATTTCAACCCAAATAATAAACAACAATGGTTGCTCTATACAAACAGGTCATACTCCAAAAACTGATATTCAGGTAATACATTGTAAAGTTAATATCCTTTCTAAGATATATCGGAAAGGATTACTTAATTTTCAAGATGTTGGAACTTTATAAACGAATTAAGTTTGACAATGTCGATGGGGGTGTTTGGAAACAAGGGTGGAAAATTGAAATAAATGAGAAAAATTGGAATAAAGAACATAAACTGAAAGTATTTGTTGTTCCTCATTCTCATAATGACCCTGGTTGGCTTAAAACAGTTGATGAGTATTATTTGAGTGCCACAAAACACATCCTGAATTCTATGCTAATTAAATTAGAAGATGATCCCAGGCGCAAATTCATTTGGGCTGAAATTTCATATTTTTCAATGTGGTGGGAAGAACTGGACGATTCTGAAAAGAAGAGAGTCAAAGAGCAAGTATTTCTGTTCCTATTTTTTTTCATTGGGGTGTCTGCTTTTTTATACTTTTCTTTAATGAGTAATTTTTAGATTGTTAAGAAAAAATCAACTTGAAATTGTAACAGGTGGTTGGGTAATGAATGATGAAGCAAATTCGCATTGGTTATCAGTTTATTATCAGCTTTCTGAAGGTCATCAGTGGTTGAAGAAAAACTTGAATTACATTCCCCGTAGCCATTGGTCTATTGACCCCTTCGGCCTTAGCCCAACGCAGGCGTTTCTATTAAAGAATTCTGGACTACAAAATATGCTACTGCAAAGGGTTCATTACTCCGTCAAAAAGGAACTTGCACGCAGGAAAGAATTAGAATTTAAATGGAAGCAATTATGGGGTAGGTATATTATTAAAAATCTTCCAAAGACGTACTTATAATACTTACGTGATTATTTTTAATTTAATAGATGATGGTAGCTCCTCTGAAATTTTCACACAAGTTATGCCGTTTTATTCGTACGATATTCCTCATACTTGCGGCCCTGATCCAAAAATCTGTTGTCAGTTCGATTTTAAAAGACTTTCAATTTATGGATCAGTATGTCCATGGAAAATAAATCCAAAACCCATCACTGAACAAAACGTTGCAGAGAGGTATAACAAATCATTTAAAAATAATTCAATTGTTTCTCATAATACACGTATGTTAGAGCAAGCCTTCTTTTGGATCAATATCGTAAAAAGTCGATGCTTTTCAAGACTAATGTACTGCTAGTTCCTCTTGGAGACGATTTTAGGTATACTTTTCCAACAGAATGGGACAATCAGTATATGAACTACCAGAAATTAATGGACTACATAAATACTAATGTGAATTTACACGCTCAGGTCTATTACATGCACTTAATTACAATTTTTAATTATTTCATTTTCTTCTAATATTTTTAGGTACAATTTGGAACTTTAAGTGATTATTTTGATGCCGTAAGAGCAGATAAATCTATGAAAGAATTTCCAACATTAACCGGAGATTTTTTCACTTATTCTGACAGAGACGACCATTACTGGAGTGGATACTACACTTCCAGACCATTTTATAAAAGAATGGACAGACTTTTACTCTCATATGTACGGTAAGAGTACTTAATTAAAGCAAAAATATAATTTATTACATTCAAAAAATAATTTACTTTCAGGGGAGCTGAAATTATTTTAGCATTGTCTCAGTTGTGTCAGAATTCGGATTCGGTTTCTTCCAAAACTGGTGTTAATTCTTTAGAGGAGATTGTCTCCGAATCGCGACGTTCTTTGGCTCTATTTCAGCATCACGACGGAATCACTGGAACANACATCATCTTTTTCATTGCATTCAGAAAAATAGCCAACAACTTCTTGTTGTTGCTCCAAGGGGAAAAATTCTTTAATTATCAACTCTATTTCTTCAAGTTTAGGAAATGTGAATGTTGGAGTTTCTACTTCCGGATCAGTCGTGGCAGATAGATTGCTAGCAGATGAAAAATCAGCAAAATCATCAAAGTCATCATCTTGTTTATCTTGCTCTTCTTTTAGCACATCGGATGAAGTTTTTGTAGTAATATGGTCATTAAAATCAGCAAAGTCATCAAAGGTATTCTCCTTCTCTTCATCACAGTTTTCAAACCTGTCATAATTTTCAATTTCTTTGTGTTCTATGCCATCACTGGTCTTTGCATGTGAATTAGTAACAATTTCAACTTTTTGTCTTTCCTTATCACTTGCTACTGATTTGATTATGATTTCATTACTATTACAACTTCCTTCATTTTCTATATATGGTGATTCAATTCTTTCAACACCTTGAAAATTTAATGCATATTTATCTTCTTGACTAGAATTGTTAATTGATACAGACAAATTAGTGGATTCCAATGTTTCATTTCTTAACTGAACATCACAGTTCTCCTCTTTAAATTTACATGAGTCAGATATACAATTATTTTTCTCACTACCATTTTCATTTATTTCAGACTCTAATTGTGATATTTGATTAACGATTCTATCATGATTAGGTTCTTTCTCATTAATATCAACTGTTTGTGTCTCTTCTATATTTGTATTGTTCTTGATTAGGTCTTCACATTCTGTATTTATAAATACAGTTGAACTGGAAATATTATTTTCCAATGTACTATTGATTTTCTCAAATTTAAATGAGTTTTTTGCATCAACAGTAGGTTCATCTTTACTTTGTGAATGATTTTGTACTAATACTTCTTCTTCATTTAAAACTTGTTTTTTTGTTCCAATATCTGATTGTAAATCACTACGTTGATGTTCTTCATTCAAAGAGCATTTTAAAGTATCTTTATTTTGACTGCTAATACCATTAGAAACATGATCTACAATGTGGGATATTTGTGGCGTATTGTACGGAAATGATAATACTGCAACAAAATCACAAACTGTATTCAATATAAATTAAAGAATGATTAAACTCCTACCATCAAAATCATATGATGAGTCCCTTGCTGAATTAAAATCTCCAAATTCATCATTATCAAAATCATCTAATGGCCCTACTATAGGTGGTGGAGAGCTATTAAGTAATGGAGGAATTGTGTTGGACATCTAACGTTAATGTTGCAGATTAAGAACGAGTTACTATAATGTTGCAAATAGACACATACCTGCTTGAAGTTTTTCCTAGCTACCACAAGTTTATAACTTTAAAGTTAGTTGCAATAGCAAATGTGATGAGAATCATTTCACCAGTGTTTGCCAAAAACGTTATTATTAAAATTAATAGTAATAACACCTTAAAAGGTCCTTAAATCACTTTTAAGCCAATAATTTTAATTCACGAGGTAATGTTTTGACACTTCCAAAAAAATCTTTGTTTGCAATTCCATTTATGTATATCACTTCACCAGATATTGAGTTCATGAAATTTCATCGTGAAAATTTAAGTTACTTACTTCTCTCATCTACAGCGTTTTCATATGAAAATTGTACTTAATAAAACACCAAAATTAATACCCTCTGGCGCTCTGGCTCATCAAATTTTTCTTTTTCTCCGTAATTTGTCAGCTGTCATCGTTGTTAAGCTGTCATTCATAGATAACAGCTGTCATTGTTGATATCGAAATAATAAAGGCGTTTCATTTAGCCCTATGATGTAGTCATAGATCGTGTCTCTGGCTGCTCTTGCCGAATTTGTAATTATAAGATAATGGAGAGATAGCTCCAAAATATATATAAATTCTGTATTAATAAAATTTGATTTTTTGTTATAGTAAAGAATCCGAACGTCTATTGATTAATAATAATCAAGATTAATAACAAATGAATAATTTATTAAAACAAATTTTGTCAAGAAAATATTTGCAACCTTATCTTATTTAAAAAATTAATAGTGTCTATTTTGAAGTCGCAACTGACTTTAAAATAATGATGTAAAGTTCAAAATTTTTTCAAAATAATGTAAAGTATTTCGAAAAAGAATGGATTTAACTTATAAAACAGGTAAAACAACCAACAAATGTACAATTTTAAAGTTCAACAAACTATTATTATGCACTTACTAAAAAGAGAAATAAATGTAAATGGTAAAATAATAATGGAACAATGAATTATAAAAAATGTATAAATACATGTTTACTTCTAACAATACAAATGAATGGTATAATACAAACAAAGCATATACATAAACAAGACGAACTGTTCACATGCTCATAATACAGCGAAAGTATTTAAATAACAATTACGTTTATGCAAAGTATGAGTGCTACTTATATCTATTAAAATGAATCGTCATAATTTAGAAATATTTTTTCATATGAAAAATCATTATAAAAAGTTAAAAGCTGTGAAATGTGTTGTAGATACTGGAAGATCTCGATTAGAGCAACACCGTTCCAAGAAGTAAGTACTGTACTTCATAATTTTCATTTCCTTGAGTAACTTATATTTGGTGTTTAGTGCAGTTTTGAGAGGCTTTCAAAAAAAGAAGCGTGCAATTAAGGGTAGTAGATGTAACAGAGCAAGAACCCTCAGTGACCCCCGGCCACAGACAAGACGAAATTTGTCAGATGTGCCTACTTCTCAGGTAGATTTGTTCCATTTTACATTACATTGTATTTCATATAATAATTGTGTATAGCAAAACAGAAGCCTATCAACAAAAAGATGGATGTATAACAGTGACATAAAGAAAAAGAGTAAACAGTTATCTAGTCGAATTGGGTCTTCCGCATCTGAACAGAAGGTAAATATTTGTACAAAGCTTTACTATACATAGCTTTAAATATCTGGGATAGTAAAATACTTATGTTATTAGTAATATTGTTTTGTTCTTAGTAATATGATTTTGTTCTTAGTAATATTGGGTAAAACTTCTGCATCGCTGCTTTTTTGAAAATGCAACTCTTTTTTGCTGGAAATGACTTAAAATGGCCTAATTATGAAAAACTTACATGAANATATGTTTTTTTAAAACAATCTTTTTACATAGTGTATTTTTCTTAAAAGTTTACATTCTTGTTCTATCTTGTACAAGGATTTGCTTAAAGAAGACTTTTCTTTTATTTGTTTTTAGGGAGACAACTTACGCAAAAGTAAAGATTCTTAACCATTATATGGATATTCCTACTCCCACTGGATTTTCTTTTGTAGAAATATCCCCAACTCCGCGTGAATTTAGTATTCAGAATTCAAAAATTGTAGCTTCCTTTACCACATTTGGCCTTTTAAAGGCCATTAAAATCGATTCTAAAACTATACCAATTCATTTAGACTTTGCAAGGTAATCATCGTAACAATTTTTACTATATTATGGTAAATAAAACAAATTTTATAGATATGGTGTTAGACATACTCAAGAACGAAGTGGAGCGTATTTGTTTTTACCAAATGGCAATGCCGTACCAATATCTCTAGAAAGTACCACCGTTAAAATTATCGAAGGCTCTATTTTCTCATCTGTTCAAGTTCGTTTGCCTTATGTGCAGCATTCAATAAAATTATATAACAGTACAGGTAAATTAACTTCTTTAAAGTTTACTATTGAAATAAGCAGAAATTGCTAATCTTAAATACTACATCTTTAGTTTTCTTATTACAATAAAGTATTTTTATATTCTTCAAAGTGTAATTATTTATATTTTCCTATTTAGGGGCCGATGGTCTGGGTTTAGAAATTGAAAATTTGGTCGATATAGAAAAAACAACTAACTTTGAATTAGTTATGAGACTGATGAGTAACATAAAAAGTGGCGAAGACTTTTTTACCGACTTGAACGGATATCAGGTGATAAATTTAATTATTAAAACTGTTTAAGTTTATCATCCTTTCTATTTTACAGCTAATACGAAGAAAACGCTTTTCTAAACTTCCGCTTCAGGCGAACTACTATCCCATGCCGTCAATGATGTATATAGAAGATAATGGAACCAGATTGACCATGATATCGAGTACTCCTTTGGGCTGTTCGTCTTTGAAAGAGGGTCAAATGGAGGTTATGCAAGATCGTAGATTGAATCAGGATGATAGCCGGGGATTGGGTCAGGGAGTTTTGGACAATCATCCTACAAGACATGTATTCCGAGTGGTTTTGGAACATAGAAAACGGGACTGTTATGTAACTAAATTTGTAACTGTAATATGTATATATAATTTGATCATATTTTACTTAGGGTACATCAGATAATTATCCGTCTGGTTTTCCCACTTTATCAGTCCACATTGCTTCCCAGTCTTTGTTGAATCCCATTTTCAAATTGCTCCGAGTTGAAGATGAAGACCTGTCGTCACGCCCAGTCTACATGCCTTCAGCGGCCGAATTTGGGGTTGATTACACCCTACCTATATTGAGAACTGACGTCTTGGTTGGTAACAAGACCTATGTGGCCGTCACCTTACACAGGCAGCAATTGGATTTGTGCTTCTCAGATGAACCTCTTCTCCATCAATTCCCTCTCAGCTCAGGAAAAGTAAGAAATTTATCTATTTTTCAGGTGTTATTGTTAAATTAGAAATGCGAATTCTTAATTTTATAATTTGCTGTCGTTTCTGGGAAGTGTCGGTATTTTTTGATCGAAGAAAATCTGTTTGTTTCGTTGTATCTGAGGATCATTTTTTTCTCGATCATTGTAGGTGAACTTACATGGACTTTTATCATTAAATGGCCAAGGAGGAACTCTTACTGAATCGTCGTTGACATATCTGTTCACCAACCGCAAATTAAATTTTTCCGAAGATATACAGTTATGTCCCATGCAGCTAAAGACATATTTATTCGATCGTTTTATTAGGTGAAAATTGTACTCGCCTAAAATTAATTTACCGTACACATATACCTATTAGCAACTGTATTTTATACATACATGTATTTGGGGTATTTTTTTTACGTAGGTAGCTTACATCAACTGATAGTTCCTTTTTTTTATCTCACGTTTTAATTTATTGGGAATGTATAATACTCACTAATGGGAAAGATATTATTTTGACGAAAAGAAATCTCAAATATTTATATTAAATGCTAACTAAAGATCTTATAATTTATACATATAACATAGTTCTATTTATATACTATTTATTTTCTTTTTTTTTTTGGTAAATTGTGCAGCTTGCTAACTGTTAATATTCCGTTATATAGTTTTTTAATTAAAATTTGGTTTGAAATTTAAATTTTTAGTAGGATAGGATTTCTTGTTGAGAAAGAAAAAATGCACGTCATATTAGTTTAAAGTTTATTTATAGTATGGTCAACTAAAATAATGCATTATTTAATTTCTTTTTTAGTGCTATAGACAGTTAACAAACCCAACATAAATAACAAATAAATATATATTAACTTTCCGTATAGACTGTTGTATCGCATCTTTAATAAAGATTTAATTATTTAAATTGAAACTAAGGGGTAATTTTTGTACAGTAATATTTATTAGTGTGAGCTCGAAAAAATCCTATATACTTACCTTTAGTCATTTTTTAAATCATTTCTTAAATTTTCTGTTAACAGAGTAGATATACATACACTTATAGGAAAATAACATAAGTCTTAATCTGTTAATACAACGTCCTAAACACAACCCCTATAAACACAACTCTATGCGTAATATGCCATAATTTAAGTACATCATTCTTTTCATATTTTAATTTAAAAATTTAAATAAAGGAATGTTTGTGTAGTTATGATAACGTTAAAAAAATATATAAAAACAAAATTTACAAACTAATAGATTTGCTTGAACTTTTTACAAACATATCAGTAACAGAGTACTTTTCATTCTGATTTTGAATACATCTTATATTTACTTTTTCTTTTATCAATTAGGTAATAATATGCAACACCTTAATACTCATCAAAACGATTTAAAAAACCAATTAAGCGATTAAAAGGTTTTAAAATGTTTTTGAAAACTAATACAATAGTGATGTATATTACTCTACTTTCAGATTATTAAATTATTAATGCGTATATTGGATGTCAAGAAAACTCAAAGTAAACCTCTTCACTTACATAAAATAATCACAATCGTTATATCACAATATGATTCTATTAAATAGTACGACCATTAACAGACTAAACTTTGAAAATTAAGTACATACAATTTGTATTTACAGCATGACTTGCTCTTTCCGTCATTTTTTCCAAGTTCTGCTTTTTGGCACGACGAAATCTAGTTCGGGAACACTTGTGGTAACAGCAGACACGAATGGTGTTGCATTTACCCCTCCGATTTTGCCGTTTCCTTCGTCTTTTGATTTCGTCCCGGCTGTTGGGTAATTATGAAACGAATCGAACGCGACAGGGTTCGTTATGATATTAGGTGTAATATTTGTCGCGGGCCAATTAGGCGCTCGTATGTCACGTATGCCCCATCCATTACTACTCGGAAGAGGGTCAGGCGGAGCCACCGGTCGACTAGATACAAAGTCCGACCACTCTTCATCGTCATTAACACTACCATCCACATTTAGTGCTGTTGTTGGTGTAATTGGTGCAAAGGTTTGTTGTCGTAAGCCGATTCCACTGTGCATATTGTAGTGGTGCCCAAAAGTTAATGTTTCCACTTGTTTGGCATATTGATTGCTTATTAAGGACGGCTGAAAGTCAGTGTTTGTAGGCCTAGGATTAGGGAATGTTTGCCGTAATGGGCGCGATTGAATTGGGATAGGTGTCATCTGCATGGCAATGCTAGATGGTGACTGATAACCTCCACTCATGTAGAGTCCTTGATGAGTTATCACGGGTGTAGGCTTCTTAGGTGGTTGGATTTGATTTAATTGAGAAATCGATAATTGTAATTCAGCCTTTGGTTTATCTGGAAGCTAAAATAAATATTTTAATGCAGGTAGTGTTTACAATTTTCTTAAAATTATATGTACCCCAAACATTGGTGATGTTTTGGTTGTTTCACTGTTATTGGATGCATTTTCGCTGGAAATAAAATCGCTCCAATCGTCATCTTCTTCTGTTGCTGCTTCTTTTTCTTTTATACTAGTTCCAATAACTGCGGATTGTTTTGGACGGTTTTCATTATCTTGTTCTTTTTCCTCAAAATGCTTTGGTTTATAACTGAGTTCAATGTCGTCAAGATCTTGGCCACTGATACCTGGTTCAGGCCATTCTATTTTGGGAGGAACCTGTATGTTGCTACATGCAGGAATAGGTTGCAATGGAGTCAAAGAGTTGTAATTGGAATTAACCTGTGTAGGAATAAGCGTCTCTAAAGGTAAAGTACTAGATCTAGGTGGTACGATATTTCTAGTGGGATGAAATTCTGAAAATTTGAAGAAAATATAAAGATAATGATTAAATAAGCTAACTTTTTTACTCATTTACCGTTATTTTGTGATGCATGGAATTGATGAAGGAATGGAACACTTTTGGTTTCTTGTTTAGGTGGCGAACTTGCTTGAAAGTCATCAAAATCGTCTATGGTGTCTTGAGGTCCTTCTGGATGTGCATTTGACAAACTTTCTGATTTCTTCACTTCGACCCAACAAGAAAATTCTAAATCTAAAATGTGAAATGATAAAAAAACACTCAGCAAAGAATTGGTTTTCATACCATTGTCGGTTTGTACCGGTGAGTTTTTGGCATTTTCCAATGAAATTGGAATTTGATTAGAAATATATGTTTCTCGCAAAGGAATTTCCTTAACTGAGTATTGGTCTGAAGTGAATCCTTCAAATTCTCCAAAGTCATCCTCCCCTAAATGTGGCGTAGATTTATTAATTTGTGCAAGAGAATCGTAATCGGCATTGATCTCATTGAAATTAAGTGATTTCACAGAAGTGTCATCATTTATTTTTGATAATGCAATATCGCCAATTGCAATATTTTCGTTCTTTTCATTTGAAAGTTTTAAGCCTTTCAAGGAGTTAGAGGATTGAGCTGAAATGTTTAGAATACAAAATTGTAAAGTACTTTTAGAAATATAAAATTGAAAATTTTAATGTCACTTACAAGCAGGCGAGGACATCCAATCCTTAAAATCATCATTAAAAATAGAATTAAATTTAAATGAATTATATGTTAAAGAATAACTCAGTGTGGATGAGAATTGATCAAAATCAAGCAGTATTGAACTTACATTAGAGTCTGTTGAATCCATTTAATTAATATGTAGCAATAATAAGAAAAAGTAGTTTTAGAAAGTAACGATATTTTTTACATGTTTAAATATATAACCGAAAAAAAAGCGTAAACTTACAATCTAAAGGATTGGTTAATCCTGCAAGATTCCAATCAAACTGGGCAGACGGTACATCTTCTATTTCTTTTTCCGCAATCTGATCTGTTGGTACATTAGGAGGAATATTTATCGAACTTTCTTGACTTGTGGGAGGTACAGTTGAGTCAGATTTGACAGGTTCTAATGGAACGAAACCCAAAGTGGCGGCAAAAGGAGGCATAGTTTCATTCCATCGAGGACCATAAAGCTGTAATTATTCACAAAAATAGTGTCCAAATATTTCATGTAAACATTTTTGAAAAATTAACTTACAATATTTCGCATGTCAATATTTAGTGCTTTAAAAAGGGCACTTTGGGAGTTGGACTTCGCCCATTTGTAGACTAAGGCTTTGGTGTCAGTGACATCTCTTATTTGTGCTAAAATAACATCATCTTTTTCATTGCATTCAGAAAAATAGCCAACAACTTCTTGTTGTTGCTCCAAGGGGAAAAATTCTTTAATTATCAACTCTATTTCTTCAAGTTTAGGAAATGTGAATGTTGGAGTTTCTACTTCCGGATCAGTCGTGGCAGATAGATTGCTAGCAGATGAAAAATCAGCAAAATCATCAAAGTCATCATCTTGTTTATCTTGCTCTTCTTTTAGCACATCGGATGAAGTTTTTGTAGTAATATGGTCATTAAAATCAGCAAAGTCATCAAAGGTATTCTCCTTCTCTTCATCACAGTTTTCAAACCTGTCATAATTTTCAATTTCTTTGTGTTCTATGCCATCACTGGTCTTTGCATGTGAATTAGTAACAATTTCAACTTTTTGTCTTTCCTTATCACTTGCTACTGATTTGATTATGATTTCATTACTATTACAACTTCCTTCATTTTCTATATATGGTGATTCAATTCTTTCAACACCTTGAAAATTTAATGCATATTTATCTTCTTGACTAGAATTGTTAATTGATACAGACAAATTAGTGGATTCCAATGTTTCATTTCTTAACTGAACATCACAGTTCTCCTCTTTAAATTTACATGAGTCAGATATACAATTATTTTTCTCACTACCATTTTCATTTATTTCAGACTCTAATTGTGATATTTGATTAACGATTCTATCATGATTAGGTTCTTTCTCATTAATATCAACTGTTTGTGTCTCTTCTATATTTGTATTGTTCTTGATTAGGTCTTCACATTCTGTATTTATAAATACAGTTGAACTGGAAATATTATTTTCCAATGTACTATTGATTTTCTCAAATTTAAATGAGTTTTTTGCATCAACAGTAGGTTCATCTTTACTTTGTGAATGATTTTGTACTAATACTTCTTCTTCATTTAAAACTTGTTTTTTTGTTCCAATATCTGATTGTAAATCACTACGTTGATGTTCTTCATTCAAAGAGCATTTTAAAGTATCTTTATTTTGACTGCTAATACCATTAGAAACATGATCTACAATGTGGGATATTTGTGGCGTATTGTACGGAAATGATAATACTGCAACAAAATCACAAACTGTATTCAATATAAATTAAAGAATGATTAAACTCCTACCATCAAAATCATATGATGAGTCCCTTGCTGAATTAAAATCTCCAAATTCATCATTATCAAAATCATCTAATGGCCCTACTATAGGTGGTGGAGAGCTATTAAGTAATGGAGGAATTGTGTTGGACATCTAACGTTAATGTTGCAGATTAAGAACGAGTTACTATAATGTTGCAAATAGACACATACCTGCTTGAAGTTTTTCCTAGCTACCACAAGTTTATAACTTTAAAGTTAGTTGCAATAGCAAATGTGATGAGAATCATTTCACCAGTGTTTGCCAAAAACGTTATTATTAAAATTAATAGTAATAACACCTTAAAAGGTCCTTAAATCACTTTTAAGCCAATAATTTTAATTCACGAGGTAATGTTTTGACACTTCCAAAAAAATCTTTGTTTGCAATTCCATTTATGTATATCACTTCACCAGATATTGAGTTCATGAAATTTCATCGTGAAAATTTAAGTTACTTACTTCTCTCATCTACAGCGTTTTCATATGAAAATTGTACTTAATAAAACACCAAAATTAATACCCTCTGGCGCTCTGGCTCATCAAATTTTTCTTTTTCTCCGTAATTTGTCAGCTGTCATCGTTGTTAAGCTGTCATTCATAGATAACAGCTGTCATTGTTGATATCGAAATAATAAAGGCGTTTCATTTAGCCCTATGATGTAGTCATAGATCGTGTCTCTGGCTGCTCTTGCCGAATTTGTAATTATAAGATAATGGAGAGATAGCTCCAAAATATATATAAATTCTGTATTAATAAAATTTGATTTTTTGTTATAGTAAAGAATCCGAACGTCTATTGATTAATAATAATCAAGATTAATAACAAATGAATAATTTATTAAAACAAATTTTGTCAAGAAAATATTTGCAACCTTATCTTATTTAAAAAATTAATAGTGTCTATTTTGAAGTCGCAACTGACTTTAAAATAATGATGTAAAGTTCAAAATTTTTTCAAAATAATGTAAAGTATTTCGAAAAAGAATGGATTTAACTTATAAAACAGGTAAAACAACCAACAAATGTACAATTTTAAAGTTCAACAAACTATTATTATGCACTTACTAAAAAGAGAAATAAATGTAAATGGTAAAATAATAATGGAACAATGAATTATAAAAAATGTATAAATACATGTTTACTTCTAACAATACAAATGAATGGTATAATACAAACAAAGCATATACATAAACAAGACGAACTGTTCACATGCTCATAATACAGCGAAAGTATTTAAATAACAATTACGTTTATGCAAAGTATGAGTGCTACTTATATCTATTAAAATGAATCGTCATAATTTAGAAATATTTTTTCATATGAAAAATCATTATAAAAAGTTAAAAGCTGTGAAATGTGTTGTAGATACTGGAAGATCTCGATTAGAGCAACACCGTTCCAAGAAGTAAGTACTGTACTTCATAATTTTCATTTCCTTGAGTAACTTATATTTGGTGTTTAGTGCAGTTTTGAGAGGCTTTCAAAAAAAGAAGCGTGCAATTAAGGGTAGTAGATGTAACAGAGCAAGAACCCTCAGTGACCCCCGGCCACAGACAAGACGAAATTTGTCAGATGTGCCTACTTCTCAGGTAGATTTGTTCCATTTTACATTACATTGTATTTCATATAATAATTGTGTATAGCAAAACAGAAGCCTATCAACAAAAAGATGGATGTATAACAGTGACATAAAGAAAAAGAGTAAACAGTTATCTAGTCGAATTGGGTCTTCCGCATCTGAACAGAAGGTAAATATTTGTACAAAGCTTTACTATACATAGCTTTAAATATCTGGGATAGTAAAATACTTATGTTATTAGTAATATTGTTTTGTTCTTAGTAATATGATTTTGTTCTTAGTAATATTGGGTAAAACTTCTGCATCGCTGCTTTTTTGAAAATGCAACTCTTTTTTGCTGGAAATGACTTAAAATGGCCTAATTATGAAAAACTTACATGAAAAAATTCCTGGGAAGGCCTTTTTAATATTTTTGCAAATTAGTATTTGTAGATTAATATTGTTTTGTTTTGTTCTTAGTAACATTGTTTGATTTATTAGTGTACTTGTTCATCAATTCATCACAATGAAAATTAACATTCTAAGGCAGAAAGTTAATTTAGATTCAAAGTCCTTTTATAAACTAAAATTTGATATAGTTCATAAAGTTTGAAATATATTGCATAATAATAAAGTCTTGTCTCTTTGTTTCTGAAAAGGAAATTGGTAATATAGAATCAGATTCACTGAACAACACGGACAATGAAGATTTTGAAATGAAAAGGATAAATCCTGCACCTGAAGAAATAACACCATCAGTTATTCCCAAATCAGAAACTTATGACTATATTCCAGGAGAAACTATTACCAATATTACGACGTGTGTGGAGAAAGTTGTAGAAGATAAGAATTATACATGGTATCAACTAATTTTTGTGGTAGACGCGTACATAGCCTAATTTTTTAGGAGTCGAACAGAAAAAAAGTTACATAATTTTCTCTATCAAGATGATTGAATAATGAAATTCATTTTATCAGTAATTTTAATGATGTTAGTTATTAAAGGCTAAAAGAGAGAATAAGAAATTCTACGATATGCGTGCAAATGCGTCGTTAAAAAAAATATTTAACTTTTTAAGTGTTACTTTTTTTCATGTATATGAAATATTATATTGTAGCATAAATGAGCATGAATATTCACAATTTTTGTTGCGCATTACTGAAGACATAATTAGGAATGAATGTTACACAATGGAGATGATACTGAACGTGTTTAAAAGTCACATTGAAGCAAATAAGTCGCAACTCGATTTGGTAAAATTAATTTGTAAAAAATATATTTTTCCTCTTTATGATTTTCTTATTTACAGGGCAAAATGTTGTCAATGATCAAACAACTGTGTTCTGAAATTAACTTTCCCCTTGAAGTCAAGCAAATAGAAGATTTCAAAGAAAATGAACAATGTAGAGTTTGCTGTGGTCTGTATAAAATTTGTTATTTATTATTATTTTTTTATTTTAAAGTATGTTTTTCTTTTTTATAGATTATTCGTGTGAAAATATGAGTTCAAAGTGTACTGTTGAAGAACCTGAGAATGTACAAGGGACAATATTTGAGAAATGTAAAGCCATTGACGCATTGCCGCAAAATCAAGAGAAGGTTGATACTGTTAATGAAATAGTGAGTTCATTTTAAGTTTTTAAATGTAGAAGACTTCTAGATTCTAAAGAAATTTATTGCAATAAGAAAAACTATTATTAAGTTTTTTAAATGAAAATGTGGTTAATAATATCGTGTGTTTCTTCACTTTAATGTAGAAGTCACCCGACGTGCCAATTGATAACGGGCAAACAAAAAGCCCAAAGTGTTTATTGTCAGAAAAACTACGAAGATGTATCGAAAATGATGGGGAAACGACTCCAAAAATGAAAAAGGAACCAGAGGAAATTAACCGAAGTTTGAGACATAAAAACGAGGAAAAATGCGGAGAAATGACGATAACGACTTATGAACTGAATAAGGAAAAGATTGATTGTGAACCTGAACAGAAATGGAACAAAGATGAAAGCGCGTTGCCAGTCCATTATGTCAATCAACGTAATCTTATTTTTTAAATGATTCTTTTATCACTAGAGTTTCTTTGGTTTAGGTCTTGTAAATAGAGAATAGTGTCAATAGAAACTTAATATCTTATATTTTTAAGTTGAAAATTGTTTGAAGCAAATGAAGGTATATTTTACACAAATTAGTCAAGCAAATGTTGGTCAACCACAAACTCCAGCAATTTGTAATGCTCCCCAAGTTCCTATGCATTACCCCGACAAATGCATCAAAAGTAAATACAGAATAGGGACGGTTTGTTATTTAATTTGGAAGCATTGGTTTACGTAGTTCCTTGTTCAAATTCTAGATAATTTTCATCAAAGAGAGCAGTGCCTCGGAACGTACAACTATGCCGCATCTCCGGCAAAACATTATTGCAAACGCTGTCAAATGTGTTTTCGTCAAAGTAATTACGATAACAAATTTTTAATAACGATAATAAAAATAATTAAATTCTAGAAACTGGTAACAAGAATGAACTACCAACTACTTACCCCTTTGGCTTGTCATATGAGTGCCACAAAAGTATTTTATATCATATTTCTTTTTAGTTTTATATACGTTATATTGTTATTTGGAAAAAGAAACTTTATTTTTTAGTAATGATTATTAAAATAAGTATACCTGATAGTTATAGAAAAAACGCTATTTTTGTGTCACAGCGTTTTTATAAAATAACTTATTTTAGATCCCGTAAAAAATGACGTTGAATCAAAACGAGTTATGTTTTGTAACTTGTCTTCTGCGTGTTCAAGCGATATCAGTTGTAATGAGAACCCAGAAGAGGTCGTAGAAGTTATAAAATTACCAAATAAAGCATTCGTTGACGAGTCATGCTTCGATAAGAATTCAATTCACTTAAGTCCCTCAAATAACACAACGTGTGATTTATCCTTAGACACAAATAAAAGTAAGTTTGTAAAATGGTTTCCAACAAACTTTCTTGCCTTTAAGAAACTTTAGTTGTACATTTCCCAATAAAAGTGAATATTTCGTTTTTAACAGTAACGTTTTTTTTTGTTAATTTATAGCTCAATGTAAGGGAATGGAAATACAAATAGGGGTGGTCGATGAAACTAAAAATACTGTTAAAGAGAAAAATCAACCAGTGCAACAACGAGCAGTAGGTAAGAGTACTAATACTTTGAATAATAAAATAAATATAGTGAACAATAACAATTGTTCAGGTATTCAATGGGGAAAGTGTTCTTGTTTGAACAACAAAGGCAATCAAACAGGTAATTTCTGTTCTGGTACTACAGAATCTTCGCCATCTAAAATAGTTCCAAAATCAATTGATGCCAGTACCCAGTATGCAAAAACTGAAAGAGGTGTGTTAAAATATGCTATAAATTTCTCTATCTTAGTTATTTATTGTCCATAAAGATTATCATTTCAATTCTTCTGTAGGTAATTTATTGGTATGCGGGATATAGATGTATTTCAGAAAGAAAAAGATTTTTTTTATTGTTGTTATTTATTTTTCTGTTGAAATGCAGGTTGTCCTAGTAGTAGTGAATATTACAAGAAAAAATCAGCAAAGGAATGCCCAGAAAAAGTTGACGCATCTGTTCAGTATGAAAAAGGTATCTTTTCATTGAATAATTGCATATTTATGTTCCAGTCGAAATTCGTTTTAAGTTAGAACACATTTTCTGTATTTAAAAGCTGTTACAACTAGAATTTACTGCTGTGCATGTTTGAATTTTTGATTAAAATAGGTTTAATTTTGAGCATTAGACAAAAATTTGGCTGGATATACTTGTTTGGGGGAAATGCTTCAATTAAAAGTAATAATCAAGTGTTGATTAGGATTAAAAACATTTATATTCTTTAATACAAAATTTATTGAGACTATTGGTCACATGTATATGCCATTAATATTAATTAAAGTAATTTTAACTAAAAACGGGTTTTTACTGTTGCCTATATACTGGAATCAAGTTGTATCAAAAATTATTTTTGATATATTTAAGAGGCAAATACATGTAAAAAGACGAAAACTGTCATAGCAAAAAACGATATTGAAAATTTAAATTCGCACAAGGAGAGATCTAAAATTTGTCGAGAGCCATCAGAAAATAACGGATGGAACTCAAAAATAGTTGAATATAAATTGCTGTTGCAAGATCTTTTTAGAAAATGCGAAACTCAATGCGCAGATGCTGATACAAATCTCATTAAGGATGGTAATTATTTTACATATGTGTAACAAAAATCTTTCGATAATAAGAAATGTATTTTTTTAGTGAAAGAAAATGTGAAAACTAAAATCAGTAGATGTAAAAAAAATAATGAAAATGATATAACAGATAAAGACTCCTACAAAATAAATGAGTATAAATCGATGCTACAAGATCTATTTCAAAAATGTTATGTTAGTACTCAAGGTAATTACTGTTTTTTAAATTTAGTTTATATGAAATTATTTTTTAATGAAATAGAAATTTATTTTATCGTTAGATCAGGCTCCTATGGGTAAAGTAGATCAAGCAACAAATGCTCTGCCTGAACTACTTTTAGAGAACTATGAAATTAAAGCACGTCAAAAAAGTACAGTCCCTACAAAATCGTATTGTCCATCAAAAGCTATAAAGGAGGATGAAATTTTTATAAGTCCCGCTTATGAAAATTGGTCTGTATCCGCCAAGGACGCCAAATTTAGTCGTGAAGTTGCACACCAGTATCCGCAAATAAAAGAGGACTTTCATGTTACTGTCATGCATGATGCTTTCACGTCCATGTCCAATAAAGAATTATTTACCTCGCCTTACTGCAACTCTCTCAATCGTATTTGTGACAAGGGGGAAAACTTCCTACTTGACAGAACATATGAGAAAAGTAATCGCAAAGAAAACACAGTTTTACCCTTAACATTGGCCGCCTTCTTTCCTAATGCTGAAACTCAAACAACGGATATCGACAGACATTTGGCTGCACGGCTGATAATGAGCGTTCAAGAGCCTACCAAAGACGAGGTACCAAAAAAAGGGAATTATGATATTTCTCAGAGGATATCGGTAGGAAATGTAGAAGAAGTATCGCAAAAGGGAGACGAGGTGCAAAATAGGGCAGTAGAAAAATCTTTTCATTCTGCGATGAAACTGAAAAAAGAATCACAGAAACTTGAAAATAAAGACAGAAAAAAAAATTTAAATGTAGGCAGTAAAACGGTGTCAGTAGGCAATACTGTAGAAGTACCATTCACCTTTGAAAATAATATAAAAGGGTATCGTAGCGAGCCTTTGCCTGTAGATAATGTTCCGGAAGATTCAATACCAGAAAATAGCCAAGGTGCCAATAACGTTGATGAAGACTTAAAAGATAACAATGGCGGCTCTGAAGAGATTGAAGTAGAAAACGTAGATGAAGAGGATTGGAATGAAATGGAAGATATAAATGAGCCGCATTTGTCGGAATTATTAGAGTTGAAAGGTGAGAGATCTCGAAAATCAAGTGGGGCAAGTACAAATAAAGAAATCGAAAAAGAAGGTAAGAGGTAACTGGATTAGTTAAGAAGTTTTATTATTGACATATGTTTAACAACTTGAGGAAAATAAGTAATAAATGCTTGCAATTCTACAACAGAAATGCAATTAAAGCGGATTTCCAATAAGGTTAGTAAACGAATTTCTAATAAGGTCAATGAAGTTTGAAATCTTTAGATGAACCAATTTTATCCGACGAGTCTGATTACAATTGTTGCGGCAGAAAGAAAATTTATACTTCTGACATGACTTCACGAAACGACAGAACAAGTACTAGAGGAAGCATATGGAGCTCGGATAAACAGACAGTCGCAACTGATGCAAATGCAAGTCCCAAAAATACTGAAATGCTACAAATAACACGTGACGTCGATAAACAAGAAACGTTGAAAAAAAGCGATAAGCGATTGGCAGATAGAAATATAGATATAGAGTTAATCAAGAAACGGTTTGATCGCAGTTCTTTATTCGTTTCGAATGATTTTCGTACAGAGCAAACTATGAGGAAGACTCTCAGTGATAAGGGTGCGAAAGATAGAACAAGGGCTAAGAGCTATTACGTTGACGAAGAAAATCTGGAAGTGATCACAACGCGATCCAAGAAACGCAATACATTAATGCTCCCCCAGGATGAAAATGTTTCTATTGATAGTTAGCATAACAAAAGGTACAATTTTTATATTACACATACACATACAATATTATCAAAATTAATATATTATTCAGATAAATGGTTTTAACTTTTTAGTTTGATTTTTAAGATAAATTCTTTATAAATTAATCTTTCTAAGAGAAAAACTTTAAGTTCATCGTGCATTTCTTTTTTGTTTGATATTAAAATGTTGCCAAAATAATTTTATTTACAGCTGAGTTTCTACCTTCCGTTTCTTATGCTTTTCGGTACACAAATAAAAATAAAATTATTAAAGATGAAATATATATATGTGTCCGATAAATACAGTCATTTTTTATTGTTAAAACTTTTTGTACAATAATTCAATAGTATTATCATTACTTCAGTGAAAATTGACTGTAAGCCGTGGTGGAGTTCTACTAGCCAAAGGTAAATTTACATACGCACACATAATAAATAAAACTAGTAACAATATACACAATGCATGTTCTTGTTTATTGTTGTTGTAAATTTGGAAGAAGCGGTTTTGCGATTCCTAGTCTAACAGGTCCCGGCATTGTGCCCTTCAGTGCCTGGACGGCTTGGTCCAGGGCCATATTTTTTAATTCTGTTCCATTAACTGATATCAGACAGTCTCCTGAAACATCGAAAAACGATTTATATTGCTGTTTGTATGTCTATTGGCTTTCAAAAATTTATGTAGGTAAACTAATAATCGTTTAAACTAATTAATTAGACAGACTTGTTACTTTAATAACAATAACATTATAACAAAAAATACACGTATTCGTTATAAAAAAAAAACAACTTCAATGTGCCCCGAAATAATACTTCTAATTCTTTATAAACATATATGTACTTATTTATAATTCATTTTTTTCTTATTTTACCTGGTTGTATTTTACCATTTGTCTCTGCTACTCCACCAGGTACTAAAGTTCGCACGACGATTATAGTAGCTGCTGTATCAACCGGGTCTTGGTAATCCAAAATAGAAAATCCAAGACCCTTATCACCTTTAATCAGATCAATGTATTCTACCTCGTCCGACCACATGGCGACGTTTGTGTTTTCAAGTGATCTAGACTTTGTTTTTTGTAGCGTGGGTTCTGGAGTTATTGTAGTCGCGCTACCGTTACTGTTATTATTAGTGTTATTGTTATTAGTATTTGTGTGACTACTGTTATTTATGCTGGTATCGCTGAGAGCTTTGACCAGTTGCTTTGGTCCGTTTTGTACTATAAGATTCTTTAGACTACCGCCTAAGATATTTCTTTGTTCGAAAGCTTTCAGATTTTGGGACGTGTTGATGACACGATTTCCTTGGTTCTTTCTCGCACAAACGAGACGGACAGCGCTAGGCAAATTCCTGAGCACCTTAACCGCTTCCACGTGATTCACACCGATCAGCTTCTGACCGTTGACTTCAAGTATTTCGTCGCCGGGGCGTAATTTACCTGACTGGCCCACGGGGCCTTCAGGCAAAATTGATCTGATAAAGTGACGAGGATTCTGTTCGATTCCGTCCTCCACTTCTACAGTGCCCTCCAGACTAATACCCAAACCAGTGAGTTTTCTTAAGTGCAACACTACTATATCTGAGTCAGAATTGACTTGTTTTTGCCACTTTTGTTTAACGGATTCTTCGAGAATATCTAGAGATTCTGCCTGGAAATTTTCGTCAATGAACACCTCTTGTTCTTCGTTATTATTGTTTTCCAAAACCTAAACAAATGTTTATTTATTATATACGTGTCAGTATTTCTTTACAAATATAGAATTTTCCTCAATTTATCAGAAACAAATAATGTATAAAAGGAGGCAGTAGAAAATTGAAAAAAAAAATATTTTGGTATATAATTATGGGAACTTTGCATGTATACCTCACTGTTTACTGAAGCAATAGACTCTCCTTCAGCTTCAATATTAATTTCAGTGTTTATTGGAATCCAACTAAGGGTCGTTGTAGTGGGAGAGGGTGGACTTGCATCTTTATTTTCTTGATTGTGAAGTAATGCTTCCTGAATTTAAAAAATAATATATAGATGTTAAGAAAACCTAGTTTTCCCTATTACTAAATATTAAAATTTATTATATGTATCACATAAACCACATATAATAGCCTATATAAGTCTTGCCGAGATATTTTCTTATCCAACGGAATCTACGAAAGGCATGTGTCGTTATTTGGATAAGTAGCTAAGGTATCTACCATCTAACTTATGAAAAAAAAATTGATTACTATTGATGATAAATATTCCTTATACATCTGATGAAAAATATGTAATGAAAACAATTGCCTACATATAAAGTCCTTTATTATAAATGGTAGCTTTGGACGTTTTAATCTTTTTTCTATGTTGACTTCTTACCTGCAAATGATCATACTTTGGTCCACGTAAATATCTTTCAAAACTAATTTTGACAATTTCTCCAGCTTTTTTTAACTTCTCAATGGCCTCATAATTGGTGCAATTTTCTAATGGTTCATCATCAACTCCTACTATGCGATCATTTATTTTGATTTTGTTGCATCTATAAGCATCACTATCGGCACTTACACTTCTAATAAATATGCCATTTAAATCTTCCCTTTCACAAATATAACCAGCAACTGTTATTCCCAGTCCAAACTCTTTATGTTTTTTTAGTTCAACAGTGAAACACTCAGTTTCAGGCAAGTCTTCGAATAATTGAAAATTGTTCTCTGTAGGTGCTTCAATGTCACAATCTTTATAATTATTTAAACGGTTTATGGAGGCAACCTCTGAATTTCTAATTATACCATCAATAATTACACAGTTGGTTAAGCATTCAGAAGAGCCCTGCTGAAGTGTCATTTGATTTTCATAAGCATCAAAGTGACTGAAATTGCTAAACTGCATGTAACCATTTTGGGAAAGTAGTTTATCAATCTCTTCTGGATCACAAAGAATCTTTGTGGGAACAATAGGTGCAGTTGGTACAAACTCTTGTAAATTTGCAGAAGTTATTTCAATAGGTCTTGCTACTACCATTCTAACATGAGCTCCAGCTTGTCTGAGTACAACAGCAACCTGTTCTGATCCTAAACCTATAAAGTGGCAATTAACGTCGAATTTATACCTTTCAAACATGTACAAACATAAACTTCACCTTTTAGATTGACACCTCCGATTTGCAAAATATGATCTCCACTCTGTAGACGTCGTCCTTTATCAGCAATACCACCAGGTAAAATACTTTTCACAACTACCCCCGTACTGCGACCCCCTACGATTCCAAAACCCAAGCCACTTCCATCATTGATTAGATCTATTACTTCAACTTGGGACCATTCCGTACTTAACACCATTTTTCATTTTTGGAACACTCATTCTCAAAGAACTTTTCTTTTTATACCTACATATCTATTTTCCTTACTACTATTTTTGCTTTTATTTTAATTAGCCCTCTCTAAAAAGGTATAAAATAGCAATTGTGCATGAGTAAACATCTTGATTGTAGAAGTATATAAATATCTAAAATAAGTGCATTTTTTTCTCGTTGATTGTGTTTCTGATTGTTGCCAATTTTATTTTTCACCTGTACTTCGATTAAAAACGTTTATTCTAATAAATTAATCGATTTACAAATATTGAATAAAACCATGGATAAAAAACATTTAGTTCCATCCAAATTCAATCAATTTTTTTCATTGCAGATACAATTAGGTTATGGTCAGTTATTGTTAATCTATGGATATGAAATATGATTAAATGTATTATTGACATTTCAATGGGTTATTGTTATTATCATAGATAATTTAGATATAGATACGTTAAAATGAGTTGAATTTGAGTTGGCGAACTAGTAGATAATTTTGTTAGGTCAGTTTATTTTGTGGTTGTTGCTGTTACCCTTTGTATATCTATTATCTATGGTTGTTGCTTTTGTTGTGTAACAATCTTAAGATCATAGATCACTTTATTTTATGGCTGTTGATTTGGTATAACAGTCTAATATTTTAGTTGTTGATTATTTCTGTGGTTAAACTCTAGGAAAACTAATTCTGTTTTATCATTTTATTAAAGAATTATTTTTTTTTATCTGCATAAAAGGAATCAGTTATTAATAGCAAAAGTAAGCAAACACATCTATTTCGAAACTATTACCTAAAGTATGATAACAAAAGATAAGGAACGATCATTGTAACAATATAATCAGAGGTTAAATGTTAAAATAATTTATTATCATCCTAAATGTTCATAATCGTAAATATTGTTGTTAATCATGTATTTAAATAAGTAGCTGCGAAATTTTAAACAATTTCGAATTCCCACATTTCTCCATTCCCTGTTTGCGTAGACAACTCGGAACAATGCGTGTATTTTGCATAACAATCGCCTAACAATAAAACCGAAGGGATCACGCTAAGATCGTTCATTGTTTATTTGTAGTGCTAAAGAATTAAGATACATTTGTTTGCTTGAGATAAAAAGTTTTCGTTCAATAGAATTTTCGAGACTTAAATAAAGTGCAAGAAAATCCGTCATTTACAGTAATCTTAAAATATAAAGGCAGTGGTGTATTTAGGTTAAACAAATTGTAAAAAATATGGTTATATCATCAATTTTATTCGATTTGGATAATACCTTAATCGCAACGAGGAAAGGTGATAAATTAGCGTGTAATAAGGTAAATTATATTAACTGATTGTTTGCTTTTTGATATAATTTTTGTAACTTAGTAATAGTCCGACTCTGTTAAAGTGATCAGCTGGTTTGATAATTTTTAACGCATGCTATGATCGCACGTTGTTTTGCGTGATGTTTTCTCTTGCGTCGCAAAAACCCCAATAAACCATGGTACAAGTTAGGATATTTTCAATATTTTAAAAGTCAGTGACTTAAAGACTATTTATAACCGAGGGAATTCGAGATATACACAATTACCAAATTTAGAATCAGGGCTGTGGCTGATTCTAAATATAACCTCAACGCGTATCTGAAACAGATTCAGTTTTGTACGAAATCGCTGAAGCGCTGTTCCGATTCCCATAATTGATTTTGATTAAGTTTTGTAATTGCAAAGCATCAAAATATAAAAAGTGCAGTTGTTAGAGTTTTGTGTGTCTCGTGTAGTTTTGCTATGGCCGGGGAGATATCTGACGCCGTTAAAAAAATAGTGGCGATATTGAAAAATGCCACTAGCGATACTGAAAAATTTGCTGCTCTTTTCATGGTAACGAAGCTGTTGAAAGGTAAAGACCATAATAAGCCTGCTTGCAAGAAAGCCATATTCGAGGCAATTGGTTTTGATTTCTTGAAACGGCTCCTTTTAACTTCGGATGTTCCTGTTGATTGCCCGCCATCTATTTACAAGTCTGTAGCATTGTCTATATTAACATGCTTCTGTAATGAAGCTGAGTTAGCAACTCACCCAGAAATGCTGGCCAACATACCTGTTTTCTTGGATATTGTACAACAGGCAGATGCAAGTGATTATGATGATAACCTTATAATAGTAGGAGAGGCCTATAATTGTTTAAAGTCAATTGCTTCGTTTGAACCAGGACAGAAAGCCTTGGTTGATGTGGGAGCTATTTCAAAAATGGCAGAAATTTACTCTCAACAGAGCTTTCAAACTGATGAAGCTTTGAACATTTTGGTGGTCCTTGTTAGTAAGTTTGGACCAGAATCATGGGATAACAAGAACCATAAGGCTTTCCATAACATTATAAATAAAATTGCTCTCGATTTTGAGACAGATCATGATGAGCGGAAATTTCAGTTATGCACATATCTTAATGCTTTGTTATTTAATGCACCTAAAAATTCAGTAAACAAGAACACTCCTTGTGAAGAGACCTGGCCCCATAGTGTGTATAAGGGCCTATGTGATATACTAATGAGTAAAATAGGCAAGGACCAAAGGAATCCTGCTCTGATATTAGCTTCAACTTGTTTGAACCTTTTAGGAGTAGAATGGGTATTGAATGATGAGGAGAAAGGAAAACAGCTTTTTCTGTTGCTTATTCAACTTGCAGCCATCGAAGTTCGAATGCAACTTGATGGGAAGAGCTTAAAACAGGCCCAGTCTCAAGCTGCACTTATTACAGCTTGCTACATAATTTTAGAATTATCAATTAATTATATTGCAACTGATGTATTAGATTTGGATCAGAAAGAGAAGCAAACATTGTACACTGGTTTGAAAGGTGCATTTTCAGCTGTAATTGGTTTACTAACAAAAGTATCAAATGATAAAAGTAAAGATAATTTACCTGTTGAGGACAAAGTATTTGTATGTGCTTCAGTTCGTGTTCTCGTTGCTTGGTTGGCCCAGGAAACTTCAGCAATGCGACCACAAGTCTACCAACTTTTGCCATTTATTCTGAGCTTGGCAAATGAAACGTTTCAAGCTTCGAAGGCTAGAAGGATTGCCGAAAAGATGGGCATTCCCTTGGAAAAGGACTTTGGACCTTTGTCCCAAATGGATGTTTTGAGAATACTGCTACCTGCATTATGTCATTTGACCGTGGAAGATGATGCTAGGAAAATAATGTTGAAAGTTAAAGAAGAGGAAACTCTGTTTGATTGCTTTGAATTCCATTGGATGATTGTCCATAGGAAGAGGCCACCTGTTCCAAGATCAGAAAGATTGAAGGTACTCAACCAACCGCTTCCAGAATTGACACCAGAAGTTTTGGAAGAAATGAAAGATTCAAGGGCTGCAATGGTCAGTATTTGCAACATTTTTATGAACATCACTGTATTAGAAGCAAAATTGGTGGAAGAGAGCGCCTTATTCAATAAACTCTTGAGGTTTATTTTTGAAAATTTACCTGAGTTGAAGAGCATTCCCGAAAATTTAGTTTTGCACGGACATCTTGCTATTTTAGGACTACTATTACTAAAGCAACAATCCAAAATGGTAAAAAAGAACGATTTTTCAATTTGTCGTTACATTCAGGCAACGATACGCTTTCTCTGGGACGCCTACGTTGTCGATGAAGCAAACGACCCAACTGCTTTGGTGGTTTCTATAACGTATAAAGAATTTTGGATGGAAATAATGGAATTGTGGTTTCTGGGAATGCAAACAATGTCTGCTGTACTCGCTCAAATACCATGGATTTCCGAATTTGCGATTGAAAGTGGATGGGCTGAAGACATTGTAAATACTTTAAAGAAAGTCAAAATTGGTACTCTACCTCCTAACGTCAAGTCAGCTTATGAGGATTTCTTGTGCCATTTGGTTGATGCTAATGAAAATGTTATGGAAGTTCTCAAAAAAGCTGACGCCCTTAAAATGTGCAGAAACCATAGGTTTATGGAATTAGGAAAGAAATTATTTGGAGATTAATGATTTCATATATGCTTAAAGAACGGTTTGGTTTGCCTAAGTACCTTTTTATTTGAAGAATTGTAAACGAGAATGGCAACTGATAAGCGTATTTTTTAATATTTTTTTGTTAGCTTTATTTGAACTGTTAAATGTAAGATGTAATAACTAGTACCTTCAGTAGAAGACTACTATTGTTATGTGTATATAAAAGGTGTTTTACGTACTTTCGGAAATAATCAGTTACCTCGTCTAATATAACTTTTTTATTATTTCATTAAAAAGTTTTGGTATTTTTTTAAGTTACACCTTGCAATAGGGGTATATAAGGTAGATACCCTGCATTTCGTGTAGGACATTCTCAAGAATTATGTAAATATTGTGATATACCACAGCAGAATGGAATACAAACTATTTAATAATAATGCTATTACTTTTAAATTTATTTTAAAATTTGTTTGCAACTGAATTAAAAAAATTAAAGGTATTTTGCATTTATTTGAATAAATACATTTAAATAAAGATACCTCGTATTTTCATGAGTATTCTATTTAAACATTTTATGTCTGAGATAAATTTTGTTGTAGTAAATATTTTGTTTAAATAGACATTGTTTGCCAATACATTCACATAAGGACGCTCTATTTATTTGTATTTTTGTAAGTGACACTTTTATATGAATAAAAGTTTGCATCAGATGCTATTTTCGTCTTTTAAAGTAGTCTAGTTCACCTGTCCTCAATTTTCTAAAATTGTCGCTTTCTAAACAAGATGTCTGAAAAAAGTTAGATTCATCTGACGCGTTAGTATTTATAACGTTTCATATAAATGAACCAGTGGAAACCAAAGTTTAACTGCGTGGATTTATATCTACCAATTAATCCATTGCCACTTACGAATTTTAAAAGATTTATAAATAACTAAAAACGTCACCTTATATACTTAGAAATTTCGTTTATTAAATGAAAGCTGTTTTGGAAAGTTACAATTTTAAAAATGCATTTTTGTATAATTTATCTCATTTTTTTATTTACTTTTTTTGCAGTTGTCTGAAGTTTTATGGGAAAAATATGCTATTCCTTTAGACGTGGCTGCATCTGTGTGTGCATCATTTTTGCGGGCGTTTCGGAAATGCCCCGAGAACACTGAAATGGGTCTTCACGAATGGCGAAGACTACTTTGGGCCAAAGCTCTTAATTGTTACAGCAGCTTGGTGGGTATGTTTCCCCATTGATTAATGTTTTCCTCCTCTTAATGCCACCACCAAATGAAGCACAGCTCCCCCGTGCAGTCTATAGTTTGCTATTGTTTTGTTATCCTGTAATTGTTTGCCTTGATATACTAATCGTTGTTGTGGTGGGGGAATTCCCTCTTTTTCTTCAACTTTTTCTTTGAGTCGTAAAATATTGTCGGTAGATTCTATATTGATGTCCAGTTCAGATCCAGTTAATGTGACAACTTTTATTAGCATCGTAGTTCAGAAAAAATCATGAGAAGAGTTTGTTGTCGGGGAAGTACAAAGATGGTTGTTTTTAACGATGGATAATAACGCACTTGAATTTACCATTTTTATAAAAAAACTGACATTTGTATGTGTCAGAGAACGTCACCGAAACAGATGTGAAATGTGCAAAAAGAACATAGTTTGTTTAGAAACTAAAATAACTATTAATAGCAAACGTCGGGATGTTTACTACGAAGCGATATTTAATAAGCATCATGTATAATTTTGGACATTTGCTGTAAATGACATTACACTTATGTTCTGCCACTAACAAACTAAATAATTTATTAATGTCTATTTTAGTTTCATGTGTTAATATTTTCGTATTCGGAAAAATTAATGCATTCAGTGCACATTATTAGGAGAGTCATAAGCTATTGAAAATATGTATAATATTTATTACTGAATATCAAAGCTTTTAAAATCAAAATTCTTTTTGTTTATTTAGTTTTAACTTTAAAAATACTCTTTTCTGATAATTTCATATTTTATTTCTTAATTCCAGATGAAGTTTATCAGAAGTGGGTCCATTTGAGGTATTATTACCTTTCACTTGATACAAATATTAAAAATTTCTTAGTGGAACTTCACAAGCATTACAATTTGGCTTTGATCACAAACGGGCCATCTCATTCGCAATGGGAAAAAATAAATATGTTGAATCTCAGGAGCTATTTCGATGTTATCTTGGTTTCGGGTGATTTACGTTGGGAAAAGCCACATCATAAAATATTTCACATGGCTTGCGAGGAGTTGCATGTAAGTCCTTGTCAATGTATTATGGTTGGTGATAAACTAGAAACCGATATATTGGGGGGTATAAAGGCGAAATTAGCGTATACTGTTTGGATACCTTTGTCACCAACGGAATCTTTGAAAAAAAATGATCCTCAGCCCGATTACGTCATTCATGATGTAACTAGACTGTGGAATATTTTGGATAAAAGTAAATGTTTGGAATGTTTGAATTCACCAGATCTTTGTGATTCAAACAGTAATCAAAGTGACGGTAGCTGATTTTTTGGGTTTCAATTAATATACTGTTACTACCTGTTTTCTTTTTATATACATTAGCAAATAAGAGGAAGTGATCTCTCTTATGTGTGTATATGGGTATGTAGATATATCTAGTCGTAAAATTCAAATATTTAAGGTTTTATTGTTTTGAATTTCATGAGATTAAAATGTTAAAGGATTTTTAAACATATAAATATTTTTAAAGGTAGTAGTAAATATTTGTAAAAAGAATATTTTAATAATACTAAATGTTTACATGAACAGTTTTGTGGTATCAGTAAGTACTTAAAAACAAAGTGGGATATCGTTTTATATAAACAACAGTAAATAAATATGTATGTTTATTTTTCTTTTATTTCTGAATAATTACTTTTAAATAGTGGAAGATAATAAATAACAATCTTAGAATTGTATCGTAACTTGCTTGCCTTGATTCTTGATTCTTTTATTCATTGGACAGGGATTATCACCCATTAAATGTTTTCTCCAGATTTCTTCTTGGTCTTCTAAATTTGCGTGGCACAGAGGACATCGATTACAGGCTTCAGTTAATTCTATAATAAAATTTATAAACTTATATTATATAAACTATCATGTTTTGAACTTAAAACCTATTTAAAATACTAACCGCTACATTCTTTTGAATGTGTTTCAAAATTTGCTACTTTCACAGCTTCAGTGCATTGGGAACATTGAGTGTAGTGTTCCCTTTGTTCGCAATCCATAATTAAATGTTCACATAAAGTAGCTACTTCTATAACTTGACTACATTCTTGACAACGTATTAACATTGGACAGGAACGCCAGTAGTGTGAGTTTAGCGATTTGTTAATATTCAATATTTCTGTTTCCGGTTGGTGACAGAATATGCATTGTCTGGATAATTATATATACATAAATAATTGTAACATTTAGCGACAGTAGAAAGAATATTTATTTCTTATGTCAGGTCTATCGAGCTTAATAGGTGCCAATTATTATATTTACGTATTTACTTACTTTTCGGTGTCTTCTTGATTTGAATGATTGCTAGGAGTAGAGACGCCACTAATTGAACTATTGCTGCTTTTTTCAACTATGTCTGCTTTTGTTTTTTCGCTGTTCTGGACTAAATTTCCACCACTCAAACTTTTAGAAATTAGAACATTATTCTCGAATTCGGTTGCGGCAGCTACAATATTTTTCGAACTTGCGGATTTGTTGAGACTGTTTACATCTATAATAGGTTCTGGGCTTAAGCACGTACTGTTTGCAGCACATTGCTGAATTAGACGAGTTCTTTCCAACTGTTCTTTTTTCCTCTAAAGTCATGACGAGTAATTATATATATATATTTGAATTTTGAGATAATTAAGAAAGTTTTATTACCTGTAGGTCAATTTTATCGAATTCTTGAAACAGCTGCCTATACAGCAAGTTTCTGCGTGTAATATCGTCGTCTGGAGGTAACTGTTTTCTAACTAGCCTAGGATTTACTCTATAAACAAGCACTAGAATCCTTTCAGCTACTTTGCGAACCGCTTCTGCAGGGTGATGAAGACCACTTGAACCAAACTCTGCCAATGTTCTACATGTTAAGCCGCTAAAGATTGAAACATTTTAAAGTAATTTTAAATTTTATACAAAAAGTTTTTTTTTATTTGCCTATTTTTTTCAGTAGATATTCCGTGATTTATGATCAGTTGCTCGACCATTTCAGCCCTGCTGAGAGCTAATCTGGGATGTGTGCTGCTACTTAAAGGTCTACTAAGATGTATTGGAATTATATGAAGTTCTCTATAAACAAACTTGTAAGTGGTTATATTTTAATAATTAATTGCAGCTTTTTACCGGACACTACTGCAATCTGCCATAGTTAATATTGTGTGGACAGCCATATGATTAATTCTTGTACTGGTGTCTCCACTTTTCGTCAGCAGTTCTGGAAGAAGTTTGTCTACACTTCTGGCAACTTCAGCCGATGAAACTCTACACAATATAAAACAATAACATAAGGAAATACAATATTGTAATTTTTTAAATTTCTCACCGTTCAGGAACAAACTGTATGAAAAATAATCTGATAACTTCATTAGCAAGGTTGTAAATAGTAAAAACTTTATCACGTAGCGCTCTGTGTAATAGAAATATTGCGGCCCTTGCGGTTTTGTTAGCGGTGTGCATTTTGGTATGATCGTAGGCTAGAAGTTCTTCTTTTAACCTGTTTAGACCTTCTTCTTTGTCCAAATACTGTTTAGAATAGAAATTTTCTACCAGATCAACACCAAAAACTAAAATTGGTAGTGCGGCTTGTTTTTTCTCTCTTTCGGTCAGTTTTGAAGTTGGTTTGTAATCGTAATCTAACTGACATTCTCTCAGGAATTCATTTGTTTGAGAACTGCCATGTATTGATGAAAAGAACCATTAATTACAAAAAATTAATCAGTAATAATAAACTTTAATTTCAACTTGCTAACTAAGATTTTTTTAATAATAAAAAAATACTTGCTGTCTTAAAGCTGGTAACGGTTTCTCTTCATATTGTTCATAGGTTGATTTCACAATAGATCCAGCAGACTTGTTCCTTCTACGAAAAGATCCTTTACTTTGAAGACTGGTAGGACTTCCCGTCGATGGTGATGAATTCTTGGGACTTTGATGATTTCTATTGCCATGGAGAGGTGATACTGGTCCATGATATATGTGTGAGGTGTTTGGAGAACTTGATTGTCTTTCTGCTACTATTTTCATTTGGGTTGGAGATACAGATTTTTTAGCTGAATCGACATCTTCCAAACATTCGTCGTTTTTTGGACATACCTTAAATTTATTTTGCTATTTTAAGTAGGTAAATATATAATTTAATTTAAAAAATATTTGATAATTGATAAGGTACGGCATTCGCACTTTTCTTAAAGTGAAAATAATTAGGAAGCTTGATATTGGGGCTAGATGGACGTGAACCAGTATTAGTTTTTTTTCCTTCTTTTATCCGATGGATTACTATGGTTGGTATTTTGAAGATAGACGTAAGGGCGAAAATGCTGAGAGAAGGGGGAGAACTAATTCTGGATTACGGTCATCAAGTCCAAATATGGTATTCTTTTCAGATAACACCGGCCGTGAAAGCCGTAACTTTTTCATTAAGATACATACCCCTTCAATTTCTAAAAGTTCGTTTATATTTAAATTTTTATAGAGGTCAGCCCGAAAATCATCGCTTTGATTTTTTTTCAATCTTGCTTTTTCGTAATCTTCCATTTCAATTGCGTGGCGTTTTTCCAACTCATATTTTCCCAATTTTTCTCCTCCAATTCTTAATTCTTCCATCGCCTTTTTCAACTTCCTTGCATACTCAAATCTTTCGTCTACAACATTTTGTATAAATTTAGGAAACGAATTTAATTAGATACCTTAAATGTGATATTTTACTTACTAATAACCGCCAAATGTTTCTTTATCTCCATATTTTTTATGATGCTAGCTACCTCGGTGTCAACGTACATTTCAAATGCTAGGTCATCGTAAATAGAAGAATATTCAGGATCGTTAAATAAATTTTCTAATTTTTCATTTTCGCTAAGCTCACAATGGTTTGAAGGCTTTTTATTTTCTAATTGTAGACCTAGTACGTTTACTGCTATAAGGCTGACCTACACCATACATTTTTCGATTATTTGAATAAAAAGACAAGAATATATACTTTTTAGTACCTGGTTATATACATTGTGGAAATTTTTGTGGTTGATACCTAGCTTTAGTTTTAAAAAGGACGCAATAGCTGAAGGGACATTGACTGATTTAAGCTCTCTACATTTAAAATCTGTACTTTGGTTGTCTGATAAGGTAACATATCCCAAATATTCCCATTTTATGTTAGAAATGTTGTCTACGGTATTGGTGTCTTGATTACTGGCATATAATTCGACCTTAGATGCTAAAAAGTGTACAGCATTTTGTTTTTGTAATGTGATTTTTCCATTATTACTTACGAATCAAAAATTGATGGGTTAGCATTTGTATTTTAGTAACAATATACTGTTTTGCCAATTTTAATACTATTTCTTGGGGATAATCGCAATTTTTAGGTGATTGCCAGCCCCTTACCGTAGGACCGTGTGAATTTAACTCGCTACTTTTATATTTTTGATCCTCTCCTGAAAAACAATACCGCAATTAGTTGTATTAATTAATTATTGAAGGTGGAGGAAAAAGCTATTGATTTTCATAAGCGTTAACTGATAAATGAGTGGATGTTTTCTGGCGTTTATTAAACTATTAGTTACCTGTTGTAAATATTACATTATACTTGATTTTTTTGGGCATCTTCGGTTATACTGCATGGCTTACGGCATTTTTGTAAAAGTATTTTTTTTTGCAAAAACAGTGTTCAATTCTTTCTTTTTTTTAAGTAAACGTTTACATTTATTTAAAATTGCAAACTGATTATGGTTACATTTCAATCACTTGTATATTGCATTTGTTATGTGATTAGTAAGTCTATCACAATGAATTTTTAATGTGGACGACTGACGACTTCTGAAGAGATATTGATTAGTTTTGTGCATTGAGTTTTAAATAGCGCGCTAGTCTGTTGAATGAGATGTAGATAGTTTAAATCGTGAGCAATAGATGGCACTGTAATTTATCTGAAGTTTTCCTGGAAAAAATAATTTACTTATATTATTGTAATTATTATTGAACATTTATAAAGCTAGAGAGATTTTCTCGTAATGTAACACATTAGAAAGTGTAGAGTGAAAGTAATTTCTATTTGTTGAAAAAGAGTAATAACCGGTAAATGAGTAAACTAAAAGAGTTTCATCTTTAATTAACACCCCATGTAGTTTTTGGAAAATATTCGATTGTTTGGATTCCTTTGATTGTAGGTATTTCAATGAACAAAACGAATGAGTTTGTATTGAGCGCTGTCAGCACAGGGCACAGTGGTATTACGTAGTTAGTATCGGCAATTTCTTATGCTGAAGTGTACGATATGTTGCATACCTATTTACAAATAATTCTTTAAATTTAATTTTTCAAACAAGTTTAAACACAACGAAAGGGATTAAACAAATTGTTCACAAAAGTGAATTTCGACCACTCAAGGTAATGGTGCTAAGTTTTGAGCTCACAATAACTGTTAGGGGGGGAAGTACTAGTTCAACTTTATTGATTGGCCCGTACCTCTTCTGGCAAAATGCTGTACTAACAATTATATTTAAAATTCAAATGTTGGTACTTATTTACATTTTAAATTCCTAACCTTAAGTCATTAAATTGGTGCGTTTCCATCCTATTTAAATTTGTTGTTGTCGTTTTGAATAATGTACTTAAACTTTTAAATAATATTTGCTTTTTCAATTAATTTGTTGTATGTTGGCTTAGAGTGAAGTGTAGTTTTCTTATTATAACGGACAATCTTTAATGTTTATATTTTCAATAACATCTGAATTGAAGACAGGTATTATTGAGTTGAATTAAGTTACTTTTTTAAATATCTAGCCATTATTCGATACCCCGTATGTTTATTTTAGGACGTCTTCCAGTTGAGCTAACATACTGCATTGAAGATTTGTATTAGAGTAAGCTACAATTCCACCTTTTTCCAGGAAACTAAGGTAAGACATTTTATATATGTACTTTCTTGATGAATATATAAGTTATAAGTGCATTAGAATTTTTGTATCATAATTGTTATTGTTAGTTATATATACGCGAAATAGACAAATACAATTCTTTCTCTGCCCCTTTCCTTGCCGCAAAGACCACCATGATTGCACTCAGGTGCACTAGAAAAACTAACTCATGACAGCATATGTAATTTAAACTAAATTAGTACCTAACCTAACAGGCTCTGTTACATTTCTATTTTGTTTCCTTCTTTTCTCTTACTTCCCTAAATTTAATTACTTTTGTTTTTTTAATGTTTAGTTCTAATCTTATCTTTTCAAAGGATCAATACTTGTCGTTAATAAAGAAGTCATCTGTTGCGCTAACGTATTTTCGTCTTACAACTATACCACCTTAGTTTATTCTAACCATTGTTTCCTCCAATTAACTTACAACTGTATAAACTTTATGTCCATTAATGTAATTCCTCTGTAATTTTCATTTTTTTTTGTGGCTACTTTTCTTAAAAATCGGTGTTATCTCTCTCTTTTCGTTTCTTCTTTTTATATTAAAGTGCATCACTATCCTTCCATCACTTCCACCTAAGACTTTTTCAAAATGTTTAAACCATTCACTTTAATCTATCTTCTCACTTGTTTTCCCAGGTATTTTTTTTATATATTTATTCACATATTTGTTTGAAACCAACTAAAACAGTTATATTACAGATTAAATTAGTTTATAAAGGTTTAAATGAAAGAGTATACTTTATAAACAAAGTTTATGTTTTATTTTATGAACAAATTTTTACATTACTATGTTTATGTGTTGTATACTTTTTAATTATAGGTATACAGTCACCTTAAAAATAACACCAAAGTTCTTAATTAACTTAGTATATTTTCTTAAACAATTTTTAAATTATGGGTCTATTTAAAGCAATATATTAACAAATTTAATGTACATGAAATATAATGAAAATGTGTTTACTACAAACGCAGTAGTGATTTTAAATCACTCATAAGAAAATAACAACCTTTATAGAAAAATTATTAAATCTAAAAATAAAATTCATAAAAGTACATTTTTAATCTTGGTCTAAGTCCGGACTTGTCGGTGAATAACTTGGAGACGAGGGCGAATACCTTGGCGGTTGAGGTGAATAGGCTGGACTCGCGGGAGAATAACTCGGAGATGTGGGTGTGTATGTCGGTGAAGTAGGTGAATATTTTGTACTTGCATTGGGAGAGTACTGAGGAGAAGTCGGTGAATAGGATGGGGAGGTTGGCGAATAATTAGGAGAGGATGGAGAATATCTGGAGCTGGCTGCGGGAGTGTGCTGTGGAGACGAAGGAGAGTAACTTGGTGACGTCGGGGAGTAACTGGGCGAAGTGGGAGAGTATTGAGGACTTCCTCCGGCGAAAGATGGAGATGTAGGTGAATAACTCGGAGACGTGGGTGAATATTTAGGTGATGATGGTGAGTAACTCGGCGAAGCTGGTGAGTACTGTGGAGAAGATGGGGAGTAACTAGGAGATGTGGGGGAATAGCTGGGAGAAGTAGACGAATAACGAGGTGACGAAGGCGAATAATTGGGGCTCGTAGGAGAATAACTAGGTGATGTTGGACTATAACTTGGACTGGTCGGGGAGTAACTAGGAGATGTGGGACTGTATGAAGGGCTTGTAGGGCTGTAGCTAGGACTGGTTGGTGAATAACTTGGGCTAGTAGGTGAATAGCTGGGGCTTGTGGGTGAGTAACTTGGAGAAGTCGGTGAGTAACTTGGACTCGTGGGTGAATAACTGGGACTTGTTGGCGAATAACTTGGCGAAGTAGGTGAATAACTTGGCGAAGTAGGGGAATAGCTTGGCGAAGTAGGCGAATAGCTCGGGGACGTGGGACTGTAACTTGGGCTCGTTGGCGAGTAGCTTGGGCTTGTTGGACTATAATTTGGACTAGTAGGAGAGTATCCTGGAGAACTAGGAGAATAACCCGGTGAAACGGGAGTCATCGATGGCGACGGTTGATATGCTGGACTTGAAGGACTATATGAAGGGGATGTCGCACGCGGCGAAGGAATGTACGGTGACATGGCCGGTGATTGAGGTGTCGGAGACCAGGCTCCATATGCTGGTGACATCCCTGAAGCGTCGGATGCTGCTGAAGGTGAAAACGCGGGACCTCCAGGTGTCATACCACTTCCCATTAGATCTAAAAGAAATAATAGTTAATGATTAAAAAAAAATTAAACAATGAAAACCATACTTTGTGGCGACCAAGCGCTACCGACGTAAGGCGTTGCACCCTGGTTCCAAGGCGTCATACCACCGCCAGGACTCATACTAGGTGTGGCCGCTGATCCGAAGAACATGCCCGATGATAAGAGGTCTCCACCATGGGCTTGGGGTATCGCGATACCCATTTTGCACTTTTCAGCATCTAATAATAAGTCGAAACACCCAGTTCCCATGCGGGGCAATTGACCGAGGATAATATTTTCGGATACACCACGCATAGGGTCGACTTCGGCGTGAGAGGCCGCGTCCATCAGGACATCAACCGTTTCTTCGAATGAGCATCTCATAAGTGCACCAGTGTCTTGTCGATTAATACCGTGACGTGTAATAGCCATCAAGTGACCTTTTGCAGTCATAACATCGCAAAGCAGAGCCAAGTGTCGATAGTTTACGTATAAACCATAGAACTGTAGGACGGCATTCATTTCTTTTTCTACAGATTTTCGAACAGCTTCTATTCCGAGGACCTGTAAGAAGAAAACGCAGCATATGTCAAAGTGGTTGGTAGATAAATAAGACCACCATTTTAAACTTGAGGCGGTTATGAAAATTGCCCTTACCGAAAATATTTCGCAAATGTCATTGGAAAATGTTCGTACAGGGTCTACGTCTCTCTCAGATAGTACTTTCATTAGACTGGTTCCATCAGTTTCCAATAACCACTCTGCAATTGCCTTGAACTCTCCAGTTTCAGTAATAACGATACGTTTCTTACTGTCAGTTTGTGGCAAGTGCATATACACTTTTGAAATGGCTTCAATACCCTGAAAAATCAAACTATACGTTAGAAGCACTCCACCCATGAAAAATGAAATTGAAACATACCTGTAGAGTCATGTCACTTAACATATTTGCTTCGATGCATCGTAAGAACATATCGTCGTCCATTTTGTCAACTTCTTCATCACCCCCTTCGCCAAATTTGCCGTCGTCGCTATTCATTATGCGAATTCGTAAAACAAGTTTTTCTGCGTTATCGTCGTTAAAAATGCAATTTAGGTCGTCACCAAAACCAGCATTAATTTTTTCAGCGATCTGTTCCATAGTCAATTTTTTATCTGAAAGTAATATTTATAATTATTATGAACTACACTCGCTAGTCCAATTAATTTACCAGTCATTCTTTTTCTGTCAAGTTCAATACGTAGGAGCCAGGGTGATATTCTAGTTGGATCAAAATCAGGCATTTCATAGTATACATTCACGAATTCCTGGTCCTCAGGGATGACGGTATTTTGTGGGTCAGGATCGTAATAGATAGCTGTATTTGCTGTAACCTTTTATGAAAAAAAAAAAAAAATTAATAAAGTCAAACAGTAACAGATCATATAATTACTTTTCTGAGTGTAGTATGTTCCAGTCTACACAACACATTTTTTGCTTTCTCTGCATCTCGAGCTGCAGCTCCTGTTAGAAAGACCGTCAACGAAGGAGCTTTAGGTTTCTTTGAGATGTTAATAATTTCCTTAAGACGTGGTACACCCAGCGTTACATTTTTTGAAGATACACCAGCAAAGTGGAAAGTGTTCAGTGTCATTTGAGTGGCAGGTTCACCGAGAGATTGTGCGGCCAAAGCGCCGACCATTTCGCCTGGATTAGCTTGGGCCTGTTGGAATCGAGTTTCGATTTCTCCTATCAACCATTCAAAAGCTTCAGTGCTAAGACGGAACTCTTCGGAAACGCATTTTGTACATAAAGTGGATCTTACAAGACATTGGAATAGTAACGTGGCATTTTCGTTAGCTTGTTTGGAAAGTCTATCTTCTCCGGCTACTATAACGCATTTTTGCAATAGTTCTCTCACGCCTAAAAGAATAAAAAATATGTTTGAATTACAAAATAAAAACGCAATTCTAACCACGGTTGAATAAATAAAACACAAATAACTAAGTAAAGTTTAAAGGTTATACCTTGAATAACTCTTAGTGGTGATAAATCTGTCGGGGCTCGCTTATTAATGTGGAAGATCTTTTGTACATTCCAAATCATTCTCTGTAGATTACAGGGCAACACCACTTTTGATTCACCACTGGGGAAAATTTGTCTCAAGGCTTCGCGGTCCTTTTGCAGTTGTTCCCATTCACGCTCCAATTCGGAAATAACGTCTCCAGAACCCATCAACTGTCTGATTATATCTTCATTAAAAATTCGCCTCAGATATCTCTCGTTACTTGGATCAAATCGGAATTTACGTTCGAAAGCAGTGTTACTTAATTTTACTGTGGGAAGGGTCTGAAATTCGACCATTTCACCACAAAGGCCGTCCTCTCCGTAACGCAATTGGATAAGTTGACCAACAGAGTTTCTTACGGTACCGTCGTAGTGTACCATAACTGACTCCATAGCTTTTATAAGACGTCTTTGGATATATCCAGTTTCGGCAGTTTTTACAGCAGTATCAATAAGACCTTCACGACCACCCATAGCGTGAAAATAAAATTCGGAAGGAGTGAGACCGGCCAAATATGAGTTTTCAACGAATCCTCTTGATTCAGGACCATAGTCGTCTTTGATGAAATGAGGCAACGTACGTTTACGGAAACCGAAAGGTATACGTTTACCTTCAACATTTTGTTGACCTACGCAAGCAATAACCTGGGAAATGTTGATATTGGAACCTTTGGATCCTGCGACTACCATGGCTTTTAAATTATTGTATTCAGTCAAAGATTTCTTAGCACTGCCTCCAGTTTTGTCTCGAGCATCATTTAGGATTCTGTTTACTTGATTTTCGAATGTTTGCCTCAGGGTATTACCGGGCGTAGGTTCCAATTCCATATTGTGGGCTTTCTGAATTACTTCAATGACATCTTCTTTAGCTTTTTTGATTGCTTTTTGAATTTCTAGATATGTTTGGGGATCAGCAATGGTGTCACCGATACCAATACTATGACCTTAAAGGAAAGGTGAAATTTAAAATGAAATATATATAAGAAAGAAAATTGTTTACCTTCCAATAATAGCCAGTTATTTACCACCGTTTGGATATTACCATAGAACCTGCCACACACTTCATGTCCCAATTCTAACATACAAATATGTAATAGAGATCCAGCAGAAGTACCCAGTGTTTTTTTACATAAAATTCCCATTACTAGTTCACCATGCTCTACCATTACCTGAATGTAACGTTACTATTCGCATTTTTTACAAAATAACTTATTTGCTATCTTTTACCTTTGTGTCCCCTGGAGAAATCCACTTGTATGGGCCTTCGTCTTCATCATCTGGATGTGTAGAATGCGTCCTGATCATGTTAACATTTCCTGGAATTATTAGAGAAAATAGCTGTTTCCCAGTCCACAATGGTTTTGGTTTGAGAATAGCTGGTTTCGGCATTTTTCCATCCCAAATGGGCAAAAACATGAGAAGGTTCATCATCTGCTCTTTTTCGATAAATACGTCACGTTTTGTCATTTTACGAATAGCTGTCAAAGTGTCTTGCACAATACCCATGACAGGCTTGTTTGCTTGTGGGGTAATAATCTAAATATTAAAAATAGAAAAATAATACAATAAAAAGCAATAAAAAATAACTAAACTTACTTGACGGGGTGTAATATGTAAATTTTCCACTTCAGCTCTTGTTTCCATACTTTGCGGCACATGTAGATTCATTTCATCACCGTCAAAGTCAGCATTATATGGTGAAGTGCAACTAAGATTCATACGAAAAGTAGACCAGGGTAGAACTTTAACCCTGTGCCCCATCATACTCATTTTGTGAAGGGTAGGTTGACGATTAAAAATAACTAAATCACCGTCACGAATATGCCTCTCTACCCTAAAAGTGGCGTAGAAAATATGTAGAAACATGTAATATTAATGTACATTTTGTAACTTTTATGTGGTATATAAAATATTTGTATATATATATAAAAAATTATGATCCTGAGCTACAAAATGTACTTGATGAAGATATAAACGTTAATATTGTCATTAATAAAAAATGCTTTGAAATACATACATTTAATAAGTAAATTAATCACTAAAAACAATTTACTTACTTATATCCACACTGAAGGTGTAAATCAGAGGGTTTAGGGTGAAATCTTAAATCAATTCTTTCACCATTGTCTCTGATGATGTATTTTGCACCAGGATATTGAGAATTACCTCTTTGAACAAGCTCTAACATTCTAAAAAAAATATGAATCTATTACATTCTATTATTATTAATTTATGAAAACATTAACAGAAAAATATTTTTCCTTACTTATCAAAATTAAAAGGTGTTACTATTTCGGGAAATGTAAGATTTTGTGCAATGCTTCTTGGCACTCCAACTTGGTCAATTCGAAGATTAGGATCTGGAGTGATAACAGTTCGTGCCGAAAAATCAACACGTTTACCCATAAGATTTCCTCGAATCCGACCTTCTTTTCCTTTTAGACGTGCTTTAATAGCCTTCAGAGGTTTTCCCGATTTTTGCATTGCCCTAAAATACAATTAAATTATGAAGTAATTAATATTACACAAATATTTTTTGAAAATAATTGCTTATAATTACCTGGGCATCCCAGGCATATCATTATCAACCAAAGTTGCCACGTGAAACTGTAACATTTTAATATTTTCGTTGATTACATGAGCTGCAGCACCTGCTGCTTCATTACGCTGCAATTCATTATTTGATTTAATAATGTCTGCAAGTTTATGTGTGAGATCATCTTGATTTCTAGCAGATCCATACATAACAACTGCAGGACGTACTGGCAATGGAGGTACTGGAAGTACTGTTACTATCATCCAATCAGGACGGGCGAATTTTGGGTCCATTCCCAATATGAAACATTCTTCATCTAAAATAAGGAGCAATTTTAATGACTGCCAAATTATACATTTTTAATTATATTTACCTGTTATATGTTTTAAGATCTCCCAAACTCTTTCTGCAGAAAGAGCAATTTTTTTTTCTTGGGAATCTTCATTTGCATGTTTCCATTCAGCTGTTAAGTCAAGTCCTACTCTTTTAATATTAGGTTGATACCGACCACAACCACCGTGACCCTGTCTTTTACCTATGTAATAAGAAGGGTTTATTAGATTAGATATATTTTATCATTTAAACAAAAAATTACCAGGATCTTCTCCTTCTTTTCCTACATCCATCTCATCTCCACCTTCACATATATTTTTTCCTTTGCATAAATCGTACACAAAAGTCAATCTTTTTCTTGGCTGACCTTTTGATTTCATAACTACTTCTTTAATTTTGGGATTATTCTAAAAGAATGCTGTTATGATTTCAGCCTCATTGTACCAATTGTTAAAGTTACTTACGGGACTAACAAGAAGTTTACTGCAGTAGAAACAAACACATCTCAATATTTTTATAGTTTTTGTAATAAATCCTATGTGAAATACGGGTTTTGCAAGGTCTAAGTGTCCAAAATGTCCTGGACATTCTGACATGTTTCCTGCACAAGTCTGACATCGAGAATGTCGATCCATGACCCCTTGCCGGGGATCCATAAGACCTCCAAGTTTAGGGCGGCCCGCTTCCATGGTCTCTGGAAAGCGGATGCCACCTTCTGTGACAGACATACGTCTCTAAAACAAAACAATAGTGAGAACATTACTGTATCACTATTGCACCACATTCTCACTCCATCATACAATAGATCCGTGTCAATGCAATTTTTAATATGGATACTAGGTAAATATTTAAACGAAAACTTATTTGCACTATTAACTTTTAGTAAAACTCAAACTTTTGGCCTTAAAACAGGTTTTTAAAATAAACAGCAACTAACTCCTTCGTTGCCCGCCATTATTTTTTCATAAGAGTTTAGTAGGTTTAAAACTTCATTTAAATCATTGCTGGAAATATTAATGTAATTTATATTTTTGCTTACAATTTCATCAGGGCTGAGGATGCCGAATTGTACCCTTTTTACATATCTTAAAGGAGCTTTACTATCACTAACAGCCATCTTGTTCGGCTACGTAAAGTTTACTGATGTTTGGAAAGTTTACTGGTCATAGATATTACTGAAGGTTAACTGCTGTTTACTGACTTTGTAAAGGGAGTGTCTCCTATACAGTCCGACCGTATTTTTAAAATTTTTAAGTGACTGATATATAATAAGCAGATAATCTAAAGCGGTGGTTGGATACGTAGTGAAATATTCGTATATATAAGCTGTAATGGCTATGATCCATTCAAATAGATTAAAATTGAAATATAATCCGACAAAATTTTTTTTTTTATAATCATAAGGTTACGTCGTGAAAGACAATACGAATGAAACGGCGATGTCATGGTCATGTTCTTTCTTTTGTTTATGGAAATGTGGACGTACGTGTGATTTTACTGCTTTTCTTAGGTATTATCCCCGTTTTTTAACTTATGTGTGGGCTTAAAAATAATAAACACGGTCGATTCAATCTATGACCGTCAGCCTATGCAGGTAATAAATTTATACGCACGGTCGAGCCTTTCTGTAAAATGATTTTACCTGAAAGTCATGCAAAATGCCGTTAAAGTGTCAATATCCACAGCATCTGATCTATTATATATCTCTCATCCATGATGGCATCCATGGTCAATATCATAGATTAATATGCTGTCTATCTGTGATGCTGTCTTTGTCTATGATCATAGGTCTATGATGTTATTAATTTATCTATGTCAATTTATATTTTGAGGTGATCCTGAATTGTGAATTCTGCGAACCATACAGATAAATTAATAAAATGTTTGGAGGAAGAACTCCTGTGCTTGTATTAAGTAAGTTTTAAAATATATTATTAATAAAACTACTTGAAAATAATTAAAAATGTAATCGCAGGCCAGAACACTAAACGAGAATCGGGTCGGAAAGTTCAGCTGGAAAACATCAATGCCGGAAAAGTAAGCAAGCACGTGCTACTTGAAGCACAAATTACAAGTTAAATTGATTTTCGAATAATTAAATGTTTTGTTAAAATTTTACTAATTCAGTAAAAGTATATAATAACTAGAAATCAAAGAAATATTTCTACCTAACCTTACTTTTCAGCAAATAGCAGACGTGATTCGAACATGTTTGGGGCCCCAAGCTATGTTGAAAATGTTGATGGATCCAATGGGAGGAATCGTAATGACTAACGATGGAAATGCGATATTACGAGAAATCACAGTGCAACATCCTGCTGCCAAGAGTATGATTGAGATTGCTAGAACACAGGATGAAGAAGTGAGTTAATTAAATTGATATGTTTTTATTTTAGTTTTGAGATTTGTGTAATATAAAACTGTTTTCTACTATGTGTGATTATTTGTCACTACATAATTATTGTTAAATAGTTTAACATTTATACAATTGATTTTTTTCATAAATACCAAGTTTTGTTGTTTTGATTTATCTAATCTCTTACATTATGAGAAAATGAGAAAAATAAAAGTTAAACTTTTTGATGTGGTTAATAACAATTTCAAAAGAATATGATTATTTCATATGCAGTTGGAATAATAAGAATAACTATTGTATAATTATTGTAGGATAAAATTTAAAAAGACAATATTACAATATTTTATGATTCAGTGCTTTATGTTATTTAAACAGAAAAAAATATTAAATTAAAGCAAGATGTTACACAAAAATAGATTAAGCTTTAATCTTTGTATTTTTTTAAATAAGTTAATATTATTTATACACTGTACACTGTTCAATTAATTTCAACTATTGTTTTGGTTTTTATAGGTTGGAGACGGCACAACTTCAGTAATTGTTTTAGCAGGAGAGATTCTAACAATAACAGAACAGTTTTTACAACAGCAGATGCACCCTACAGTAATTATTCGTCAGTACAGGCAAGCTTTAGATGACATTGTCACATTAATAGAAGGGCCTCTAAGTGTCCCTGTGGATAAAAATGATAGAAATGCCGTGGCTGGTGTAGTAAGTGTATTTGTATTTATTTAAAACTTGTTTTAAAATGTTTTTTGACTTTGCACATTGGTCAATTTGGTTTATCAGTTCCTTGCATATTCTTGATAAGAAGAATATACACATATTGAATAATAAAAACTTTAATTAAAATACAGCCTTTAAAAGTTAAATGAAACATTGAACAATGCTACAGCTACAATTACCTATCAAAAGCGTTGACTTACTTAAGCATCGTTAAAAAATAGTAGCATATAAGATACTCTCAACAAAGACGTAGCATAATAAAACATTTATATGTGGAAGTAATTTTGTTCTACACAAAACATTTGTCATTTTGTTTTTATTCTTCATGTATTTTTTTAATTTCGGAGAAAATAATACTGTTTGTCACTGACATGTTCAGTGATTTCTAAAAATATCGGAATTAAATAAATATGATTGTTGTCTGATACTAACAATTTCTTATTTTTTTGTTATGGTATAAATATATAAAGAATTAATTGTTAAGGTGATTTACAAAGTAAATGATTAATAGTATTTAATTTGAACTATAATTACGTTACGTAGTTAAAAAAATTGATAAGTATCTTCCATTTTACTTGTATTGATGGTGTTACTATTTTCAATTGCAAAATCAATATTTCGATAAGACACCCTGTATAACGAGATTGTACATAATTATAATAATAATAGACTATACAAGGCGATGTAGTTTTGTACACATATAATCGTTTATTTATTGTAATGGAATGTCAAGCAGTTTTAATATTTACAGGTGAAAAGCTGTATTGGCACCAAAATTCTTAGCAAATGGGACGACTTGGCCGTAAATATAGCTTTAGATGCAGTGAACACTGTTACTATAGTAGACAATGGTCGTACAGAAGTTGATATTAAAAGATATGCTAAAGTAGAGAAAATTCCTGGTGGGGCTATTGAAGATTCGCAAGTACTTCGTGGAGTGATGGTGAATAAAGATGTTACACATCCAAAAATGAAGAGATACATTCAGGTATATTGTAATATATTTAATTAATTTATTTATTATTTGCTTCTATAGGGCTTTGGCCCTTCTTACACATTAGTAATTTGACATAGTGTGATCACATAGGTGCATGCGTTACATTTAAAGATATGTAACAATAGTGGAAACAAAAATAATATTTGATCTGAGGTTGAATTAGAGATAATAAATAACATTTTCACTCTTAGTATTAGGTGTAATTGAATACAATCTTTTGTATTCTGGTCTTAAACTATTTTGTAGGCATTTTATCACTATTTTAGTTTTTATTTCCATTTGCACAATGTGTCTGTTATTTAATGTGTATGTGTTACATTAGAATCCCAGGATCGTTCTATTAGATTGCCCTTTGGAATACAAGAAAGGAGAGTCCCAAACAAACGTGGAGCTTTCTGGTGAATCTGTAAGCGAATGATTTAATTTTTTCCATTTAATTTAATTCGTTTGTGTTTTTTAGGATTTTACGAGGATGTTAGAGATCGAGGAGGAGCACGTCCGCAAAATCTGCGAAGATATAATTGCACTGAAACCAGATGTGGTGTTTACAGAGAAGGGTGTATCAGATTTAGCCCAGCATTATCTTTTGAAAGCTGGCATCAGTGCAATTCGTCGTGTTCGTAAAACAGATAATAACAGAATTGCCAGGGCTTGCGGAGCTACTATAGTGAATAGAACTGAAGAGTTGCAAGAATCTGATGTTGGAACTGGTTGTGGACTTTTTGAAATTAAGAAGATTGGTGACGAATATTTCTGCTTCTTAACTGAGTGTAAAAATCCCAAGGTAAATAACTTATTTTCAGATCATTGACAGATTTTTAACTTGGGAGGTAACTAAAATTCTAAATTCAAATTAAATGTTACCAACAATCGTCTTTTTTATTTACTTTTAGTTTTAATTTTGATAACAGTTTGTTTTATTTCAAACTTGTTTTAGAAAAAAAAAATGCAATATGTATATTTATTTTTTGTTTGTTTTAGGCGTGTACTATATTACTGCGTGGAGCCAGCAAGGATATTTTGAATGAAGTTGAGCGTAATTTACAGGATGCCTTACAGGTGACCAGAAATATTATAATCAGCCCACGTTTAGTCCCTGGTGGGGGAGCGATTGAGATGGCTGTTGCACAAAAACTCCAAGCTAAAGCTACTCACGGTCCGTATGCTGCCATGGCACAAGCTCTGGGTATGCCGATTTTCATTTAAAATAATTTATTGTGATATGTTGTGTTTAAAGTAATTTTGTAGAATATTCATCTAAAGCAAATATTGAATTTATTTGCTTGTTTAAAGTAAAGCACATTAATAATTAAAATTTCGTGAAGTCTGTATGTTCACGATAACTAAGAAAATTGAAATTAAAATTAATATCACTCAATATTTGATTTTCTCGATTAAACACGATCACTGTATTAGAAATGAAGTTTCAAATTATTTTTTCAGATAACAAAATTCAAGTAATAAGTATCTAAAATATAGTGTGCTTATAGTTTTCAAAAATTAGTTTTTTCTGTATTCTAGAAATTATTCCACGAACACTGGCTCAAAATTGTGGAGCAAATACAATTCGTACGCTGACAGCATTAAGAGCCAGACATGCAGCCCATACGGATGCCAATCGTCCATGTATGTGGGGCATCGATGGCGAAACAGGCGAAATAGTCGATATGGAGAAGAAGGGCATTTGGGAGCCTCTTGCTGTTAAGTTGCAAATCTACAAAACTGCCGTGGAAACTGCGATATTGTTGCTTCGTATCGACGACATCGTTTCAGGTTCAAAAAAGGCAGGTGACAAAGACAAGGAGCCTCCAAAACCATCTGAAATCGCTGAAGGTAAAGAATAATTAATTTATTTAACATGATCTTCCTACTCTTTTTTTTAACTGCGTATTTCGCTAATAATTGCTACCACATTGCATTTGTAAAATCACGTAACAGTTACTTTTTTTTTAATAATAATGTTAGTTCCCAGTGTTTTTGTTTGTTTACAATATTAAATTGTAAAAGCTACTGTAATAAACATTTCTAAAAAACACTGTTTCATTTTTTTACACTTGTTGAATATACTTTGTGTATATGAAAAGGCACTTTTTGGTTGGTATTAGTATATTAGCAAAAAAACGAATTGGCCGCAGCATTAAATAAATAAATAAGTCAAGAAATAGACTAGAAACGTGCACAGAAAAGCAAGTAAAATTATAAAATAATGCATAAAAATTATGAATAAAAGATATAATATGGAATTATAAATTTCTGAAAGTAAAAATTACAGATGTTGCTCTTGTATATTTCGCAAAATTTGTTTATCATATTTAAATCAGTTTGTTTGAAGAGGACGGAAACAAAATGTGTGAAGTCAAATATTTGTGGGGGTGCTCTCAACCCTATCTTTTGGACCTAAAACTGTAATTTTCGAAACTAAAAATTACAAGTGTTATAACTTTCATAGTTTACAAAATGCATTTGCGAGATTTTGATAGGTTTGTTTGCACTTAACGCGGACAAGATGTGTTCAGTCAGATTTTTGTAACGGTGCTCTCAACCCTCCTTAAATTTTGCAATTTCTAACAGTTAAAATTACAAGTGTTATGCATATTTTTAAAATTTCATTTCTCAGATTTAGATAATTTTGTTTGTTGATAATGGGGTCAAAATGTGTACTTAAATTTTTGTAAGGGTGCTGTCTACCCTCCGTTTTAAACCTATAATGAGAGAAATTTCACTGATCTTTCTATTAATACCTTCATGAAAAGAAAAGTTGCGAAATTAAAATGGGAAGATGTTTGTATAATAAAAAAGGAATTCTTTATTAGTGTCAGCAAGTACACACTAGATGGCAATACAGTCCCTTTGGATATTATGGGTGTTATGACTTGCATGTTTTTAAAATTCGTTAACAAGACAAGTTCTTCCCTCCTATCAGTTACTGTGAGTTCAAAACTGTTAACACCTTTGCTTCGAGTGGTAGAAATTCACTTTTGTGAACAATTTGTTTAATCATTGTCTTTGTGTTAAAAATTGTTTGAAAAATCAAATTTAAAGGAATTGTTTATAAATAGGTATGCAACACATCGTACACTTCAGCATACATTTTATATATAATATTTTGATAATTTTGTTTGTAGAGCTAAAATGTGTAAGGTCAGATTTTTGTGAATGTAATCTTTACCCTTCTTTTGAACTTAATTTTTGCAATTCCTGATGGATAAATTATAGGTGTTATACTTAAACATTTTTAATCAAATTTTGCAATTTCTGAAAGTGAAAATTACAAGTCAAATAATTTGCATATCTTGTAAAATTTCTTTGTCAGTTTTTGGTAATTTTGTTTGTAGAAGATGGGAACAAAACATGTAAAGTCATATTTTGAGTAAGGGTGCTGTTTATCTTCCTTTTGCACCAATAAATTTGCAATTTTCGATAGTAGTGTTATAATTTACATACTTTGAAAAATGCATTTGTGAGATTTTGCTTATAAAGAACACAGGCAAAATGTGTGAAGTCAGATTTTTGTAAGTGCGTTTTCAACTTTTTCTATTGAACCTAAAATTTTGTAATTTCTGATAGTTAAAATTATAGGTGCTATAATTTGCATTTTATCAAATTTTAATAGTTTTGTTTATAGAGAAGGTAGATAGAATGTGTGAAGCCAATTTTTTCTGAGGGTGCGTGAACTTAAAATACTGCAACTTCTGATAATAAATAATACAGATGCTATAACTTGCGTAGTTTTTAAAATTCGGTTGTACGTTATTAATAATTTTATCACATTATAAAAACGCAGACATCATTTTGAATTTTTTAAATCTTATTAACTCATTGCATGTTTGATTTCTAAACATAAATAATACAAAACTTGATTAATACATATTTTTTTAAATGCAAACTGTAGGCGGGACATAACGTTATAAAACATACAAAATGTATTTTTGTTGTAGAATTTTTTTTCGAGTTTACATTGATAAATCTTCATTTATTTTCACTCAAATATGCAATAATATTAAAGTACAATTTTTAATTGTTTGCGTAATAGTATTTAAAGTAAAATTATAGTATAATGACGTAATGGTCGAAATATTTTTCTAAATCCGTGTCTGATGTGACGATTGTCACTTATTCTTCATTGAGGAAGCGGGGTAAGAGGACAGTTATGATACGATCTGCTTTATACTTAGTGGTATGCTTATCTTTGTGTTGTTATCTCTGAAGATTTTTTTGTTGACGCATTGACTTGTTTAGTTTCAATATAACACCGAAGAACTAGATATTGAAAAAAGTTTCAACAGAAATATTAGGACAAATAAAAATAAAATCAGAATATAGGAATTGGTATTTTAACGATGGAATGTAAAATTGCCATGATAATTATAATTTATAAATTGATTATTTATTTTTAGTTCCTAGTTAATTAATTTTGATGTCATTAATTAATTTTTTACACAAATGGGTAATTATTTTCTCAGAATCAAGAATTAAATATTTTAAAGTTATAGCATTTAAAAGATTTATTACAGATATTTATTAAAACGATTTTCAAAAACGTTTAAAAAATGCTTAATTGAAGATATAGAAAAGATCGTCGTAATTTTTATGTTATATTCCAAATAAATTGGCTACAACAATCTAAACTACTTAATGTCATTTTCTTACGATTATTAAAAATTAGTTATACGATTAGAGAAATTGAAATCTGTTTTGTCAAATCGCTTCAATCAAGAGTTATAATTATGATTCTGGAAAATCGATTAAAATGCACACGTTAAGGCATCCATTTAGAAATTTTGGAAAATTAATGAAAATTCAGAAACTTTAGGCTTTTTAAAAATGCCAAAATGGCAATCACTTTTTCACTATTAATATATGTATGATGTGGAACGAAATCTGTGTTATCTTTCGACTTAGTCGATCTGAAAAATTCGTAGAGTATTAATGTTTTTATGACGAGAAAGTTGTAATTGGCTGTTTACTTATTTATTTACTTAAACGTTTTCAAAAACCTACAATGTGTTTAATAATAATGTTATCGGATAATTTCCAAAATTGTTTGTGTATATATTTGTTCGGATGTTTGTTGGGACTAGTGAATTTGCTACGAAAAATCCTACTTTTACGTTTTGATGGACTCAAGAGGCTTCATTGAAAATAGTTTAATGGCACACGCTTTGGTAAGTACAATTTACATATTTGAATATTCACTTGGAAAATAATTACCTACATATCTACCAAAGTCTGTGATGTTTTCCTGTAGTATCTACAGAATTGTTTTCAAAACCCAGTAAGTCCTATTCGCAAAAGAGTCTAAGAAGTGAAAGAATTTTAAACCAAACCATACTGCGTTTAATAAAAAAAGTACATTCAGTTTTCTTATCTTGAAAAGCCTTTTGTATTTATTGGAGTGAGAATATTCCATTTCTTATGATTGGTATCTAATTTGAATGGTTAAAAATTAATACTTTTGATATTCTGCTAGATTGGTTGGTATCTATTCAGTTATCCTGAAATAGTTTTCTGTCGTATGTTTTGTTCAATTTTTACGTTCACTAGTGTACATTGCTTACGTTGTTTAACGTTAATTGTTAAATAAAACAGTTTTAGGGACAAAAAACACTATTTAAACATTTAAAAGTTGCTAGTTCTATTTAATTTATTTGCTTCATCATTATTTTGCCACTTTTTTAAGATTTATTGTATTATTAATTTTTTTAAAGTCATTATGATGCATAAGAAAACCTCTTTTTTTAAAGTTTTAAATATTTTTGATTAACTTAAAATTGTTGTATGCCTTCTTTCAATGGAATTGAAATCTATTTTTATTTTTTGTAACTTCAGTATTATAATCTATAAATATGTGTTTCTTTGCTTCATTATCTGTAAAATGAAAGGCACATGAAGGAAATTATGACCTTTATTAGAGGTCGTCCTATATAAAACAAACTGGCTATACAAAAGTGTAGGTTTTAACTCAATTTAGATACAACAGAAATATTAATATAATCTGAATTGTTTTATAGAAGTTTCTAAAGAGTGGAAAGACACTCTGATTTGAAAATTAGTATGTATATTTTTTACAAGGATATTTTTAATCGAAATATTTTCAAAGCTATGGTATATTTAGTATCAATTTGAAATGAGCCATTATTTCGTTGTCTTGAATAGAATCACCAATTTTTTTTTGATATCTTATTAAAGTTATCAGTTATTATTAGGTATCAATTAGTTTAAAAAAACCGTCTTTAATAAAAACAATTCGAGCAGAATGAGCTCTGAGGTCTCCACATCCTTCCATTCAAAAGATGATTTAAACTATCAGTTTTCATGGTTCATACGAAAGCTTTAAAGCATAGTCCTTTAACGACCGTGTACGAATAGGTTTGTATGAAAATTCTTATTGCGTCCGGCACGGTTTAGTTCCTTAAGGATAAATTTACCTGTATTTTTGTGCTTCAAGAATAACATTAGAATAATTTAAAGTGTGAAAAAGTGGATCCGTGATTCTAGGGAATATTTTCAACAGGGAAGGTAGGCATTTGTCGATCCTCACTTAACTTTTGTTTTTTTAATTGTACTATTTATTACCAGAGATTTCAAACGGCAACTCCCGTTTTAAATAAGTTTATTTAGCTAACAACCACACTGTTAAACGCATATTTTACAACTGTGATGCTAATATGATATAAAAAACAAGTAAAATTAAGAAAATATCTTTAACAGAAGACTTTATTTGAATGCAAATTTACTGTTTATTCGAATGATGATGTGTATTAAAATTCCATGTTACACCGTTCAATGAAATCTATTTTATGCCGTTTGGCGAAAAATTTTTATTCAAATACAATTGTTTTGCAAAAAATTTTATACATCTATATCAGGAGAGGATCATGAAAATGGGAGGCCCCAGTCTAACCTTTATTGGGAGCTTACTTAATTAATCAAAATAATTACCATTTCGCCAAAAAATTACTTTTATTAATAACAGGAAAAAAATCAGGCCAACTGT